TGATTGTCCAGCGGCCCCGAAGAAGTGCGCCCCGAAAAGAGCCACTTTGCTAGACGCTTCAGGGAAGAATTCAAAGCCTTAGAATAACATTTCGTCGAATCCGCGGCATAATGGCTCCGTGCTTGAGCGTGATTTCGTCTTAACTTAGTGCTTTAAGCGTTGGTGGCATTTACGCGTCTCAAGTAGCAATATTTGAAAAATAGAAAAGGGCGGAGTGCTCCCTTTAAAGAGACTGCTCCACAGTTGCATGAGGTTTTCACTGAAATGGCTATTCTAAGGATCATTCAAAGCAGTTCACAGCCCTGGCCTTTTAAGACCTAAGCCCCTCTGTCTTCTGAGCTACACTCCCGCGAAGATTGCAGACTGTCTCGGGGAGGCTGTTTCAAGGTCACCCTGGCACCTAAGACCTAAGCCCCTCTGTCTTCTGAGCTACACTCCCGCGAAGATTGCAGACTGTCTCGGGGAGGCTGTTTCAAGGTCACCCTGGCACCTAAGACCTAAGCCCCTCTGTCTTCTGAGCTACACTCCCGCGAAGATTGCAGACTGTCTCGGGGAGGCTGTTTCAAGGTCACCCTGGCACCTAAGACCTAAGCCCCTCTGTCTTCTGAGCTACACTCCCGCGAAGATTGCAGACTGTCTCGGGGAGGCTATTTCAAGGTCACCCTGGTTTCTATGACGCCATAATAACGTCATTCAAATCCTGCTATTCCATTAACCATGTGGCCATCAACGCCAAGGACAACACATTTGTCGAGTCGTTCATATGTGGCTTTCGTGAACACGATTCCCAAGCATAATGGCTGCCAATTGGCTCTCAAACCATGTTGCGCGAGATACGATTACCTAATCAAACAATGTCGCATTGAAAACTTATTTCCTAAACAGAAAAATTATGCTGCCTGTATCATGATGTTACTGGAGTGCGCCTGAGGCCGCCCCTGCTCGCACCGCCAGTGCTGCTGCACCTTGGTACGCCGCTGCCCCGACTGGCGGTGTACTGCCTGGGGCGCCGCCCGCCGGAGTCGGCGCCGCCCGCTCGTCTCGCGGGTTAACACAGTTGCCGTCTCGGGGCGCTCGTGTCTGGTCTGGGCAGACAGAACACGTAAGACTTGAATATGGCGCAGCCGCATTGAATCTATAGTAAGCTTAAGCAAGCGTGAGCAGCACATTAATTTAAGCAGTGTGAGTTGTGAACCAAGTCGAGACGCCTGGATTTCGTCCTCCTGAGGAATTGGACTTCACATCGCCTTAGAGGTGGCCGACCTGGCGTGATCGGTTCGTCCGCCACAGACTGGCATCGGAACTACACAAAGAGGACGGTGACGTTCAAGTAGCTACGTTTATTTACAGTATGGGTCCTCAGGCTGAGCATATCGTACCAACATTAAAGCTTACTGCTGAGCAGAATGAGGATTTTGAAGTTGTTGCCTCAAAGCTAGACGGGTATTTCATTCCGAAAAGGAACTTTATTGCAGAGCGTCGCAACTTCGAGCTTGGATCTCAAATCTCAAGCGAGACTAATGAATCGTACATCAGAGCTTTGTTCTCTCTAGCTGAGCACTGCAGCTTCGCTGACGCTGATGAGCGTATCCGAGATCGTCTCATCTCAGGAATGTCTGACAGGGAGCTGTCCCGTAGAATTCAGCTGAAGCAACTAGAGGAGGAAGTGTCTGTAAATACCGTCATTTCGATGATGCGCAATGTCCAGATCGTGAACGGCCGTGACAGCTCTGGTCCGCCTGACATCAGTAGGGTTTGTGCGCCGGCGCAGCACAGGCAGCCGCGCCAGCAGCACCAACAGTACAGACGTCAGCAGCAGCCCTCCACCGCGCAACGGCAACAGCATAGTCGGCGTACCGACTTTTCAACAGCATGCAGATACTGTGGAAGAGCACGTCACGTGTCTCCGAAAGATTGTCCCGCTAAGGGAAAAATCTGTGACAACTGTCAGAAAATGGATCATTTTGCACCTGTTTGTCGCTCCAGCGGTTGAGCTGAGCGACAGCTCAGCGAGTTGTCCAGAGCGATTGAGCGGACAGAGTCCATTTGAACAACTATCGCCGCCCAAAATTTTTGTTGGCGAAGTAGACAGAGCTTGCGCGCCATGGAGAGTTTCAGTAGTTCTAAATGGTCACCGAGTCGCTTTCAAAGTTGACTCTGGCGCTGATGTTAGCATTCTGACGCTGAAAACGTACAAGCTGAAACTGCCGCCGCTTCAACATGCTTCAAATACTCTGACAAGTGTTGGTAGGGTGCTAAAAGTGGAAGGAAAGATGCACGGAACACTCATGTTCAAGACCTAAGCCGAGCCTGAAGTGTTCTACGTTGTAAACTCAGCTGATGATCTCCTCTCCAGGTCTGCTTGCTCACGCCTGGGCGTACTGAGGTTCACAGGTGAAGTCAACGAAGACGTCTTCGGAGAGGTAGGTCTACTGAAGACAGCACCGGTCAGCATTCAGCTCCGTGAAGATGCTGTTCCAGTCGCCCTTGCTACTGTAAGAAGCATCCCGCTGCCACTGATGAAGCCAGTGGAAAAGGAGCTGAAGAAGATGGAGGATTACGGCATCATCACGTCGGAGAACGAGCCAACGGACTGGGTCTCTGCGCTGGTCCCCGTCCCGAAGCCGAAGAGCAGCGGTGTCCGCATCACGGTTGACTACAAAAGACTCAACCAGTCTGTGAAGCGACAGGTGTTCCCGATCCCTACTCTGGAGCAGCTGACCTCCAAGCTAAGTGGCGCGACGCTCTTCACCAAGCTGGACGCCTCTTCCGGTTTCTACCAGATCCCGCTGGACGAGGCGAGCTTCAAGATGACCACGTTCATCACTCCGTTCGGCAGGAAGAGGTTCCTGCAACTGCCGAAGGGGATTTCGCTCGCACCGGAGTGCTTCCAGCGGAAGATGGAGGAGATGCTGGACGGACTGCCCGGAGTCAGCAGCATGCCAAACTCCGAGATCGCCAGAGGAAGAAGAAGCTGGAGACGTGCTTCAACCGGAGGCACGGTGCCCGCGATCTTCAGCAGCTACAGCCCGGGGATCATGTTCGGATCAAGACGGAGAAGGAAGCAAGCTGGTCCGAGCCCGCCACCGTCATAGAGAAGCTCTCTAGACGCAGCTACCTTGTGGAGCTCAAGGGTGCTCGCTATCGTCGCAACCGACGTCATCTGATGCAGATCCCTCCGTTTCAGGTGTTGACACAGCACGGTTCCACGCGGCGTGCTGACTGTTCTGCACACAGGGTGCCCGTTCCAGATCTCCTCTCTGGCCGCCATGCTGAGGTGGCGCCACCGGCGCTGCTGCAACCGCAGCCGCGCGGACCGGCGCCTGCACCACGATCGGTGGTGCCAGGGCCACCACCAGCTGTGCCGTCGCCCGCGTCGACAGCGGCGCCGCCGCCGTCGCTGCCGCCGCTGACAGAAGCTGCGGCCCAGCCCTGCAACGCGCCAGTGCCCCAGACAAGACCCAACACCACTGCTTAGTTTCAGTCCGCGTAAAACACGCAGTGGCCGTGGCACGCAGCAGCAGGTTAAAAATGCAATATTCCTTCCCACTAAGCCTATGGTGATTCATGTAGAAATGTTGGATTCGGGATGGCGGATGATGCTTCTATGGTGAGTGCACTGGGACAAACTGACCACCAGTGTACCAAATTACATATCGGCAGCTCTCGAATTTTGCTGAAATTTAGTTGCCGGAAGTAATCTAAGCTAAGCATTGGAACGAGCAATTCCTAGCTGTGTCCGACGTCGAGCTTAAAAATTATTCTGGCAGTGCTGGACCGAATGCAAAAAGGAGGGAATCAAAAGGAAGGGGCGCATCAGAGTAGGTCTAGCTGTTGCGTCATCATCTCTGAAGTCTGGCTTACTTAATATAAGCAAACATATGCTGGGTGTAACTGCCGGTCTGCCCGTCGTACTCGACAGGCGAGCTGACTCGTCACGTCCTCGGGTGGGGAGGGGGGGGGATGTGGTCTGCAGCGGACATGCTTTTTTATTTCCTAGTCCCATCAATCCAAGGGTCATCTTGTACGGCCGCAATTGATTTGAGTGCGTTTTCTGGTCGTCTCAGGGCGTTAAGTTCGTGTTATGAGAAGCTAGGTAAGTCATAACGCCTGACCTGACTTATACCATGGTCATCGTCCACCACCATCCTCTACCCCTTCATCTTCTCGGCCGGCGGGATATGGTGGCACCCTCGGTGACCATTCGTCCAGCAACTGACGCCAAGAATGAACATCTGCATTGTAATTTTCAGTGCAAATCCGCATACGTAGTTCTCTGTGCTCACTATCATCCAACAAACTCCATCACAGACGAACGCTTTCGTACAAGCTTTCTGTACTTACAGCGGATATTGAATTACGAAGCTTTCCTTATGTTCTTCTATGAAATGAACGATATCCTTGACTAACATCTGAAATGGTTAGTTTCGAAGTCCATCTCCATGATGCCGTTTTAGAAGGATTCAAATAATGATAACAGTAATGATTCTATGGGTAGATACTTAAGCGATTAGCCGTTCGCGGCACGACGTGAAATGCGGCACCATATACAACACTACTACCACTTCAGTGTTGCGACTCAACGCGGTCGGCAAGCAAGAAGATAAAAGCAAATGAATCCAGAGATGCACCTTGCAACACATGTCATGAAATGATGTTTCGTTGGGCACAATCTCATGCGAGCCCATCCATTATCACTATCTGAGCGTACCACACTCTCGGCTCAAGCATGCGCCGTATCATCGCATGCATTGATACTATGCAACGATGATGTCTGGAGCAGCCTTCGGCGCGGTTAACAACAGTATCGATAGACGAGGTCTCGGTCAGTCGTTGGCATCGGACAGTAGCGACACCTATGGCAAATCTCGAAACTACAGTGCTGCCCGGGTCAAGGTGGCGCTGGCAGCGTCTGCGCGACGAAAATCTGCAAAACGTCTCCACGTTCTCCGTCCCGCAAGCTTCATTTACTTGCATGTGCACAAGTCCATTGCATTTAAATCGCATTTTATTTTAACACGATTGTGCTGTTACAATACGGTCCCTCCCGGCAACGGCAGTCGCAAGAATGGATATTACCTGCATGCGACAAAACATTACGACATCCGTGATAGCACACTGCAAAAAGGGGTTTTACCAAATGTCATCGATGACGGAAGAAAGACACTTTGTACACAAGCATACGTTGTCAATAAAAGACAAATGCAAAATAGAACATATGAGTATTTGGAGCACTCCATGGCAGGAAGATTGAGGAAGGGATGCAATGGGCTTGGCACCTATCATGTCATCACCGCAGAGCCACAAAACAGAGCCAGCATCTGCAGTGCATATCCAGTGAATCACGCACTGAAATGAACATCATGCACAAGGCTGAAGAAGGGAGCAGGAGGATATGCCCGCGGCACAACCTCCGCAGGACGCGTCAACAGCTCCAGACGATCCCAGCCGGGCGGAACACGACACAGCGAGTGATGGCACTCGCGCCACGGTATAAAGAGATCAAAAACAGCAGCACAGCGACGCGGCACAACAGCACACGCAAACAGTAAACTGCAGCAGTGCACAGCACCGCTCCATAAAAGCTCGCAGACGTACCCAAATCGCGTGAACAAACACATGCACGCGGTATTTGGCGGGTTGATAATATACTTTAGTCTGACGACCAGTGAACAGTCGGAGCACTCCTCAGCGACACGCGCACGTTCATCGCGGAGCACTAACACCCCGTGCAGCGGCGTGACCTCCATGACCCCGAACGTGGGACGTGACCCGCGTCGGCGCCGGGGTGCCCGCCGCGGCGATAAGGGTTCAGCAGCCCGCCGGCTCAGGCTCAGTACCTTCCCCGCCCAGCGCCGTCCAGCGAGACCGACGACGTGTCCAGCGAGTCGTCCTCCTGCGGCAGCTGCAACAGAACCGGCACACTGAGGCAGGTCCGACCTGGCCTGGCGTGATCTGACGCGGTCTGACACGGCCTGATCTGATCTGACCAGCTGCTACCCGACCTGACCTGATCTGACCCGGCGCTAGTGGTGGTCAAGGGGGCTTGACTGGGGTGGTCCAGCGCACAGTTGAATGGTCCGTCGAGTCGACGGCACACTTGTTACCTGTGGTACCCCGGCCTGTTGTGGTCCGCACCGACCGCTCACAAATCACGACCTGTGTCATACACATGTTGACGTCTTGTCTGCTGATATGTAATAACCTCTCATCTGCCGTGACGCATACCACCCAAATATCTGTTTACCTGTACTGACCCCCCCCCCCCCCCCCCTGTTGACCGGTAATGACCCGTTTACGGACCCTCCACCCGTGTGGCCAGTACCGACCCATGACCTGCTGCGACCTGTAACCCACCTCATACGTTGTGACCCGTCGTGGAACCGTGACCTCATCTGCTGTGATTTGTTGAGGGGGCGTGACCTCATCAGCTGTGATCTGTTGTGGGGTGTGACCTTATCTGCTGTGACCCGTTGAGGGGACATGACCTCGCCTGTTGCGACCTGTTGAGGGGACATGACCTCACCTGTTGTGACCTGTACTGACGTCCCTGGCGCTGCTGCGCCTTCAGCCGGGTCACGATCGACTCGGGCAGGCCGTACGTGCACGTGGAGAAGCTGCTGTGTACGGAGCTGCCGCTGTGGCGCCGGTCGTCTGGAAGAACGCGCATGTCAGGGCTGATGTGGGTCGCGTTGCACACAGTGCCTCCCCCCCCCCCCCCCCCCCAAACGGCCGCCTCTTTTCATAGATTGACGCAAGTCCAGTTATGTCGCACCGGTAACTCGTGGTTACCGCAGGCTCAAGCTTATGTCACTGATGGACTTCTCCATGCCTACAAAACGTTGTCAGGGTGCAAAAAACCACACCTGTCTCATTCTATCAAAGTTGAAGGCAGGCAAGACTACAGGAATATCCATCACAGGCGGACATAGCTGTGGGTTATTCGTTGCTTCTGCATACTGGGCAAATTCTCAGCATGTTAGCGCTGTTTTAACATTCTCCTCGCCTGTTTTTTTTCCATCGCCACTGGCCTAGCCCACATACAACTCTGGGACATGGCCTTCATTCCCCCACCCAGCCTTCCGACAGTCTGGCCACCAGCCTGTATCCCCCCCCCCCCCCCACACCCCACAGTCGGTCCTTCGGTCGATCTCCAGTCGTCTCTCACGCATCGCGGTCGCCCGGCAACCGGCGTCCGCCTCCGCCGGCCGCGTCGGGTCCGGTGTCCGCCTTTCCCCTCCCCCGCCCGCCGCCTCCCCGGCCGCCACGCTCCAGTGTCGGTCCGCCCCTCCCCTCCCCCGCCCGCCGTCACCCCCGGCCGCCACGCTCCGGTCTGGGTCTGCCCCCACTCCAGCCCGCCTGCCGCCTCCCCGGCCGCCACGCTCCGGCCTGGGTCTGCCCCCACTCCAGCCCGGCTGCCGCCTCCCCGGCTGCCACGCTCCAGTGTCGGTCCGCCCCTCCCCTCCCCAGCCCGCCGTCACCCCCGGCCGCCACGCACCGGTCTGGGTCTGCCCCCACTCCAGCCCGGGTGCCGCCTCCCCGGCCGCCACGCCCCGGTCTGGGTCTGCCCCCACTCCAGCCTGCCTGCCGCCTCCCCTGGCTGCCACGCTCCGGTGTCGCTCCGCCCCTCCCGTCCCCCGCCCGCCGTCTCTCGTCGGTAGATTCGATCAATCGGCCCGACTGGAACGCTCGTGATCGAATCGTGCCGGCCCCGCACGCCTCCGGCCGGCCAGCGGCGGCCGGGGCCGTGCTGCCCCATACGACCAGCCCCACACGGCCATGTCGGCAGAGGTGCCAAAGGTCATGAACTTTGAAGGGCACGTGTCTAGTGCTCTTTTCGCCTTTTCCAACCGGGCGATGAGAGGCATGGTGTCCGGCACAACTTTTGTTTCCGTTGCAAATACGTGCTTGAGACGAAACAGCATAAACCAGTCATCAGAGTAATATGAAGAAAACAATCGAGCAAATAACGACCGTTCCCAGTGTCATCGATGAGTTGATAAATTATGAGGACCAGAAACGTGCTTGCATAAATATTACATCACAACACTTCTGCGTAAGAAACAACTGCATGGCCATCAGGCAGTCAACAGCGCCCTCACGTCACTTTTCTTCAACATCTTGAACCCCACCCATCCAATTACAAACATCCCGATGTACTTCTATTCATCATGTCCGCATATTTCTGTCCCCCATGACCTCATTATTATTGGGTGATCTTCTCAGATCTCCCCTCATACACATTACATATCTCATAACGTGCGTGCCGCGCTGGCTTGCCTCCAGGGACGACGCACACGGGCCCCAGCCGGCCGGGGGCGCGCCGACCAGCCCAGAAAACCAGGACCACAGCAGCATCGGCGTAAGCATGTCATGTGACTGCACGAAAGAGAGGGACGGGGAGCAAGAGCATTGGAGCTGTAGAGTTCCAATACGGCGTCGTGAAAATTTGTTAAAACTTTTGCCCATCGACCCAGACTGCCCATCGACCCCTGACGGAAGGTTTCCCACGCATTTTTGAGTGCCCAGTGCAAGTCACTAGGTGTCACGCATCCACCATCGTCTTACACCGGCTCCTTTCCAAACCAGCTGACACGCAACGGCAACACACTCTCACATCGCTTCGCATCTCGTGGCTGAAAAAGCAGACACATTTACCCTGGACCAATAAGGGCACAAAGCATCCGGCCAGGGAGGGGGGTGGGGCGAAGTGCGTCCATGTTTCCTTAAAGTTTTACACAAGTTGGCGGTTATGGGCGGACATGTTGACCTGTGCCGGACCCATCTACGCTCGATACCATCCCACGAGGCTGCCCGGACCCTCCCCCCTGACGCACCTGGCGGCGGCTCGTGAAGCGCGGCCGGCCCGAGGGCCACGGCGGCGCGCGGCGGCGGCGGCAGCGCGCCGTTGCAGCGGCCCGGCTCGCCAGCGCAGAGGTGGTAGCCGCGTGCCGCCGGCGTCGAGACCTCTGCGGGCGGCCGGCCGGCGGTCATTAGCGGGGCTAAACACAAAGCGACGGCCCGGCCCGGCCGCCGCCCACCGCGCCGCAGACGGACGGCCGGGCCGGGCCGGCGCGGCTGGCGGGCGGCGGCCGCTGGCCGGGTGGTGCACAGAACGCACAGAGCCGCGCGTGTGCGGGGAGGAAAGGTCAGGGCGGATGCCGGGCGTGGCGGCGGGCTGACACCATCACAGGCTGGGCTGTCCGGTTGGGTTGTGTTACGCCAGGGGAGGAGACGCCAGTCGGACGCACACAAAGGGTACAGCTGACGGTACAGCTGACGCCTGGGCGGCTCGGTCACGTCAGGGTCAGGTCACTGAAGTGCACCGGCGCCAGAGACGGACAGGAGGGGCAGTGTCTGCAGGGCCACCACCGTAGCTAAAGGCCCTGTTTAGTCGGTGGGTAGAGGTGGGTGATCTCGCCACGTGCTATACCACCACCCTCCCCTGCGGACGAAGGACAGCTGTGTTGGGACAGCGCCAGGTTTGAGCGTTGGTCCACCCACGCGTGTCACATGTTAACAATGTCGGCGGCACAGTACGCCACCACCGCCCGAGATTTTACGACATGTGGGCTTTACGACCTTGGCACGGGCAAGGCCCGCGGGCTTGTAAAACGGGCAGTCCTCGCCGTCGTTAACACTCTCTGACTGCGATGATGAGCGTTTGCATAATCTGAGTCGCTTCTGTAAGCAAGGGACAGTAAAGCTAGAGCAGGCCGAACTTCGAAATGAAGGGGCCGTCCACATTGTCCAGGGTGGAGAGCATGTCCACCGGTGGTGCGTCCCCTTCACAATCCCGATATTCCAGCACGTCGGAAATCGGTAGCTGTCAGATCAGCTGAACGATGACATGAGGCAATGTTCTGCTTGTGACTCTATTACTGTGACTGAAACTCTATTAGTTTATAGGCATTCTGATAAAACAACGACGAAAATTGAACAGGAATATGAAGAGCCATTCCTAAACGTGAAAAAACATCCAACATGCTAAACAAAACACCATGGGCAAACAATTATGACTGCGGGACGTAAGATGCTACAAACCGTAACATTCCCAGCCTCCCAAGTTAACCAGCAGCGCGCGGCGCCCTGACGCCAGAGGATCTGCGTTGCCTACGGAGCGGCGAACACAGAGCGTGGGAAGACACCGACAGAGACGAGCGGGCGGTGCCGAGGTCGAGAACACGGACACGGACGTCCACACACACACAAAGGGCGAGAGATGGCGCAGGGACAGCGCAGGCAGGCCGGGCAACAGCAGCGATACCTGATGACGTCACAATCAGCTGTCAACTAGCGGCCTCTGGATCGGCACCGAGTGGGAGCTCGGCCCCCATATCTGCAAAGCCAGCGGGAGGCAGCGCGGTGACAATAGATCACGATCACAACATATCATGTGTCTCGTCTCCCCCTGCCACGATGCTGCCAAGCACGCCACCTCCGATTGGGCCCGTGCGACCGTGGTGAACGATGCTTTGGCTGATAAATTCAGCGACCTTGCTGTGACGTTGTTATTAGACGCGTTCGTGTATCATTAGCATGTGTTTTGTTCTGTTCATTAGCATGTGTATTCAGGCAAAATTAAATTCACAATAGGTAGCAAGCTGTTATAGGCCTACCTTAGCACCTATCATCGACACTTAACAAAAGTCACCATACTTAAAAATCGCACCACAGCCTCGACAAACAAACTGCAGATTTCTAAGGGATTGCAGGTCTTAACAATCAGCAAGAGGTTTATCAAGTGTCTTGCCGGCGGACGTCCCTGTAATTAGGAAATCATGCAGACGGAACGTGAGCTGTCTTCAAATAAAACGAAGCAATCACGCTTCATCAAAACTATTGCTGTTAGCATTCATATATCGGCAACATTGCGTAAAGACGAGTCGGCCCGTGCCGCATGGCGAAAACCACAAGAACAATGGACCGTGTAGCAGGCCGATTTATGAAGACCGGATGTTTCCTTGCGCGAACCTGACGACCTGGCGTTTCCAAAGGCTAGCAGAAATATGAGACAAGTAACGAGCCGCACAGCTCAAAGGCCGTAGCAATCATTAGCGAAATTAAAAGGAAGCAAGGTCGCACCAGCTCAACAACCTAAAAGCCGGCGTCACTTCAAGCCAACCGTCGCACGCTTCGCCACCCATTCTGTCTTCTGTGAGGCCGCGTTGGAAAAGGCGGGCGATGGCACCGAACCAAAAAACGGCGTCGTTTGTTACTGGGACCGCGCCGTCGCCGGCCGCCGGATAAGACGACCGTCGGCGGCGCCTCTCGCCAGCGGCGGCTTAGTTGCGTGGCAACGTCGACGCCGACAGGCCGGTGTGTGCCAGAGCCGCGCTCTCGCGACACGCCGGCCGCCGCCGTCGTCGACCGTCGTCGACCGCCGACGGGCGGACGGGAGAGCGGGGCCGGCCCGGCGGCACTCCAGCACGCGCGGCCGGCCCTCCCGCTCGACGGTGGACACGGCTGCCGCGGCGCCAGATCGATCTCCCGCGTCCCTCTCGAGGGTGATGAGACCACTCGCGCTGGCCGCGGGGCGGCGCCGGGCCGGCCGGCCAGCGGCCACCGAGCGGCGGCCGGGCCGGGCCGGGCCGGGATCAGGAACCCCTGGCCGGGTGACCTGTGCTCGGGGACCGCCGGGCGGGTCCGGGCCGGGCGCGGTCCCGCCCCAGACGCTGATCGATCGTCGCGCGTCTCCGGCGGAGGCGGACCCGGCGGCCCGGCGCGCACCGGCGACTGCCCGCCGTCGGCTAATCGAATCTCCGCCACGCCAGGCGCGGGCCGAGCGGGGTACGGCACGGAACGAGCGGGGTGGGGCGGGAGATGACGACCGACGAGGGCACGAGAGTAGGACGGACTGGGACGCGATGAGATGCAGGGACGGAGTGAGCGCACGGAGGAAGACGGAGATAGAGCAACGGTACGGTGATGGACTGCTCGATGGTACTGTACAAAACGAGTGAGGGCGGAGGTGAGATGCGGACCGAGCGATGGTGCTTACAATGAGATGTGCAGACCGAACGAGGCAACGACACGGAACGAACGGTGATAGACGATAAAAGGCAGGGCAGAACTGGAGTTCTGCATGAGCCGAGTGAGTGCAGGACACCAGTGAAGTGAGATTGCGACAGGCGATGTGAAGCGTGTGCCAGTGTGTCATGGATAGGTCACTGCGAACACGGGAGCCAGAATAAAAAATCGGAGACGGTGGGGTCGTGACTGGGTGAAGCAACGGCGAGAGTCACAGTCTCGGCGGTCGCGCGGCGGGAGTCACGATTTCAGCGGACGCACGGCGGAGTCACGACCTCACCGGGCGCACAGCGGCAGCGGGCGCACGGCAGGAGTCACAGTTTCAGTAGGCGCACGGCGGCAGTCGCAATCTCAACGGACGCACGGCGGGAGTTGTGATCTCATCGGGCGCACGGCAGAGCTCACGATCTCAGTGGCCGCACGGCGGGTGGGTAGCCGACTCGACGACCGCAAGAATGGTCGGCGGGAAAGGCAGCCTTCCGAGGGAAGTCAGAGCCACAGCCTCCGGGCAAGGTGGCCGCCCACCCACCAGTGCGACTTGACCGCAAGTGTGGAGCGACCAGCATGTGGCACGTGTGGCGTGCGGCATCATGCCGTTGCATGGGCAGGCTCAACAGCGACGGGAATCTGATGAGAACGCAGTGACGCCGCACCCCATCAGGCCACCGTTCTGCGCGACGACGGAACGGACAGGAACCGAGAGAAATCGTGAGAAAGGACGTGGAGGAGTGGTGGGGATGGCTGGGGGCGATGACTGGGGATGTAATGGAGTCGAAAAGGAAGCGAAAAACTGACAAGGACTGCGGGGCATCTGGCAGTATCGTGTGTGTCTTGCTCCGGCTGATGATGGCCGAGTCACAATAAATACATACAAAAGGAAAGGGAGAGTTAATACACCCGATATAACAACCATAAACCAAGCCTGGACCCTGGCGTAGTGTGGACCCTACTTTCGGGTCGTTTTAAAAGCGGAGCTCTGCCATGGGATGCATCCATGACCTGCCTGGTCGGGTGGCGGTGCCGTTTTATCCACAGTGACGCGCATGCAAGTAAGGGAGACGGCGCACCGACGTGCACTTGTCCCCATTGCTGAGGATTAGACTGGCGTCGGACTGACGCCCATCCGCCCCTACCGCTTCATCTCTCCGCAGTGATGTTCTCAGCTCATTGTGGCTCTCTTCGCCATCTTCTCACCAGTGCGTGAAAGAGAGGCCCCATTCTCAGTGACGCACGCGAGAGAAGGAGGGAAAGCGATGGCGGCAGGATCATGCCTTCTGTGTCCGATGGACCCGCTTGTCCCCAGTAACACCCTCCATCTGTAGTGACCCCTGCCTCAGTGCCGCCCCTGCCTCCCCAGAGCCGCACCTGACAGTGAGAGCGGTGGAGGGAGACTGGCGTCGCCGTAGCCGCGAGCGCGCGCGTGCCGCGCCCGGTAGAAGAGCCTCAGCACCAGGCAGATGAGGCAGCTCATCAGCGCCAGGCCCGCCAGCAGGCCGACCACGGTCGGCGTGTCCGGCTCCAGCAGCTCCGACAGCGGGTCTGGCGGCGTGCACGCGGCGGGTCTCATGGTATGCGCGCAGCCGTCTGACGTCACGGGCAACGCCTGTCTGGCTGGGCAAACACAGCCGTCTGGCGGCGTGCACGCCGGGGTCTAACAGTGAAAATACAGTGGGTCTGATCAAAGTCGCACAGTGGCCGCACGACCAGCGATATCCTACAGTTAGCGGCTCTGGGCTGGCCACATGGCTACCATAGGCTGCAGTTAACTGGCACAATATTTCGGAATGGAACCGCACCGAATGGACTATGCCAGCAGGCGGCAGAGCATCAGAGACATCAATCGAGCGCACCAGTACGTATCGGCAGGGCACAAATCCCGTCACCACCCGGTTATTCCGCTAGAAATAGGAGGGCCAGCTGGCGAGGCGTCACGTGAAATGAAACTCAGAACGCAATGGCGCATAACAATGTATCACGTTGAATGGGACTTTGATGGCAAGGGGCAACGTTATTCCGTCGGCGTCTGACGATATCTCACTATTGATGGTGGGCCTGGGCGCATAACATGGGCGCCATAGTGCACACAGATGCGCAGAGAGACAGATGACATTCGCCTGTGTGAACACCAGTTTATCACGCAGCTCGTACGTGTATCATTACCGCGCAGTGGCGTGGGCAGGACCCCGCCCAAGACGGAGCCAAATCGGATCATCAGGAGACCTTTTCGCAAAGTCGGGCCTCTTCGTCGCCATAGGAACCATGTTCCTGAATTTGGGAGCCTTCTTAAGCTTGACATCTACTTCAGTGCGTCGGGAGACGTTTTTGACATTTGGAAGCACTATGGATATCTTAAACTGCCAAAAAGTATTGAGACTTTTGGCCCTAGGGGGCCTCGCCACCTCCAGGCAGGGGGGGGGGGGGCGCATGACTCTAAAAGTCCCCTCCAGGTACTTTCCGTCATCACGCACCGCAAAAGAGAGATCACGCGTCCACCATCCCCGCTGACAACGTGGGCATCGGATTTCAACGCTGCCTTGGTTCACGCTCTTGCTATGCCGAAAGAGGTAACAACGCTGCCTTGGTTCGCGCCCTTACTATGCCCAAAGAGGCAACAGCGAGCGTGACACCTTGCTCTGGGAGAATTGAAAAGAGAAACATTGCCGAGGATGCATCCCCGATGAACGCCAATTAACCAATGAGTGAACGCACGCCAATAGACACACCGGTCGTGAGATCCCAAAAAATACATGGAAACACAACATTTGAACGGCCCCGTCGAGGACCGCTGCTCACGCACGTGTCAGTCGTCACTGGCGCGGCCCGCGGCTTCCTGCGCGCTGTCGCCAATCAGGGCACGACACGTCCATCGCACAATGACCGGGGAATCGACCCGACGAGGCCAACAATGCCCGCCGGATTAATGCCGTGAATTGCTGGCACCGACGCCGCGGGACTGCCTGTTGTCCAATAAGCGGTGCATGCGCCGACCCGGACCCGCGGGACCCGGCGAGGGGGCGCGCCGGCGGATGGTGGGGAGAGACCGCGCGCGCTGGCCGACCAAGTCAGCGATTACTCACAGCAGTGACGTGCGAGACATATACACCGTGACCTGGCACCGTGACATGACACGCGTGGCACATCCTCACGCGATTGAGACATCAGGATTGCGTCGAACACAGCGGCTCCCCCGTCGTCGGCGCCTGGCGCCGCCCCTGGCCGTCGACTGACCTTTGACGCAGTACATGCGCGTCGAGCCGCTCTGGAAGGGCGTCGGCTCGTAGTGCACGCGACAGCGGCAGACGGGCGACAGGTGGTCGGGACCGGCGCGACACTCCGAGTTCAGGTCGGAGAACGTGCACACCTTGTCGTAGCGGCACAGGTCGCCCAGGTGTCGCGCTGGCCGGCGGGGTGCAGGTCAGCGCGCCGCGAGATCAGGGCCGTCAGGTCACGGGTAACAGGTCGGGGGCGTCATCTGATGGGCCAAGCTCATAGGAGTTAGAGTCTTGTAGTCAGGCGTTATACTTGGCATGAATACTTTTGGGTGACACGGCCCGTCACAAAAGACAACACGGGTGGCATCGCCTAAAAAGTCAAAGAAGGCTGTTAAAGCCATCCCAACCATTGAATTCTTAACCTTGCAGCTGGTGATGGTCCGGATCACGCACTCCAGGACAATCAATGTCAAGAAAACAAAGCGAGGCAGCCAGGCCGGGACCATCAGAATCAGGACATTCAGTCATCGGACCACGACCGCCCCTCATCAGATCAGATCAGGAACCTCATTCATCAGATTACGACCCTCGTGATCCATCACTTCAATGTCAGGTCGGTGTAGAGACTTTCGCATCGACTAGGTGATCATCTGATCGGCAGTGTGACGATGGAAACGGAGGCTGAAAAGCAGTCTAGTCATGATATCATGGGATACGTTAGATTTTTAAATCAGGAGTGGTCGTTGTATCAGCGGGACAGTCATAAGGTCGGTCCTGTGATCATTAGATCAGCTAGCTCATCGGATGACTTGATAAGGCGATGCTTCATAAAAGTGTTGGAGGCACTACGCAAGCTTCTCAGAAGAAGGCTCAATGAATCGTAGGTGATTGTTTTGGCTGGCTAAGCACCTTATGCACATTGACATTTATAGCGAGCAGTACTACTTCTTGGAATTCTATTTCAACAGGCAGGGGTTTGCTGCGTAGTTTAAAGGAATCGATGACTGAGGAAAAGCTATTTCCATGACGTGAACGTTGATAAGTTCTGAGAAAGTCTTGACTGCTTGCATAACTGGATCAATAGGCTTTGGAGACCTTTTGAGACGATAGAAGACAAATGATGAATTCCATCTGTGACAATGCAAACCTTCCAGCACATACCGCAAGTTGCTTCTTCGGCGTTTTTCATAACGCATTCTTAATAAATAGCCTGGTACTTAGCCAATTTGAATTACCGAACAAAGACTTCTCAAATCCCGCAACAAAAAAATGCATCAGGTATTAGTACTACCAATTCATGTAACCAAAGCCTTAAATTGAGCGTTCTCACGCTACGGGGAACCGACCTTCGGTATACCAGAAAATAAAAGTTAAACTAAGCTATCAAGGAATCGTTTGGATATATCATGAGAATACTTGGGCATTGTCATATTCGGGCGTTCCAGCATCCTCAAAATATTCGGCCAGTTGCTTGCTGTCTTCGCATAACCATCGTCTCCTGGTATGCTAGAAGTCGGCTAATTTCAGCATAAGAACCGGAACTGAGAATTCGCTGCAATTTGGAATGCGAATCCTGTCGAGGGTGGATTCGAATTGAATTTGGATTCCAGATTCGAGAAGACTCCAATCTATAGATCGAGTTTCCACGTCCAACTTGTGTTGATTTTTAACTATTCTAAACTTCCATATTCATGCATCGTTGATCAATGTCCTCAAAATGAAAAAATAAGGCTGAGTAATGAGGCTTACAAGCACTTTTAAGCATAACAGCTTTATTCCAGGACGTCCATTGCTATTGAGACGGCCCCTTGTCCGATGCAGTTTCCCTCAATGCTCTGCCCCTCACCTTTGTCAATAATCCGTGGCGATGTCCTGACTGTTTTGATCACCACCGGGGCAACTGTAATTTCGCTCCCACATCAAGCCAGCGAAGCGTGACAGTAGCGGTGGTGTATTCGAATTCTGATTTCCAGGTCTGGAATCCCTGTATATGTGGTTCGAGGATTACCATGATTCGCAGTTATGATATCAAATATATTCCAATCCCGTGAATCGGAATCTTCAGCTTTTACGAGACATAGTTTCACCGAAAAACCTTGCGTGGGACTGGCGAACTGACAGCTGACGCTGGTGAACTGACAGCTGGTGCTGCTGGCTGACAGCTGACGCTGGCGAACTGTCAGCTGGTGCTGCTGACTGGCGGCTGACGCAGCCGGCTCTACTGTGGATACTATAGGCTCTCATGCGATTTATATATGCTTAATCCTTATCAACGCCTGAAAACAACACCTGAAAACGATCCATGATTTGGGAACTATTGCACACGCTAATCTGCACTAATCGCCCTTCAATGTTGCGTAACGTCGCCGAACAACGCTTTCTGATTAAGCAGGTTGCATCAAGTATCTTGCAAATATTACGCCACATGTTTCCAAGAATTGCGCGACATATTGCTGAAAACTTTGTGGCGATCTGATCAGTGGCTTCAAGGATGTACCAACCAACGGGGTGACTGGGCCGCCACGGGCCGTGCTGTCAAACTGCCAAATTTCCGGCTGGTTGAGAGTGAGACTTGCTCGGCCTGCGGCCTCACTTATAAGGAATGCGCCTTACAGCGCAATTTTCGGCTTGCAGCATATGTGCATTAAGTGTGACAAGAACTGCATACATTTGAAAATAGTCATTTATTGATTCCAGTGTCTGAAGACTTTTCGGCACACTTCTGGTTTCGCACTCCTTTGTGCAATGTCAGTTACATTGCGAATACAACTCGTAATAATTGTGGTATGAATGCATCATTGTTGGCCGTGGAAAACCCCAATGACTTGAGCACGCATTTCCACCCAAAAGCGTTAAACTGAGCTGGAAGGTGGGAGCTGAAAGCCCTTCACGTCTTTCGTCGGTTGGCCTAAGCGATACATTATAGTCGTTTAACTCCACTGTTTAGAAGGAAAATTGTTTTCGCTCATAGTTAAAGCTTAATTAAAACCAAAAACCAAGATGGATGCCAAACGTTTCTCCCAACCGGGACGCGAGTGAAAACGCAGCCTGGCACGTATGCTACGTAAATATGATTTTGACAACCTGCTAATGGCCCACATTCACCATACGGAATATGCAGAATTGCACTTGCGATAGACCACTCAGCAGAGTGAACGGCAGTACAAAATGCAATAAATATTGCAAGACGTAATTCAAGTCTAGGGCGACAGCAGTCAGTTCGTTTTCATCAACTAATTGCATCAATGAAAGCGCAGAAGGATCTATAATGTCTGTGGTATTTACAGCAGCTCCAGAGCGTCAGCTGTCCGTACGTTTTCATCAGCTGATTGCGTATTTAGAAGCGCAAAATGATTTCTGGCATTAATGCAAATTACTGCAGCTTCAACTGCATGCACAAAGTATTCTCAGTTTCTTGCTTAGACTGGGCACACAGGCGGAGCAACTATGCCCTGGCACATCTGTCCTACCGCATCTCGTGATACGCGAGTAGACACCACTCCCCGTCGTTAGTTTTCGGCGCCCGCAGCGTCACCACCTATAGCGGAAGTTACACTGACCACGTGAGAATACCTCGCGCTCGTGCCTGCATGAATTTTTACGTGTTTTGCATGCGCCTATGCTATGTCAACGACGACATATCGGGAGAAAAACGCCTGAAGGGACGAGACACCAGGGACCACGGGCCCACGAAAGTCAGACTACAGAACCTATCGAAACGTGCGTCTGGCGGGGCGCGCTGGCTGTGGCTTTCTCAGCAGCCACGGCGGACTTCAGCGCCGATCCGCTGCGTTATGCGGGGCAAAAACTGCGCAAACTAATGAGCGGGAATATAACCCGCTACACTATGAGCATGACTACCGTTTTAGTGAGCCGCGACTTTGTTCGGGCTGAGCAAGCGTGTTTATGGCTTGACCGGCCAGAGACAGCAAGGGATTGTCGCGCCGCTGCGTCAGACCCAGTCAGCCACGCCCATGGCTTAAAACGGCTGCTTATGGCTGCTTAAGATTCCCGAGTGATAGCATTTTTTCTCATCAAATAGAATTTGACAGCCTGGTAAGGAACGGGGGGGGGGAGGGGGTGGACACCTCCACTGGGAAAAAGCCGCACCGCTGGGGCCTGCAGAATGTCTAGAAGCTTGACGAAAATTCCGAGGTTCCCAAAGGAAATCGCAGGAAGCAGGACTGCAACGTAAGTACGCGGAATTTAGGCCCGTGTCGCGTCATGTGTACAGTACGTCAACACTAAGTACCGTGGCGGAACCACCTTCGCATATTTGGCGACGAGTCTTGCGTTGAGTCCAATAGTTATCGACAGTATATACGAATTTTCCCCAAGTTCTTGTGCCACAAATTCTCCATTTCCCCCCCAAAAATCTTCAAATCCTCATTCCACAGCATGACATGCCATAAAGACCATTGGCTCTTCACGTCTCACCGACTATCTGGGCCACTTTCAGGTGGGATGCCTTTACAACATACCATGTGGGATGCGGTGAGGGTGTGGCCGTGACTTCAAACCAGGACCGAAAATTTCAGAGGCGGGCTCACTAACCACTACACAGCAAACGCTCCAGTGCATGGCCATGGTATAGTGCTATGTTAAACTCAGGGATGAGGGTCTGGGTTTATTTGTAGGATTAACCATTCACTGTGTTCCGTCACCACACTGAGTTCCACCCTGGCTGCCGCTTACCTTCCTCACAGATGAGGTTGTCAATGACGACCGGATACTCTCTGCTGCACTCACACCTGTGAGAGGTCGTGTTGCAGAAGGCGTGCTGCAGGATAGCGCTACACGTGCTGAGGCAGTGGTCCCCCACGTAGTGGGATCCCTTGGATCCTGCAACAGCGGGCTCGTGCCGTACTCTGAGCCTCTTTTCGCAAGACCAAAACCCGATTCCTCTCATCAAGACATCATACAAAATATCCCACATACATTAACATGTGTCTGTGTATATCCTTCATAGCAGTTCTAGAGCAGTTATCTGTAGCTTCATACGACGCATCAGCTAATGAGTGGATATTGGCGCAGGTATTTATAGCAGCACGCACGACAGCAGCAGCAACACACACGCACACACGTCAGATGGATGCCCTTGCCCTACATGCACATGTCGCTGAAATGTTAGGAAACAGAAGATCATTGGACGCGAAACAGCACCCGAAAAGCGTATCGTCTGTGCGCGGATCTGAACCCTTGCCGCCCCAAGACAGAAGGTAGTTTCCCACATCTGCCACGTTAAGAGCCGCTCCCAAATCGCAGTCCCTATGACGAAAGCCATAATGTACTCCGTGTCATTGGAGCCTTACGACGCACTCAGCTGCTGAGGCTATATGCGTCGCCTGCCTCTCACCCTGGCAGGAAGGGCGCGCACCGGGGAATCGAACCCTGTATCTTTGGCTTCCCAGACGCGCAATAAAGTGTGACCACATTAAACCGGACATTAACGTTAGCCGTCTCTCACGTGACGTGGTCTGTGGTTTAAGCAAGTGCTCGACATTTCGTCATATCGCAGATAGCATCAGGTATGATGAAATAGGCTTACCTATAATTGCTGGTGTAAGTTTAAGTGGAAAAGACCGCTCTAGACAGCGCAGTTTCTCTGTTTAGTTAATATGCTGCTCAATACGCTATTGTTTGGTTATGTCATCGTACCCTTCACAACAATGATTCAGGGCCAATTGACGTCCGTTAAACTTGAAAATCGTGTTCATGAACACCAGATATGAACCACTCGACAAATATATTTTCTTGGCATCGATCGCTGCCTGGCTAATGGCTTATGGATGAATTTGAATGACGTTAGCATGCGTCGTGGATGCCTGGGTGACCTTGAAAGTCTCCCCGAAATAGTCTGCACATCTTCGCGGGCGTATAGCTCAGAAACTGGAGGGGTTCTGGCCTTCAGGAGGGCAGGGCTGTGAATTGCACCGTGTGATCTCCAACATCACGGTTTCAGTTCAAAACCCCATACAAACGTGGAACGCTACGTTTAATGCAAACATCTCTCTTCGCCATGCCTGCCACTGCTGCCTCTGCGCCTCGTGATTAGTGTGTTCGATTAATGTTTGACACCGTAGTGTGGGGGTGGAGCACAGTTCGTCATACATTCCTGAGAATTACACATCACAGAATGCACCATCTTATGAACCGATCGAAACACCCAAGTAGCTTGATTTGGTGCAGATGCAACTTACGTTTTTCTTCAATGGCGGGCAGATGTGGTTGCTTCAAGCCTCGTAGCCTTATCGCTGGCACATGCCCCACTAATTAGGCGGAGATCCTCTCCTTTCCCCTCTGACAGGTGGCCAATGGTCGTCCTCCATGGGATGTGATGTATCGTTAATACATCTGCCACCGCCAGACCGGCCCTTGTGCCTCGTGATTTGTGACCGACTGATGGATGCCGCTAGTTATCTGATTAAGTATTTCCTGTACGCACGACAGCTTATCCACAGGACGATACCGCCAAGCATCGGACACCAACGGCTTTTCACATCGCCTTGGCACCCAACTACTACTCATGTGACCGCTTGCGCGAGTTTCCGCGCGAAGGGCACGTGGTTTGGCCCCCTTCAAAAGAACTGAAGTACGTCCAAGGATGTAGCTGTTCGTCACGCGTAAAGGGAGAGGCAATTATTCATGATACCCTAATTGCGCGTTTGTAAGGCTCCATAAATCAACCGTTATCACCTCAAATGTTCCTCCTGATCTTAGGGTTCAGTGGTAACCATCCAAGTTCACATGGCTTCATTTTCACCTAAACGCCGTCTGAAGCATCCATCACGATTTAGCTCTGCTCTTGTGAAGTTCGTCTGCTGGCAATAACCAGTCCAATGGGACAACCTTGTGCTACATCCATTAGAAAACAGGTCGCACGTGTCCAATGATCCAGTCACAAAATATATGAAAACTCTGGCATACTTGGGTAGGTGAGAGGACCCATGCGGCGCCTTTCCGTTCTGCACTTAACATCATGTTGAGATGAAGGATGGTTCAGAAAAATGCGTAAGTAGCTGATGATTCAATGGATGAATGAACGTTCACCTCTGATGACTTAACAGACGCGTCTTAAGTATATGTCCGGGCGCAGAAACCACGACGGTCGTTCCAACATTTCGCAGTAATCCGATCCATTACTTAGTTGCCGTTGCCATGGCAGCTGTGTGACACTGAGTGCGAGTCGAATCCTGCTGCACTGGTTCCAGCCGCAATGCTCCAGAGACGAGTCAGTACAACGAAAAGAAAGCACTGATGCCTCTTGGCAGCCTGAGCAGTTCTTTCAGAATTATACACTTACCACTGTAGGGGAAAACATGCGTTGGGTTCTGTGCGGGCCACCCTGTACTCCTAAAAGCTGTCACATTGTAGTTTATTGTTCTTTGTCTTAATCAAGGCGACATCAGTTGAAAAACTTGTCGAGCATTTGCAGACTCTCTTGACTATTGAAGGAGTTGGCATGACACAAACATCATATGTCTACAGGATACTATTTGGTATAACATGATGCTAAAAGCGATGTTTTAGGTAGCTCCTACCTAACATACCATTAGTTAAGATACTTGTTCTCTTTATTTGGCTCAGTATCCGGATCCGATCTGTCTTTGTGCGTATGCATTGAGAGGGCTCAGATGAGCATTAAGGGGGGGGGGGGGGGGCTTGATTCGGCATTGGGGCTCCGGCTTTCCCAAAAGTATAAAAGTGACGCCCCTGAGTTGTGTCTCTTGGTACCCCGAGAGCCATATTTGCAATACCATATTTGAAACCATATCACCACATATCCGGAACTTGACACTATATTTTGACGTCACCATATTTGGAATGACCATGCGAGTCGCCCATGCTGAGTCGAAACGTTTCATGAGCCGCATGAATTTGAGGAATGAATTGGCAGCGGACAAAAAACGTTCTTGGTTAACCGGAGGCTTGTCACTTGACTCTAGGTCACCACATTTCAAACAGACGAGTCTAAGCTGAATCGATTAATGAAGGTTTTGCGCAAATCGATTGCAGGATTAGACGCATGGGGTTAACAGCAGATCCGGCCAGCAAAACAGATCTACCTAGGTGACCCTAGCATTTTCCGGGTCTCCTGTTAACCAGTTGAAGTCTGCCTTAGCGCGCCACTTTTACTACTTTTATTATTCTATTGATGTTGTATTTCAACGTGTTGCTGACGATCTGAATTTAAGTTTGACGCCTAATTTGAGTAACCAGATGTCTTCTGCTCGTTCATGATACCGTGTTCGGTAATAATCTCTCACTCGAAAAATTCCATAATAGAGTACCGCGCCGGAATTTTCGTGGCAATCGACAGCATTTAGGGGTAAATGTGATGAGAGTTGTGGGCTTTGAGCCAGGGGCACAGTTTGAGTGACTAGACAAGTGGGGAAGTAGATACTGGCGGGCATTGGGTACCGTAAGTACCTGAACTAAGCATTCGTATGTTTGTAATCCACTTTCAAAGCACGTTTGCACGTGAGTCTGATTCCTGCTGGTTTAGACCTAGTTCATCTCAGCTTCTGAAACTGGCTGGTGCAAGTCGGAGTTTGATTCACCTGTGATTTATATACTTGAGTTCGGAATCTATCCGAGCCTGGCCAGTTTCGGACCCACGCCTGGAGTCAGTGCGGTGCTAAGTGTTTCATGTCTTCGCATCAGCCAGCCGGGATCTAACGACCTTCATCAGGCTGTCGTCAAATCCTCTGCAGCGCGCGCGACGGTCACCCCCGCCTGTACGTCCGAAATTCGTTTCCTGTTGAGGCGGGGCAGCGTCGTGTTCCATCCTGGCGCTGTCGCTTTTCGTCCAGCCAGACCTCCGGACATTTGACCAAAAAGCCGGTCAACATGACCCGTCGATTAGCGGGCCGCGCCGGCCAGCCCCGAAACCCGACACCGTCGACCGGGACCGGCTGGCCGCACACGGTAATGGATTTCCGATCCCGCTGCTCGCAGGACGATCGGCGAGATTGGCTCGGCCGCCAGTGAGGCGGCTGCCGATCGAGCTCCATCGCGACGAAGACGTCCTGGGATGGGCGCTCATCACGGTGATCGCACGGTGCAACACGGGACGGGACACGACGGCCCACACAGGCATGCTCTTTCCTTACTTCCGGCTGCTTCAGGAGAGAATAATGCGCTTCACAGGCCACCGCTGTATCTTGAACACAAGCGGCACTTGTCCGTGCTGTAATCAGTGCTTGTCCAACACAGCCTACACATGCATTCTTGACCCCAGTGAGTAATGCCCCGCCCCACACCGAGGAAAAGCCGATAACAGCTTGCCCAGTGTTCAGCGCTGAGAAACACTCAGTAAAAACACAGTCTTGCTTCCGTACCGTGCGGAAGAGGACCACTGCTCCCAGAAGCCTGCCGTTCAGTTCAAATCCAACCGCCTAATGGATGATGGGAAGCGTACCGATCCGACGCTAACAAGGCATGCAGCTTCGTCGGAAGTAAATTTTAATGTGACGCCTGTTGCACGCTTTACGAGCGCGCGACACGGAAGGATCCACAAGCCATAATCCATTTCTTGGACACGCGAGCGCCACGCACTCACGGAAGCAGAAGCAGGACGGAACAGAAGCAACGCAATTTCAGCTAGAAATCAGGTAGCAGCTGGACAAATAGCAATGGTTACACGCATGCGTCTACGCCAGTTGCGATAGCGGTAAACGCGATGACTATCGGTAAAAAATGCGATGGATTCATGCAAGTTTGAAGAGGTTACAGACCGTAAGGCCGACCAACAGCTCAGACCCCGAACATTGGGGTCCGCCCATCCTCGCGCTTCGGATACACAGCCGATGGAATACACGCAAATCCAGTTTCGGCCCGATCACGTTTCACTTTTGAGCGTAAGTTGGCCTTGTCCTTGCATCGCACCTGTATTGCTCGCTCAGCCCCACAAACTAATATGGCAAAATCTGCACACCTTGAGGCTCATTACCTAGACGTTGGCAATACATACACTACAGATTAGTCATGTAGAAATGTGGACTGGAATGTGGCCAAATGGAACACAATTCTCTTTCTGTACCTTGCAACTCACAAACTAAGCCCCTGTACCCAGTCAGGCATGGTACATTTTGGGGGCATTTCCGACAAGAGCACAACCGCGGCACGCGCAATCATCTGCAGCTCATCGCCATCCACCCAGTCCTCCTGAGTCCTCACCGTTATATGACGGCGACCCGGAGTGTTCCGGGCGGTCGTCCCCTCGTGCCCGTAACACCACGTGTGAGAAGAACAGCGGGAAGACCACCATGGCACTCATCAGACACTCGTTGCGGTCCATCGTCCACCTGTCGGTTCTGCCCACGCTCAAAGTCGTGGGAAGCGGCGCTTCACGTAACTTATCCGGAAGCCACTTAAAAAGGCTTGGAAGAGAAACTACCGGCTACGCTCGCAGACACTTCAGGAGCCTTTCTTCGTGCGGTGCAGGGACCAACCCGGCGCGCGGATGGGATATTGGCTGAAAATGCCTGATGCCGGTCACGGTGGAAAGGCAGGACCACTTCCAATGTTTGCGATATTTTCACCGCTGGCAAATATTCCTGTGGTCAGTTCTTTGGGTGATTGTCTACCCTCCACCGAAAATCAAGTCGGTTCCACACGCCACACAGCCCCCTCTCCCACAACACCGCAAGACTGTTCTTCACTGCGCGCAGCAGAAGACGCCGGGCGCCGCATGCCCCGGGCTCTACCGCTCGCGTCGGCGGCTACCGACTTCTACCAAGTCTACCGCCCGGCACCGTCGGCGCATTTGTCGAGACTCAAGGCCATTCAGCCGGGCCTGCTACCATGCGGCTGACCGTACTGCCGGCGCTACCAACTCCGCTCCACCGGGTGGTCGAGAGTATAAATCGATAAGGGCTGCGCAGCGTGCGCGGCAGTTCCACGCCGCGACCGCGCGGGGTGCGGGGGATTGTGGTTGTGCAGCCGAGCTCAACGGAGGCTAGTTTGCCGCCAGTTCTGCAAGATGGAGGATGGAGCCGTCAGATGTCTGCTGCGTGCCACCAACTTCGCCGCTGTGAAACACAAGGATCAGCGTCGGAAAGATCCAGAGGGCACACCATACATCAACCATCCTATCGGTCAGTGGCTGGCTGCGCGTGGTCACACGCGACTAACGCCGGGCATGTGACGTCATCGATGTGGGGAAGTCACAAGCGCGGGAAGCAATCCAAACTCATTGGCAGATGTTTTTGGACCTTGCTTCATGCCTTGTCATGCAAACCCGTAGGGCTAACGCTACACTTTTTCTAGGACGAGGGAGAGGGATGGGGATAACGCTTCTCCCCTGTTTCCCAGCTTTGCTTGGAGCGCCCGTCCTGCAAGTGACTCCTTTTGCTGGGCTCGTGATTCTCCTTGTATATTCTCCATGCGCCTTTGTATGTTAGTTGAGTGATGGCCGTCGGCCCACGCGGCGTATGATGTCCGATTTCCCACATATGTAAAGGGGTGTTTGTATGTGTGTGCGTGCATGCGTGCGAGCGCGCATGTGTGATTTGTTGTCAAGGGGCACACACACGCACACATACACACACAGCACTCAATACCCCGTGACCTTTGGTATGCCAGTCGGTGCGGCAGACACATGCACTCGTGAATGCGTACATCCGCAGGCGAGGGACCGATTTAAAAGTGAAAAGGTATACAGACTGGGTATGCTTGAAGGAAATGTTTTACACATGAAGGTATTGAAGCAAGCATCAGATATGATGAAACAAGCTCAATTAGAACTATCGTCACACTTTTGAGGAGTAAGACCGCTCCAGACAGCACAATTTCTCTGTTTAGTTTATATGCTCCTCGATACCTCATCGCTCGATTACGTCATCGTACCTTGCTCACCATTGGTTGAGAGTCAGTAGGTGGTGCAATAGGTGCAGATGGTTTCAGGGAGAGTATTGCAAGGGCACCCAGGTATCCATGACGCCACAATGATATCATTCAAAACTTGCCATTCCATTACTCATACAGCAATCAAGGCCAAAAATATAATTGTCGACCCATTCATGTCTGACGTCCGTGAACACGATTTCCAGACGTAACGGCTGTCAATTGCTCTCAAATCAATGCTATGCAAGGCACGATGACTTAAACAATGGCTCGAGCATGTTCCCTAAACAGAGAAATGGTATTGTCGGGAACAGCCTTTTCCACTTAAGGATACCAATAGTTATAAGTGAGCTTATTTTGTCATTTTTGATGCTTGCTTCAATGTGTTTGGATGTGAAACATTCCATTTAAAGGGAAAGTTTGACGTTGGAAGATATTGAAGCAAGCATCAGATACGATGAAACAAGCTAACTTGCAACTACTCTTATGCTTTTTAAGTGGAAAAGACTGCTCTTGACAATACAATTCTCCGTTTAATTAATATGCTGCTCAATGCGTCATGGATTGATTACGTCATCGTACCTTGCACAACATTGATTGAAAGCCAGTTTACGGTCGTTATATCTGGAAATCGCGCCACGAACGCCTGAGATGAATCCTGTGACATTCATCTTTTTCTTGGCCTTGATCGCCGCATGACTTACGGAGTGGCAGGATTTAAATGACGTTATTTTGACGTCATGAATGCCAAGATGACCTTGAAATACTCCCACCGAAATGTCTCCCCCATTTTTGAGGACCTGTACCTCAGAAACTAAAGGGGCTTAAGTCTTAAGAAGGGAAGCATTGTAAACAGTACCGAAAGGTCTTCAAGATGGCTATTTCAGTTTAAAGCCTCATACAAATGTGGAACACCCCCTTTGAACGGAGTTTTTCACATTTGTATGCATGTGAAATAACCACTTTGAAGATCATTTACAAGATTTACAGCCCCACATCTGTCAGGCTGTGTAGATTATTTCGTGCGGACTAACTGTAGGCCGTTAGGCATGCATAAAGCCATAGCATCGCCATTCAAATTCTGCCATCCCATTGGCCATGCGGCGTTCAAGGCCAGGAATAATAGTGTCGTCGGCCCGTTTACAACTGGCGTCCGCGAGCATGATTTATAAGTGTAGTGGACGTCAATTGGCTCTTAATTAATGTTGGGCAGGCTGCGCAAGTTTCAATCCCGAGTCATGTTGTGTGCTACGTAATGTAATGATCGGGAAAACGTTACTAGTTTTTGCGGAAATATGACTTGCGATCGAATAGCTCAAGGATAGGACCATAACCGAATATATGAATGCGCCTAAAGATCTCAAACTCACTGATAAAAATACAAGAGCACCGCGAGAAGGGCCAAACATAAACACATAACGATACTTGACTCAGCGAATGCTTCCAGCACCGCCACTTGCATCCCTCAGCGGGTGAAGTACTGCAAGTGAGTGCTTGGGTGGTGATTTCCCACAGGTAGTTTGGCAGCACCGCATTCTCACAAACGTTTCATGTCCCAATCAAGCTATGAGGTATTGAGGAGCGCGTTTACTAAAATATAAATTTTGTTGTTCAGAGTGGTCTTTTCCCCTTACAAATGTGGGAATACGTATAAGCAAGTTTGTTTCGTGGTACTTAATGTCTGCTTCAACGTCTTCAAATATGGCACAGCTCCGTTAGGAACTTGTTCTGAAAAGCCAGCCTGGTGACGAGGAGGGGGAGGGGGAGGGGCGTTGGAGATGGATGGACTTTGTGCTGTTTATTCACATAAGACATTTTGGATTTGAGTAAATTTCATACCTACTGTGCTATATATACGCCCACAGCTGTCTCCCCAAGCCCCCGCATCACTGCATTCTGGGTGGCGATGCTGTGACGTCATCATGGGACTAAGTCATGGCACCAACGCTCTGGCGGTGTGAAAACGCTGTTCTTTGGAGGTTGATTTAAGCATTTCCATAAGCCGATTTTTTCCACCAAGCACTCAATGAAACATTTTCAGCTGGGAAAGGGCTTTCGTTTGCACCAGAGCCACAAAATAATTGTTGAAATGTGCTTCCAGCCTGCTCCTAACAGACAGCTGGGCTTGTCCATTCACCAGTGATTTATCCCGAAGAACTTTAGCCGAAAGTGCTTAGAAACAGTCTGTGTAAAAGAGTGCGACATGCAACAACAACAACAACAACATAGGATGGAAATGAGATACGGCGGGCCAGACAGGCTCGCAGCACCCTGGGACGCGTATTGAGAGGTTGGTACGCACATCCGGTAGCCTTAGGGAGAGCGTTGTCAGGGTGGATGCAGGGTTTGCCTGCCCTTATGGGGGCAGTTAGTGGTGAACCCCGGGGGCTTTAATACAGCGCGCGAAATTTCAGTTCAAGAAAACATAATTTTCCTGCAAAATGGACCGATTTCTGGTAAGTTTTGCAATTTCTGCCGGTCAAAGAATCGGGGCCCATATCTCAGGTCCGAAGTAGTCTAATAGGGATATTTTACGGCGCTGGGGGTATTATTCACCACGCACTATTTGTACCTAACTCATCTGACATGATAAATCTGCAAGTTTACCAATAAATGGGAGGATCATAGCATAGCAACAGCGAAATTCTTGGCACTTACCTTCCTCGCATCACGTTATTTTCACAGTTCGCTCCATAAAGGTACTGCAGTACGAAGATATTTGTGCAATCATTGCCCATTAATTAATTCAGTGTAAGCATTGCATATTATATTTTTATTTACATATAAATATTCCTTTTACAAAAATGCATTACAGATAGATATTCACGCCCGTTGGCCTCGACGAATATGGCACGGGTGCTGGAGCTAAAAAGCCTGGTTTAGTAGGACTTATTTTTGGAATCAGATCCCAATATTGATTTGTCTTTAGAAGGTTTGAATTGCAAAATTACAATATCTGCTCACATAATATTAAAATAAACTTGAAGAGCAGGGTTGCCATCCAGTTCAATGGCGAAATCTCCGTTTTTTTATCACGTGACTAGTGTCTACCAACCTTTTCGTGGTACCATCCCAAAACCATACTGCTGGCCACCAAAGCTTAGTCCCATGGTGTCGTCACGTATGCGTAGCCTTCTCTAGTAGTCTTGTGTCTCCCCTACTGGTGTGCAATCTTACCTATTCGACTCGCCTGTGCCATTCGGCAAAAACTACCCGGCTTCCCTAAACTGTTCCTCCTTTTCAGTATTGTTTCCCATGCAGATGCAAAATTCCACGTGGGGGAAGGCATTTTGGGTCATTGGTAGGCAGATGCCTCCCAATCACCCAAAATGCCTTCCCCCACGTGAAATTTTGCATATACTGTAGATGCAAAAATATGGCCTAGGTTCAGGCTGGTCAGAAGTTTTAATTTCAATCAATGGCCCTTAGTACGCTAGAGCCTGGACTTCGACAAATGCTTTTCAAGGGGTAAGACTTTTCGTAGCATTTTAGGTGAAAAAATTAAGAATCTTCAAATACTACTAGCCAAAAACAAGGTAATACAAACCATAAAAGTCACAGAAAGGTATTTTCATATATTCATTGTCTGAGCTCTACTTCCGCTCGCCCGTCAGCAATCACTGCCCGGGACCGACTGCCCCCTGCTAAGTCAATGTAACTGCTTTGTTGCCTGTGTATGGATCAGCATCACTACTCATTAGTGAGTAAAGCATATATAAGACACCTAGTGCGGTTATTTTTCTCAATTAGCTCCCCTTTCACCACACACAGCGTAAAATAAACGTTCGGAAAACCTCCTGTGTCTACTTTGCTTTGCTGATCTGCTTTTGTGTGTAGGTCAGAGGCAATGGGTTTTTAAGATAAGTTCCGTACCTATATCTATCGTGGGTGCTTGGTGTAACCCGCCATGCCAGCATAAAAGTTGGTGTTTTGTATGTTACCGAATGTCCGTGCAACTTACGTAAAGTTATCGTTCTTGCGCTATCTGGCTTAAACTGTGGTCGTTATTTGAAATACCTGGCAGGTTTCACACACATTCTGCAAATATCATTATGACCTCATTTGCCTGACGAATATACACCAATAGTTTTCCTAAAATACCTGAGGTTACGGTGAACGTCTACGATAGACATAGGTGCACAACTCCGTAAAGAAATACGTGCCTACAAAAAAAACGTCAAGTCGGCTACGTCAAAAGAGGGTCAAATGGGTGCCCTGTGGACGATTCCAAGCCTAAGGCAGGCAGTTTCTCGAGAGCTTATGTTCTGCTGTGGCGTGGTGCAGGGGAAGTAATTCGGAAATAGTTATGTAGCAGGTATTTCATATTCTTCACACACCATTAAGTAGCGATGTTGATCGGTTGTCATAATTGGGACTCTACTACGCACTCAGCTGCAGAGACTGTATGGGGTCGCTTGCTTCTTACCATGGTAGGAAGGGCGGGCACCGCGGTGAATCATACCCCGTACCTTTAGTTTCCCAGATGCGCAATTAAACCACTTCACTACCGGTAGCCTTGGTGCTGATCCAGGAGCGTGCAGCAAAGCAGTCGCACGATCTGTTCGCAGACTGCAAGGCAGGGAAAAGTCGGTCCAGTGCAGGGGCCGCTGACGGCGGATGGGAGCAGGGCTCAGGCAAGGAATATCGGAAAGAAGAGCCTTCTTTCTGAGACTTGTTTTGTTGCAGGAGAAACCCCGATTTTATAGCTTTTGTCACATTGTTTTGGCAGTTAGCATATGGAGCTTCCAAATTTGTTTCTGCCTGAAATGCTATGACAGAAACTTATATTTTGAAAAGCAGTTGGCGAAATCTAGGCATATGCGACGTCTGGCGCACTATGCGTCCTTGATTCGAATTGGAAATTCTTTCCAGTCTGCGCTCAGGCCGTATTTCAACATTCAAACTATGGAGGCAGACGCCTACTCAGTGACCCCAAATGCTTATCCGCTCGTGGAATCTCGCCTCCCCAAAGAAAGCAATGCGGAAATGGCGAGTAACTATAGGAAGCTGGGTCATCTTATTTGTCAAACGGTACAGATGAGTTGAACGGGTAAGATCCTGCACCAGTAGGACACGGCTGTGGATGCGTAACTAGCATAGCAACCATGCCATTTACTTGGTTACAAAATGTGTTGTGTAAATTAAGGGCACTTTGAGTTATCTATTTTCATCCCCTCCCCGGTCGCCGGGCTTGCCATCTGTCAGTTCCTTAAGCATGCCCTGAGCTGGGTTCCGACTTTTTGAAACGTTCCTTCGCCTATAGCGCTGTGTGTTCTAAGCTAGGTGCACTGTTTTGTGCGATCTAACACTTTCCTGCCCTGGTTGGAGGTCCTTGCCTATGTAAACGGTGCCCGCTACGCGGACGCTGTGCTCTTTGGCATAGCTCGCACTAGTTATTTTAGGGCTAATGATTGCAGCCTAACTACCTGAAACCTGATACCGTATGCGTTTTACGACGTATTGGGGGCAGGGCCGGCAGGATATAGTTTTCTATTCAGTTGGGTAGGGAGGGAGTCCAGCACCCCCATCTCCACCCGAAATTGAACGCCCCACAAGTTTGAGGGAAGAAATGGGCAAATTGCGTGGAGAAACCTATTTGTCTGTGTATTTTGGAAGCAGGTTTCTTAATTTCTCACTGCTCATCTCCCCCAATCGATTTCGCGAAACTTCACCCCCGCATGACGAGCGTGAATTGCGGGTGTTCAGTACCTTGATTGCCTAATGCCCTACAATTCAATACGTATGCTCAGTGCTGAGGGGCGTAGTTGTACAAAATGAGTTGGTCCAAACAGCGAGAAATGACCCAACCTACCGCCGAAATACGCCAATAAACGGGCCTCTCGTCGGTTTTGGTTAACTTTCCTCTCATAGTTAGGAGGGAGGCTGGAGCCCGAGTTGGGGACTGAAGCCCTCCGCTCCCCCCCCCCCCCCCCCCCAACTGAACAGGAAGCTGCACTCCTGCGTATAATACTCATACTACGTAATCAGCAAGCTCAATTGGCAAACAGCCATGGTGAGCATCTTGTGCTCTGTGGATTGCATATTGCTCAGGATAAGTCATGACGCATCGTGCTAGCCGTGGCGTGGCTTGCTAATTAAGCTTGCTGACTACGTGGCATTAGAAAGATGTGTAGAAAATGCAGCTGGTGCATGTGCAAAGCGCATTCAGCCATGTGGGGCCGGGCTTGTGTGGGCGAGGAGGGCGTCGCGAGCGTGCATTATATGTTTACGCTGTATGAGTCATATTTTCGGATGTGGATTGGACACTGGTGATTTCTTGCCCGGCCACCCGCCCGATATGATTAGCTCAGGCGCGCTGACGCGTTCACAAGGCAATCTTTGGGACCAGTAAGGGATGTACCTACCAGCCGAGTCGTCACTCCGCACGATGTGACGACACGACACGACGAAGTTTATTGATTGCAGGTGTGGCGTATATTCTGATGGATGAGGGCGATGTCACCGACATTGAAGTCTTGCAGGCAGCAATTCTGCACGACACGGTAGAAGACACCGACACGACTCTAGATGAGATTCAGGATGTTTTTGGTGAGAAGGTGAGTGGTTTCCTCCAAAGTTACCTGGAGGGTGTCGAGCGTTGCTCGAAATGAACCATCGTCATTTACCCAGAACTTATCCAGGCATCAAAAGACGGCTACCGCTCGAATACGATGCTCCTTAAAACGTTCGGCCTAGCGCTTGTCGACTCTGCGGCCTCGCCAAATTGTCGTGAACATCATACACGGTGTGTATGGCTTGCGTTACCTCCCTGTGAGCAGCAGTTGCTCTCGGAATCATTTGACGGCGACTGCCCACTCTGCCTCCAGGTGCGCTCAATCGTGGCCGAGGTGACGGACGACAAGACGCTGCCGAAGGCGGAGCGGAAGCGGCAGCAAGTGCTACACGCGCCCACGCGCAGCCACCAGGCCAAGCTGGTCAAGTTGGCCGACAAGCTGTACAACCTGCGCGACTTGACGCGAGCCACTCCGGCGGGCTGGGACCAGCCGCGCGTGGAAGAGTACTTCCAGTGGGCCGCGCAGGTGGTGGATGGCGTCCGGGGCACCAACAAGGCGCTGGAGGCTAAGCTGGACGAGGTGTTCCGTCAACAGAAGGCCTGATGCGCGGCGAGGTCGGAGGCCTTGGCGCGGCATTGCACGGCTTGTTTACGCGCCTGCGATGCGTTGTATGCGCCTAGCGGGTTTGCTGTGGGAGCGCGTGAAAAAAGCGTCATGCTGATGGGCTTGCGGAAGAAACTCTCGGGTTTTGGAAACTTCTGTTTTGAAGATCTGTACTGAGACTGAAATGGGAAAGGGTGATCGGGAATGTTGCGTGTCTTGCGCGCGCGTATGCGTGTGCACTTCAACTTGCGCGCGTATGCGTGTGACGGTATTGTCAATACTCATCTCAGGGCAGCAAACATTTCTACAACCCCGGGGCGTAGCTCCCGAACCCGAAGCTCCTGAGCCCAAAGGTGAAGATAAATTTTGCATTCACTTGAATTTTGAACGTAGTTTTACACGTTCTGAGAGAGGGCTGATGAACTATGGCGGCGTCTAAGAGTATTGCAAGGTATGTGAGATGCAAGATTTCTACCTGATTTATTTACATGATTTTGTTCCCGGATCTAGACGCAGTTAGGCTCACGAAAGCGGAGATGCACCCAACGAGCTGTAGACGGAAGCTGGAGGCCACAATTTGGTTGCCTAGAATGATGACGTGTGCTGGATGCGAGTACAATGTTCCCACCTGTCGGTATCACGCCTACGCTGCTTTTATCTTTCACTGGCAAGCCGCCTCCCCTGGTGTAACAATATATGCGTGCTTTACTATGGCTGCACATGGTAAGGATCGTGCCTTTGCCCTTCGGGGATAGTAGTTATGTATAGACATTCATGGTCTCAGCATAATGCAAAAGACCGTTCTTAGTCAATTGCATGTCGCTCATCAGCCCCACACCGATGACATAATTGGGTGTAATGACTGGGCGTGAAATAAACCTATTCGCCGAATGCAGCGTTGTCACTGAAGCGAGCCAAGATACTTTCCTGCACCTGCCCTTGCCTTTGATAACAAGCATGCGTTAGTTTCTTGCGGTGACTTGTATATTTACCCCATTCCTGTCACGGCGCAGGCTCCTAACGCGGTTTTACTACTCTGCGATCAAACTGCGAAGGCGAGGAATGGCTGCATTTTAGGCTTTTCTAATCTTCACGATTTCCATTGTTTCCCGCTTGATGTAGCAAGCTTTCCTCTCTCCCAAGACCCATGACTCGGTTGATACAATGACGATGCTACACATGGAAAAACTAAGTTATACTTGAGCATGCTCCTGATCCAGTGCTACCAAACCAACGCCAATGAAATGTCACTAAATTAGGACTTGGATCACAGGTTCGCTAGACAGCTTCAGTTGATTCGGCCGACGTCGAATGAGGTGCAAGCTCCTGTTTGTATTGAGCGGCCTCTAACAGTCTACTGTGCCAGCCTGAAATAGAGCGTTACCAGCACAACACCGTATACTGTATATCCGGCGCCGCCAAAAAATCTGAGGATCCCAGAAGCGTTGTGGCCTTCCGCCCAATCTAGGTGAGTCCGGCTGCTGCTTGATCGAGTTCTGACGATCACTTATTCTGGAACCACTGCGGTGTAGCTGACGAAAGGCATGCCCCATCTTCCCCGGAACGAACCCAGTACCCGTTCAACAGTGAACCATCCATCCGGCTGTGATGCCGCCCAGCGGTCTGTGGTGCAGTGCTCCGCGGGAGTGGGTGGGCAAAATGTGTCGGGGAGTCCACGGGGTGACGATGAGGTAGCCACGTAATGCACCCTGCAGTCGATCTCCGCGCCGACGGAAGGTCACGTGGGATTGATGGAAATCTTCCCGCTTCACGATGTGCATTTCGTATCGGGCGTTGTAGCGTGCCGGAGCCGCGGCCAAACACAAACAAATCCAGGCGACTAGTGGTTACAGCTGTTTCGCCTAAGAAACACGCTACCACGCCCAGTTCTCCGAAGTGGTGGGCAATTCTTATTTATCTGATTAAGATATCTTCGCGTTAAAGTAACAGATGACAGCATTGCGGTAAAAACGCATTGACGAAAAAAATATGATCCGGTATCATCGACGGTGGGTCTCCGTGTTCACGCAAGGTTTCGGTTCATGTTCAGATCTTTTTTGTTAGATTCAGCACCACTGTCGAGGACAACATTCCGACTAAATGTGTCATTCGTACTCATACCTAATCTAAAGAGTTCCGCGTAGCTATAAATAACGTAAGTGTGCACCAAGGTGGATGCCAGAGACGAGATCAACGATATGAACACATATATTTAAATGTACCACAATTCCATTGGCGCAAGACAATGGCACACAAGCTGAGAAGCGTGATGCAACCTGATCAGAATGATGCGTACTTTGAAAGACATCCGACAGACCACCCGTCTGTAAATCCTCGTTTCAGCTAGGCGCAACGAACGGTTGACTAATTTACTTTGTGAGAGCAAAGATGAGCGTAAGTCGTTGACCGACCTGGACATGTGGTAAATGAAATAGTGATAGACGTCAAGTGCTTGGCTATCTCCGTCCTACTTTTCGATGATTTGCAAATCCATGCCGGATTAGGTGACGGCAATCCTTGCCTTTAGCATGACAGTCCATTTTGCTGGCTTCTGAGCCATTACAAACACCTTGGATCACGCCAACCGCCGGTGGTTGGTCTACGCTGTGCGCTTGCCGACTAACCATCATGACAACAGATGAGATCAAAAGATCGCTATATCGGCACATCCAAAGAAGTGCTCCTGAGGGCCGCACCCGATCCGCCCGATCCGCCTGTGCTTTCCTGACTTGGAGCAGTACCCCCAATTGTTGCCCGCAGTGTACTTCCACTGCAAACATAGAGGAGTCGGCTCGTCACTTCCCTTTTTGCTATCTCCCAACTCTCTCTCTCTCTCTCTCTCTCTCTCTCTCTCTCTCTCTCTCTCTCTCTCTCTCTCTCTCTCTCTCTCTCTCTCTCTCTCTCTCTCTCTCTCTCTCTCTCTCTCTCTCTCTCTCTCTCTCTCTCTCTCTCTCTCCTCTCTCTCTCTCTCTCTCTCTCTCTCTTCTCTCTCTCTCTCTCTCTCTCTCCTCTCTCTCTCTCTCTCTCCCTTCTCTCTCTCCTCTCTCTCTCTCTCTCTCTCTCTCCTCTCTTCTCTCTCTCTCTCTCTCTCTCTCTCCTCTCTCTCTCTCTCTCTCTCTCTCTCTCTCTCCTCTCTCTCTCTCTCTCTCTCTCTCTCTCCTCTCTCTCTCTCTCTCTCTCTCTCTCTCTCTCTCTCTCTTCTCTCTCTCTCTTCTCTCTCTCTCTCCTTCTCTCTCTCTCTCTCTCTCTCTCTCTCTCTCTCTCTCTCTCTCTCTCTCTCTCTCTCTCTCTCTCTCTCTCTCTCTCTCTCCCTCTCTCTCTCTCTCTCGCTCTCTCGCTCGCGCGCGCGCACGTGCGCTCTGTTTTGAAACTGGTAAACGCAGAGAACACGACCCCTTTTCACGACAGTCAGGTGAGCCAACATGCGATTTACGCCGCCGATGGCTGGCATGAGAACAGTCATTAACGTCGAAGACAGACGGGTGTTCTTGAGCCGAAGTCAACTGTGAGCAATGGCGATTGGCAGACGGACGGCCAGACATGGTGCCGAGGACAGCGCTAGGTGTCACGCAAGTCATCCGGTGTAAACGGCATCACTTGGACAGAGCCGTAGCCGAGGTCAGCGATAGTTGACAGATGGGCACACCAGTGAGTCATCACTGCAAGCAGACAGACAGACACGCAGCGCCCAGCGTGCGCGGACACCCCAGCCCTCACCTGGAAGACGCAGTGTTTGCAGGTCACGGAGGCCGGCAGCTGCAGCGGCACGATCACCATCCTCATGCCGCCGGAGATTGGGTACCGAGTAGAGCCAGTGCCGACTACCTGCAGGCGATGCCTGAAAGGGAGCGGTCCGGTGGTGCTGAGGAGGTCAGCCACAAGCGCCAACGGCTGGGATAGGGCAGGGTTCGACTACCAGTAGCATGACTGGGGTGAGTGGGCATCACAGAGTCGAGAATGGCCTGAGAATGTGAAATAACAATAGCCTATGTATATATATATATATATATATATATATATATATATATATATATATATATATATATATATATATATATATATATATATATATATATATATCATTACTCTCATGTGACCAGCCAGAGACTTCGCTTCAGACGTTGGCATTTTTAAGCTGTTTTAGGGGAAAAGGAAATATTTCACCTTTGCAGATATTGAGGCAAGCATCAGATCTGTGAAATAAGGTCCCTTATAACTGTTGGCATGCTCTTAAGTTGAAAATAATGCTCTAGACAACGCAATTTTTTGTTTAGTTTATATGCTCCTCAACACGACAATAGCTAATTACGTGATCGTACCATGCGTAACACTGATCGAGAACCAACTGACGGACGATTTTTCTGGAATTGTGCTCGCGAACACCAGATATGAACGACTCGAAAATTGAATTTTTCTTGGCTTTGGTCGCCGGTCATGGATACCTGAGTGACTTTGAAATAGTCTCCATGAAATTGTCTGCACATCTTCGCGGACGCGGAGCTCAGAAACTAGATGAGTTTAGGTCTTAAGAAGGGCAGGACTTTGAATTGCACCTATTGATCTCCAAGATCGCTTTTTCAGCTCGAAACCCTATGCAAATGTGGAACACTCTCTTTAACCCAGTTCTGGTTATGTGTCAACTCGGAGGCAATGGTTGGCAGAACTACAAAAAGACAGCGTAACGACGGATACAGGCCGCATTTACTGTTATCGGCTGCACGTGATACTGTTGTTGCCATGCGTGCATACAACCATATGGGTAAATACACACCATGCAGAACACTTCTTCCCATGCATATAACCACACTTCCTCCTTACCGGTCTAGACATTCCTGCGTTGCCTCCGCCGCCATTCCATGAACAGGGCAAATGCTGAATTCGAAGTAGCCCAGATGATTTGCCGTTAGCTGCACTTTTGCGTTGATGATCTGAAACATGCACGTAGTTGCAGTGGTGCAGCCAAAGCCGCGTTATTAGGGGGGGGGGGCATAAGGTTGGAAAGAACCCCGCTGGTGGCAACACGCTTTTCACGAAAAAATTGCCAGAAATGGCACACTTGATTTTGATGGGACGTTATTTTTCTGTTTCATTTTTGTTTCTTCCTTCTTTATCTTTTATCTCTTTGCTAACTCTCAGTTAGCTCCTTCTAAACCGATTGAACCCAGAGGCTTTGTCAGAATTCTTCTCTAGGTTGTAAAGAGATGTGGAGGCCCCATGGACGTAGATTGTAGATCGAAATGGGGTCACATATTGGAATTAACATGAACAACACATGCTCGTTTGAAAATGTTCCATCTTCAGTAACAAGCGAATAGTGAGAAACATCATATAATACGGTTTTAAACATACGCACTCGCAAATTTGAAAACAAAAACCGCGCCGCCTGACGTTGTAGTCTCCGTAGGCTGCGTGGCGTCGGCCCTGCCACTAATGTTAGGTGACGGCCAGGGGGGGGGGGACGAAAAGGATGACGCATCTGAAGCAAGTTCCATTGAGCGCCTTACAACATCGATCCGTGCGTTTAGGAAATAGCCTTATCCGTATTTCACCCGTGTGATTTCTAAATTGCTGTTAGGAATAGATTAGCCTTTCAGCACCACGAACTGGTGTTAGAATAAAAAAAAAAACGGGATGGCACTAGAGAGGCAGAATTAAAGCATATTTTCTTGTTGCTGTAACTGGAGGACAGGCTCAAACTTTAATGGTAAAATACACGCCTCAGTCTAATCTCTAAACCGTACGATCGGAAGCATTATTTCACGACGGGCGTTCTAACGCACGCTGTTGCTGAAACGCGACAAACACTGAACGAAACGCTGCACCGCCAGTGACAATCCAGAGCTCACGACCAAGCGAATCAAGGACTCCGATAACTAGGCGTCGGTACTGACCGCCCCTTTGCTGTACTTCTCCACGATGATGGCTGACTTGACGAACTTCGCACCGCCGATCTCATGGGCCCGCGGCGGTCGCTGGTCGTAGGGGTCGCCGCAGATGCCGCACTTGCCGCCCATCCGCTTCTGATGCTGGAGAGCGGGGAATCCGAAAGCTGAGGTCAGTGCGTTGCGAGACTTGGCTATTACGCGTAGTATCGCTTGCTGTCATGCTGGAGGAGCGGCCGATGCTGGATAGAAGGATCACGGCCATAAGTGCTAGAAGTGTAATTAAACCAAATGATTGTTGTTGCTTGGAAACGGCGCGCTGGAAGTCTTGCCGGCCGTAAATGTCAAAACATCATATTGAGAAACGTAGCGGCAACACTTTCCCGTTCTTAGGGCATGGAGACATCGTGCAGATCAAGATCGGCGCTTGAGCCGCTTGTGTCCTGAAACGCGGGACCGTTTCAGTGACGAGAACACATACAACTGCTCGCACCACTGTGTCCTGAAACGCTGGACCGTTTCAGTGACGAGAGCACATACAGCTGTTCGCACCACTGCCGACTTGCGTTGACGCAGTCCAGTCTGTCCGGACACAGTGGGTCCGGGTGCAGTCGGTCCCTGATGCAGCGGTCCCTGGCGCACTCGGCCCCTGGCGCATTCAGCCCGCAGTCTCACCGTAAGGCCCCCGCAGTACAGCTGGTTGTCGGTGAAGTCGCGCGGTGTGTGGTACTTGCCGATGCGCCACATGCTCGCACGGCAGACCGGATGCAGGAGGCGGCCATGGCCGTCCGAGGAGGCCCACAGCTGCAGGCGGGTGAACCATGCGGTTTGAGGATGTCTCAGTTCCGTGTGCGATGTATGGGTGGGTTGTGCTGGTATCTTGATTGAAATAACTTTGCAATCATGCCGTCGCACTTGAAAACAGATGTTTTTTTGTATTATGACAAGCAACAGTCAACGAACATATGCATGCATCTGGGTGTGAAGGATTGCCGTTTGCTGGCATTTTGGGGCAGATGGTGACTTAATAGGGGTTTAATTTGGACAACAGGAGGCGCATTGAAGTTTTAAGGAAAAGCGCTCTGCACCCGGCTTTAAAGGCCGTTGTCCTGCTTACAAACACCTTATTTCTGAAGTTCATCTGGTTTTCTGTTCATCGCTGACTGGTACTTAATCTGTTACGGTGGTTGTGCTACCAAAACGTTGTCCCGTTTTGGTGGTCTTTAGAGCAAAGGGAGCATCGTAATTAGTTAAGCATGAGAGGACCCTGGCGCTCCCAACGTTTGCCTTACCCTCTAAATGCTCTAACAAAGTTACTACAGATTGCTCAGACACCAGAAGTCAGAAAAGTGTCTATGCTTTGCAAAAAAAAAAAAACACCAGCACCCGGCCACACAAACTTTTATGGGACAACTCTTATGAACTAACCATTGGCCCACCGGGATGAGTGATCCTGGACGAAGACAACCTTTTCAGAATGTGCAAGAGATGATACTAGTTTTTATGCGTATGAATACCAGTAGTTGTTTTTAGGAGCCCCGTTGTAGAAAAATTCAAGCCAGCTGTTCGATAATAGTTTCGGAGGCACCACTTACCATAGAGAAGCAAATAACCAGAGCGAGGCTTGACGCTGAAGCCTGAGAATAGAATGGCGTGAAAATTAACTGAACGGCTTCTAAGAACTGAGAAAACAACGCCAGATGAAACGAAGACGTTAAATTATGGTAACAATAGTCACATCAAACACATTTCTCTCAACTGCAAATGCAACGACATGCTGCAGCATGTAAACACTGCCTAGTAAGTACATGTCAAACGAATGCCAACCTGTATTTAGGGCATAACTTTAGGTTTCAAAGTGATGTTCTGCAGCACTTACCATGGCTGCAACACTCTTCTGCGAGATGCTCCCGAGACTCACATTGCTCTGCCGGCGTCGGAACTTTTAGTGGCCAGAACTGCCCTTTCGTTCCCGGACGAACGGCTTTCCACCCCGACAGGTCCGAACGCTGACATTTTCACTCACCCGCGCCGCGGGCGGACAGTCTCCTCGATCTGCGCCATATTTGTCGCGCGACAAAAACCTCAAATAGTTTGAGTGCGACAAACTGGTCTCTGACAGCACGCAGACCGCGTCCAGACCAACGAGGAATAACCGCTGTTCGCCGCCGCTCAAATGTGTCGTACAAGATAAGCCATGGGGAGTTTTGAACGCCGACATGACCTTTCATTGACCGGACCCTATGTTGAATCATATATCAAGGTCACTGACTCATCCATCAATATCAGTACTACATCCGGCTCTGTGGCTGGTCCTATAACAGGCTGCTTTTCGCCGTCGTGCACCGGCCACACCCACGCGCGTGTCGCACAATCCTCAGTAGTATATAACACTTGACGTGTACCCGTAGTGTAAAAGGCCTCAACTTACACTGTTCATTTACATGTGTATTTAATGTTCTAAGGTGTGCGTGATCCATATAATGGCAATATTTAGTATAGGATATGTATGACATAAAAGTCAATGTATCATCTTCCGTAACACTGCGGTGCAATCTTCATTCATGTTGTTTTACATGCTTTACTGTTTGTCGTGTTTGATCATCGAAAAAAACATCGCGCACATCTCTGGTAGAATCTCTGACTAAATCGTTCGAAACTGGTCATGGCGTCAGTTTTGCACGCACCAAAACATTTTGCTGCGTGTTTTTTAGAGAAAGAAATAATTTATAGATATACTGATTGGCATAAGCATCAAAGCTGCACTCAGGTTGATGACTCAAACGTTATGTTTCACAGAGTGACCAAAACCCACGGAAAACCATGCAGCACCCTTTTGTAGATGCCGTCTGCGACAAATCGACCGCAAAAATGTTGTTCAGCAAACTTGAGTACATGGGATAACCGTAGATGAACGTCCGTTTCTGAAAGCATGAGCCAAATCATGTGAGCGGTATATGAGAGCCACTGCGAGCTGACTGGAACATCTTTGCAAGAGCATAAGGCAAGAGTATTATCAGAGGCACATGAACATTTGAAAAATGTCGTAAACCAGACGCTTTCAACCTGGGTAATACTAGAGCGTTAGAGATAATAGTAGTGGTGGTGGTGGTGGGGAAGAGGGAGGGGGGGGGGGAGGGCGACATAGCTAACCCATGTCTGAATAAAAAATTATATATGTCCCGACAGCGCCAAAAAGTAAGCACGGGCCGCAGTGTTTTTATTAGCGTTCAGCGTCCCAACACGAGCAAGATATTGGAGATAACTTATGTAAAATGAAATGCGTTACCGGAACACCATCGATGTTAAAACACTCCTCAAGGCATATTGGCTTCTCATATGATTCGGTTAACGATGATAAGTAATAAGATGTATATATATATATACATATATATATACACATATATATATAGATGTAGGCATATGCATATATATATATATACACATATGGTTTAAATTAGTTCAGTTTTGTTGTTTGGTTTCACGGGACGAAAATCGCCATTCGATTCAAGCGATGCTAGGTAATATATATATATATATATATATATATATATATATATATATATATAAATATATATATATATATATATATATATATATATATATATATATATATATATATATATATATATATTACCTAGCATATTACCAATCCCATCCTATATCTATATATATATATATATATATATATATATATATATATATATATATATATGATGTCGTTGTTTTAAAGGTGTCGATACGATATTACGATACGTATAGGATACGATAAGGTGTCGATGTCTTAAAATGATTGGGAGGGGGGCTAAATGCGTGAAAATCGTGATATATATATATATATATATATATATATATATATATATATATATATATATATATGGTTTGAATTGGTTGACCTTTGTTGTTTGGTTTTACGAGACGGAAACCGCAATCCCATCCATCCTCGGCGGAAATGAACGTTAACAGGTGGGAAACCTTGTCATCAATTCATACAATCGGGCACCGCTCCACTCGCAGAGAATGGAAAATGTGTTTATAAATATTTTTCGTTTTATTCACTTCAGTTTTCTGACATGACATTCTCACCTAATGTCACGCAAGCACGAGAGTTCCAAGGAAGAGTACTGGTTGTGAAGCGTGCTTATTAGAATTCAACCGCCATCTGCTACTTCCAGGGCTCATTAACACCAGACGCCGGCCGAGAAATGAGCTGGCGAAAATTTTCTGCTGACATTATGCGCAGTAAAAAACGCTACCAGACTAAAACAGAGGAAAACGTTACCCGACTGTCGCCACAACAATCATTCCACCCGTAATGACGGATAATAATGGTCGTATTTCAGTGCCTCCTTTCCCATGCACTGTATATGCACTCACACGCGGGAGACAGGCGAGATCTCCACCCGCAACCACGGGTGTCGATGTCTTAAAATGATTGGGAGGGGGGCTAAATGCGTGAAAATCGTGATAAGGATGTATATGTATAAATATATATATATATATATATATATATATATATATATATATACTTACACCTATTCTCAAAGTTCATGTGCGTTGCCATAGCAGTCCACAAGGAACCCTCGCAGATCGCATTACCTTCTCATAAAGGCACCTGTTTTACAAAGCTGAAGGGGTGCAGCTGCGTACTTGCGTACTGCCTACTAATACTTGCGTACCGAACAAATCTAATTGGTGCAAATTTTACCATGATTTGCTTAGGTAATTTGTTGTGTGTTTATTGATCCATTCACAACAATTAAGAGTCCAGTGTTCATATGTCGCCATCACAACGCATTTATATGCAGGTTCTCGATACGCTAAAACTTCTTCGATAGAACACGCATTTTAGCAAATTGAATTCTTACGCGCTATGGCGGAACGTGATCTTGCGTGCCGCCGACGTCATATGTGTCATTTTTATTGGCTATTGAATGTGCGACATTTAGTATACTTGCGTGTAGTGTTCTTTTGTTATTTTGAATGCTAGGATGTTTCGGGTGCGTTTAAGGCCTTCTCATGTGCTAGCCACTCAAGAGCATTTGCAATAGTTCCCAAATACAGCATGAAAAAGAAAACCAACACAAGGAGAACTTGATAATTGTTCAGTTCTATCGCAGCATTGATGTTAAAATGTATCAACAATGCTCTCTTGGCCTTCAAGTGCATTGAACGCGTATTGTGTGGTGGTGAAATAAATACATCTATCGCTGCGACTTGGTTTAATTGTCATGATCTTTTTGGACATAAAGGAGCCAGATTAACGTAATGCAATTCCGAACTACCCTCTCCCTTGCTTTGCACCAGACAGCAAAAGTCAGATTCATGCAATCCTTGTCTGGGCTGAAGCCAGAAGTATTTGTCCTCCTGGGAAGGGACTTTAGGCCGTCGACAGAAAAACATGCCATGCAATGGCCCAATAAAAACAAACAAACAACGGTAAAACAGTGGGTCGATTTGTGCTAGAAGGTCCATGAGTCTCTCATTGATTTCTCAGTCGTATTCGTAACATAAATAGAGCCGGTGAACGAGGAACAGAGAAGCAGGAGGAGAGTACTCTGGCGGGTAATGGTAGGAAATGGTTGAAATTACTCGTATGTCATCATGCTACTTCTTATTTGAAACATCTTCAAACCTCTGTCTCATGCCTATGGTGACCTTTCAACGGGGCTGTTTGATGTTGAAATGGCAGTGTCACTGGTGGTGTGTATATAGCAGGCATTTTGTGGGGAGTGAATGAGGTAAAGGTTTGAGTGAATATCTGTGCATATTTGTCTCGATCCGGGATGGTCGGGCCAGACATGTCAGCAAACTCTTTCTCCCTCAGACGCAATCACTGATTCTACGCCTGATAGCTTGATGGCCCTTATTTTTTGACATCATAGAGTTTGTGCATGTCAAATGTCTGTGCGACAAAGACGTTGAAAGTGACAACAGGACTTTGGCGTTGTTCTCGGGTATTTTATTCCTGAGTAAAGTTGAGCACTAAGTAAAGATCGAGTGCTAGCAGTCAGTCTAAGCTGAGATAAGTCATAGCTGAGAGTTCGGACCACGCCACATGACCAGGCGATTTTCAGCTAGTCTTTGTCAGAGTTGATGTCAGTTCCCATTTTTAATGTCCTGCTGGCACTTAGGCTCCAGAACGTTGGGGCCGAATTCACCGTTGAGGGGTCAAAGTGGAAATTGGGGGGCCAGTGGCCCACCTAAAGGAATACAAATCGACACCCGTGCCCGCAACAGCGCGCTGCCTGGAACCCGACGGCGTGGCGAGTCCGGGCCGGCGTCTGCTGTTGTAGGTGGCGCCATCATCGCCCTCCATGTGCACGTCGTTCAATGTCCACTCATCCTCCACCGCCGGAGCGATTTAAGAGCGTGCAGACAATATGCGCAGCTATTTTCGGATGCAAATCGATACATGTCTCTCTCCGTTCCATCCGCAAGAGTTGAAGTGCGCGTATTGCGTGAGTGGGCTGCGATGACATAATAAAACGCGCACGTTCTTATTCTCGTCTCTAGGGCTTTCAGCGATTCATTGGGTTCTTGGAGCCCAGGCGGGGGCCTCCACTGGGTGATGCCTTTTAAAACTGGGTCATGCTACCTCAGAGGTAAGAAAAGCTCCACCGTATCTGCACGCACCAATTGAATGTTGTGCTTCTTGGGCTCTTGATAACATCAGGTCTGTTACAGGTATTGAGTAAGAATTTGGGTAGCAGTGGGTCTCTTGTTCCATTTTGCCCTTGTTTGTGTTCTATTTTCACACACGCGTGCATATTTAAGGGTACTAGAACGTTGCCCCACTGGGTCGGGAATGAAAAGCCGCGCAAGGGGCATGACGGTGGCGACATAGATGTGTAGATCTTTGACATTGCGTCTGGTATTTCAGAACTATGAGTCCTCATGCGGCAACATTAACATGATGCATACCGTACACTCATGACAGCAGACTCAAACTCGGATGAGGTGCAGTACATAAACCACAAGATTCACTATATGTCAGCCGACTTGCCCTCCTGAGGTATTTTAAAATGTATATTTTGTGGTGAACAATGAAATGTGATTTGAAGCCCAACAAGAATTCGGAACGTGGTGCGTTTATGGCAACACTTCATGCAAACTTTCAGTGGTATGCCGAGGCTGCGAACAAGTGGAAGCACCTTGTCCTCGCAGACGCTTCGCGAACATTTCACAAAGATGTTGCCTTGGTATCTCATAGAACTACGAGTTTTGGTTGGACGCACGGCGGGCCGCTGTATACAAGACGGCATGACATTAAAAGTTTGCGGGAATTCTCAACTTTGATATTTGGAGAACTCCAGCACCACCCAATACTGAACATGTTAAACACCACCAGTGAAAATGTGCAGACATAAATATCGAAGTATGACAACTTCTGTTTGCTACTTAAAGGGTAAATGCTCGCGAGGTAGCTAAACCCATTGAATCCACAAGCGCATCCGAGTGCATTGGAGCCGTCCCCTTCCGTGGTGGGCGTCTAATCCTCAGGACTTTTGTCCTTAAATTCTTTTTCACCACTTCTTGTTTATGTTTATTTCAGTCTTCCTTCACTCATGTTGTCATGTTGTTCTTTGAAATGTGTTCCAATTTCACTTTCCCTTGCCTCTTTCGACACTTTGTCCTTTCACTATTTGCCTGTTCTTTTCCCTCACCTTCATTCCTGTCGACTTTTTTCCTTCAACTTCGTTTGCAATTAATGTTTTAGTACTGTTGGCTTGCATCCCTTTCGACATTTTTTCAAATTGACATTTATCCCTTTTGACGTTTAGCTCTTCGATTTTTCCCTGATTCGACTTTCATCCCATTCAAATATTTACGTTCGATTTTTTTTTCGTTGGACTTTATTCCATTCGACTTTTCATTCGGCAACCATACGTGTCTTGTTCTTGGCACTCGTACCGGTCTCCACCAGGGCCATCTAAACCCATTCATGGCTGGTCCGTGTAGCCCTGATAAATGGGGCGTCGCGATGATGCAAGATGAAGAGAGAGTGAGAAAAGAATGGCGGGCACTTTGAAAACGCAGGCCACCCTCTGGTGCCGACAGCACTCTTCTTTGGCGACCATGGGCGGCGGCACGTATTGTTGGTTGTGAGGGCCGGGCAGGGTTAGTCAGGAAGGACTTGACCGTACCCCAGAGCTTTTTAGTCCAAGCTCTCGAACATTCGCGTGTCCCATGGTCCTAGGCGGGAAAAGTTTATCGGATCGTTTATCCGCGCAGCTGTTGCAATTTTTTCTAGCGGTGAGAAGAATCACGACTTTATATTTATTTTACGAGAGGAGGTGGTGCTCCAGGGTTTTTATATTTCATCATTGCAAGGGATGGGGCATTCTAGTGCTGGTAGGTGCTCTATTCCAACGGCAAATATGCTTCGTTTCCATGGGGCGATAGAGGTCTGGCTACACTGGTGGATCCAGTTAAAGAGTTGGAGCCAAGCCAGTCTGCCAAATTACACAGCCTACTCCAGTTTTGTATTTTGTCCTCGGATTAAGGTCACAGCGCCCTCGTGTGAAATAGCTCTGCTTTGTACAACTTACGATTTTTGCGTGGCCAGCGGGTGGTGTGGGAAAACGACGGTCTGAATTTGGCGTGTCAAAACCATGTCACGGCATCAACAATAAAATCAACCACATGTCATCAACAACATAGTCATAAACAGCGATACTGAATACAGCTCAACGATTCACAACGGACATTTCACGTCAACGAATACTTGCATGAAATTAAGGCTGAAAGCAAAATAGTCAATCTAATGCACAAGAATGCGCTGTGAAAACAACGTTGGGGATGAGTTTGCTGCCACCGTGCTGTAGAAAATGCGTGCGCTGTTAACACGTGCTTGTCACTTATTTGTTGCTGCGCGCCTGGGGTGCGCCTAAATGCCCTTTAATCGATGTATACCATATTATTCAGTGCCTCTTGACTTAAAGCAGTGGCGTTGGATGCCCGGGGTCGAAGTCCGGACAGCACGGCTGGTAATTTTACCAGCCGTGCTGGCCGGCTGGCGTTTCCAAACCGTGTCCGTCAGGGGCGGACAGCTCAGCCTGCACTCTGAAGGCGCGCCATCTCTGGCGTTGGACGGCTCGGCACGAGGCGGCCTTCCTGCACATCAGAACCGTCCTGGCTGCGTCGCCGGTCGTGGCCTCTTCGACCCGCGTCTGCCAGCTATGCTGCAGACAGCCGCCCCTGTCTCCGCGACAGGTCGCTGCCGCCGCGGCCGACCCCTGACCTTCAGGCAGGTCGGGTGGCCCGCGGCCACGGACGCCTCCCGGTAGTCGGATGTAGAGCTCGGAGTTGGCGAGCCTCAGCCGAGAAGTACTATACCACGCACTCGGTAGTGCACACGTGTGCTGATGCTGCGCGGACCAGGAATCAAAGTGGAACGCAACAGTAGATCCGTATATTTCCACGTTGGTCATGATTGGCGTCCAGTCCGGGTCCCCTTTAAGCATATCGACATCTCTGTCGGTATCGGTCTACCCGCCGGCTACAGAATGCACACGAGCTGGCACTGTGCCTGCGTAGCAACTGGCGCCGGCTACTTACTCTGCTACAGCATATCACCCTAATCAAACAGGCAGCCTATACAACCCGCTCGCCGTCGCGTACAACACTAAATACACCATTACCCATGCCTACAACACTTGTCAACGCGCCTATTACGCCATCAGCATGCCGGATTTAACTATGCCGCTGGCGGACACGATGTGTCACCGAGTCCGCCCAGCGCTGACTGACAACCAGCTGTGACAATAAGCGGCCGGCGCGGCGCGCACGTCACAAAGCCGCCACGATCGGTTACCCCGCGGCCCGCTCGCCCGCCGTGACGTCACACCCCGGTCTGAATGCCCTCCGATCACTGCCGCCTGTGGCGGCCTCCCTGAGACGGTTACGTTCCTGTCGGGGCCCGCTGACGGCAGCGCCCACCGCTGTTCTCGCACGCCCGAGTGCAAACTGGACACATGCTGTCGAAACTCGTGGAATCCAGGCGCACAAAAACTCGCGCGCCGAGCGCCGGGCGCCGCCACATCCGGCTTCAGAATCAGACAGCTGCGGCTCTCCGCTCTGTGCGGGAGACAAGACGGTCAACGCCGCGTCCGCGCAGCGGGGCCGCACTCGCGGCGGCAGATGGTACCAGCCCACGAGTGCGACGGCAGTGACGCCGTGCCATGACGCGGGAGCGAGCGCCGCGCCGCGCCGCGCCGCGCTCGCCCGCCCGTGCCAGAATCAATCGGCTTCCGCCCACGTCACGCCTCACGAGCTGGGCGTTCAGTCACCTGTTACAACACGGGCTCGAGCACGCCGACCCCGATCCCGGCCCGCTGCGGCTCGCCGCGCTGCCGGATACGGCCTGAGGTCACGCCTGATCTGGCATAAGGTCGTCTGATCTGACCCAAGATCATGCCATCTGATCTCGCCTGAGGTCACGTCGCTGGAGACGACCTGAGGTCGCGTCCGACCCGACCCAAGGTCGCGTCGCCTGACCCGACCTGCAGTCACGCCTGACCTGACTCGACCTAAGGTCGCCGCGCCGGCTTGTCGCGCAGCGCCGCCACCTCCTCGTCGTAACAGCGGCAGTGCGTCGGGGGACAGTACGGCACGAGGTGGTGGCAGTTGAGCTGGCACCAGGCGTCCATGCCGGGCAGCGTGGACCAAGGGCCGACGCTGCGGCACACCGAGCCCGGGCCGGCCGACGGCCGGGCCGTGGCGCGGGTTGGCGGCCGCGTCCGCCGGCTGGTGGTGGTGGCTCTGGTGGCGGGACGTTCGGTGGTCGGTCGCCTGGTGGGCCGCGGGGAGTACGTGCTGCAAAGACGGGCGTAACTGCGGTGTGGGAAAGGTTACGAGGAGCCTTTGAAGCACAATGTGCTGGCGATCTTCGAACATGCCATGTCTTACTTCGTTAGGGAATAAAATCGCATTGTGGGCTATAACTTCATGCGCAGTAACCAAAGCGGGCAAAATCACAGCAGTCACACTTACAGATAACCCGCTGCACCAAGTAATCATTCGTTACATATCACCTTTTGCTGTACGCCAGCCTTGAAAAATGTCATTTTACACACCGGCAATGGTGATTCATGCGTTCCACTGAAACGCTGCCCTGTCACTGGCCGTGCGCCGACCATGCCCCTGCCCCTGCCCCTCCCCGCTGCCCCATGTTCTCACCGTCCGCCGGGGTGGATGGTGACGTCAGAGCAGCCGTAGAACTCCTCCTGCGGTCCGCAGCCGGCCGCCTGCGAGCCGTCCTCGCACACGCCCCAGCTGTTGCCGGCATGGTATCGCCACTGGAAGTCAGGAGGTCGGGTCACACCGGCCCTCTGCATGTGGCAGCGTCTCACAATCATGGAGGTGATGCGCAGGGGGTGCTGTAGCAACGTGCTGCAACCTCACTCGCCGTCATATTCCCCGCGCGCACTCAACAACAATCGGAGGGGTGAGAGTGGGGGAGGCGCTCATGGCCAGGGTATTTACAAGTGCCAGCAAATGACGGAAGAGGGCCTGTGTTTTAAGTACGATGCAAGTGTAGTGCTTTGCTGGGATCTTTTTTATACATTACTTTTCTGTTCTTCATGTGGCCATTACGACACAGGTGGTCTCATGCACTATAGTAGATTAAGATGCCTCCGAGCACGCAGCAAACTCCCCGCGGGCTCAATCCAAACACAATTATCGATGGACGGGAAAATGCGTCACTCGAAACACCTCAGCGACGAATGGCAAGTTGTGCGGAACCCGATCCGATTCATGATGTCTGAAGACCAATGAAACGTCATCGTCACGTCACCGTCACTTCCTGTTGCCGGCCGCGGTTTGGGAATCTGAGCCGAGGGCGACCCTGCACCTCTGTCCGCGACCCACTCCCGATCGCACGCCGGACGTGAGTGTCACGCGCCAGCGACGGAACGTATGCCGTGCCGCTGTTGACGCCACAGACGGAAGTAAACGTGAACCTGAACGGTGAGCACTGATCGCCCGTGGCCTCCGCATGTGACATCATTTGTAGCCGCTAATCGTCACGTCACAAAAAGAGCGCTATCGAGTGGTGGTGACTCGTTGGGGTTCTTGAGGAGTGCGCTCTCGCTTCGCAAGGCGGCAAGGAGGCGCGTGAACGACTTCCTGTAGCAATGAGCGGAACCACGTAAGTGGCCATTCCGACAACCCGTCGGGCACTTTGAGTCAAGTATAGCCCTTGGCTTCGCTTGAATTCGTTATCTGTCTGGAAAACTGCGATTCCCACTCTGAAAGTTACCAGGAACACCGAACATAATCTAAACAGCCTGAGAGCATGCCGTCGCCTTGAAGAGGCCGTTATCCCAAACCGTGAACCAGAGCAAGAGGACGGAAGTGTATCGTGTTCGCAGAGCATGGAGGGAAGCTGAGAGGGCGAAACATGTGCGCGCGACCGACGGGTCGACGTCGACGAGGCTACTGACCTGGAAGACGCAGTGTTCGCAGGTCAGACCGTCTGGCAGCTGCAGGCGCACCCTGACCTCTTTGTACTCGGGCCGGATCGGGTACTCGGTCTGGTCCGAGCCGGCCAGCCTCAGCACGTGTCTGCAGGGCATGGGCGGCTGTCTGGGGCGCGTTCAGGTAAAAGGCTCCGCGTGACCGAGATGGTGAGCAGTTAAGGTATCTACGTGTGCGATGCTGATTCGTTTGTGATGCCGCAACGTAACTGTGGGTATTTGCTAAGACATAGTTGGTGAGTTAAGGATAATTCGCAAATAATGTTCATTTTACGATCTTTGCATTATAACACTGATATGCGCACTGCTTGTTAGACGCGCTTGAACAATGCAGTTAGGCTGTGTGAAACTTATCAGCATGGTGCGTCGAATAGATATGCTACAGCGGTATGATCGCGCGCTGATAATCGGTGTCCTGATATGCCAGGATAAAACAAGCGTATAGATATGCTCCTATATGCAAAATGCGAGACTTAGTTAAGCTGGCCCGCTGTCTATTGCTCACTAACCGATCTAGACATTCCTGAGTAGCCTCAGTTGTAAATCCGGGAACTGGGCATATCTTGAACTGGAAGTATCCTTTGTGGTTAGCAGTGAGCAGAACTTGAACGTCGATCGCCTGCGGCAAGAAGAATACATTAAGTGTTGATGAAAATCAGCATGCTACTATTTCTGTTAACAGAGTGCCCAGCTAAATGACAGCTCAGCTTTGGTAAGATTTAAAGTACTGAAAGCCCATTTGCAGTTTTGGGGATTATGGGAACTACAGTATGGTTATGCACTATTGAACATATACGCAAACTAAACAGCAATGAAATTCGTGCGCGCGAAATGTGTGCTCGCGCGTAAACGTATACGCGTGCTTGACACAACAAAATAGGCGAACAAATGCAAACGTGCACAGCATTTGCAGCTGGGAGAAGGTAACAAGCCGTCGTTTCGGTGATTACCTAATGACTCCGCGATGTGGTATCTATTGTTCAGATGTTTTATGCCGCGTAAGTGACATGCCGTCTGCAAAACCTGTGTCGGAATCTACGCAAATTAGCCCATTATCAGGATCTCGCGCGGATACCAACCCGTCTCACGTGGGTATCCAGTGCTAAATCTAACATGATACTTACAATATCACTCAACAACTCTCACGCGCTCCACCAGAGGGTGAGGGGCAACGGTTCACTATCCTCACCCACCGAGCCAGCGGTGTAGTTGGCCACCAGGTACCCTCGGTAGTAAGGTCCGCCGATCTCGTGAGTGCGCGGCACGGGCTCGTCGTACGGGTCTCCACAGATGCCGCACTTGCCGCCCTGTGCTACCTGGTGCTGAAACGGTCCGGTCCCCCGTTGGAGGGCGACTGCTAACAGGCAGCTGCTAACAGGCGACTGCTAACAGGCAGGAGTGAAATAAGCAGCACAAATCACACCGCGTTACGCGAATGTGCGCGGAGGAGATAAAAGGATAAGGGATTACTGTAATATTCCACGTTAGTTCAAGATAGATGGCGTGTGTAATGGTATGCATAATTCGCCATGTCTATCTGTCGTGATTACGCAACATAAGTCTTGATCGTATTAGGTTGCACATATTCAGTTCTTCAGTTCTTCAGGCTGCTGGGAGTGGAATTCAGCAGGTACCGGCACAAGCTCCTTGCCAAAAGCAGAATAGTTCCCATTTAAGGTCATTAGCAGACACCAGATTCGGGACTAGTCTGGGCGGAAGACGGGCAGGAGCGGGACCAGATGAGGGCCAGAAGCTGGGGCCATGGCCGAGATAGAGGCAGGACCAGACACGGAGCTATCAACGGAGATCGACCAGGACCGAGACGAGGCCGGGATCAGACCCGCGGCTAACAGCAGAAGCGGAGGCGGACACTCCTTCAGTTAATACTCACTGTGAGCCCTCCGCAGAACAGCTGGTTGTCGTTGTAGTCGGCAGGCGTGTCGTAGCCGCTGTAGCGCCACAGCGAGGCGCGACAGGGCGGCCTCTGAAGACGGCCGTGCCCGTCCACTGTACTCTGCAGCTGTCGGACGGGTCAGGCCCGGCCAGGCAATGACCATCAGATGATTAAGATCATTGTGATGTTTACCATAAACGTGATGATATCATCCTGAAAATGATACTCTCGACTGAGCTCCCGGCATTAGCTCATCATTTCAGGATTATTTTCCTAATAATATGAATGGGTGGCTTTGCCTCCAGGACATCTCTAAAGCAAAGCTGATGGGACCTTGAACCTACCGCAGTTTGCCGTTCCAGTTCCAGCTGATCCTCTCGCCTTTTGGTAGACAAGAAGGATTTGATTTTACGTGCCGCACATACTGCGACACGGCAGCCTGGATCTGGGCTGACCATCGTTGGCCAGTTGAGATTCAACATGCTTATCTATTATTGCAAAATGCTGGTCAGGTCGGGTCAGGTCAAGTTGCTTGCATACCTGACCTATCAATGACATCAAGCCATGTGCCCAACCTGGAGGGCGTACCCAGTGCCGCTGAATGACGTTCCCAGTGCCCATTCCCCCGGAGTGCAGAGTCGGCAATCGTAGCCTCCTGATTAGTCCAATATTGTTGATAAGGTCCTGTCGCGCTACCACTACAAGGCCAGGTGAGATCTGTCAGGTTAACTCGCTTCAGGTTGCTTCAGGCTGATGCGCGTCAGGTCAGACCAGGCCAGGCAGATAAGGTGAAAAGCGTTATGAACATGTGCAAGTGAAATCGACATGTACTGCAATCCTGGGCGAAGCGGCGTGACACCATAAGTTAGCCGATACTTCGAGGGCTTAACTCCACTTGAGCTGCAGCCAAAACATCCGACAAGGCAGCGGCACCGGATCGCCGGCTGCCGTCAACGTTATTTATGTGTTTTGTTTGTTTTGAGGTAGATGCATGGGCGGTGCTCAAAAAGCGGTTGCAGTAATGTTGCCAACAATTTTGACGACTGGAGCCAGTAACAGAAAAAGCCTTTGCCTTTTCAAGCAGTCATGCCGCTGAGCCAATACGGCCTGATGACGTAGACCTTTCTTGATGACCGCGATGAGGGAGGTTTGAGACGAACCACCGGCTGCAATTCGACTTTAACATTTAACATGAGAAACCTGAGGGATCGTGACTCCAAAGGTCGTTCCAGTTACAACATCTGTAAAAGATCAACACGTGACTACCGCATTTGATTTGAGTGGTAACGCTGCCATGGCTTCCTGCAGTCGCCTGAGGAGGCCGGAATACTCACCATCAGAGTCCAGACGGCTGTCAGCCAGACGAGGCGCTTCATCTGGAAACCGAGGCAGATCACCATGAGACGTCAGTCGCCGTGCACTGCAGCGCAAGGAGCAGCCGATGCACGCCAGCCCAGCAGCGCACCGCTACGTCACCCAAAAATACTGCGGAAATATCTGGAATATATCAGCCTGGCTTTCGGAGCACCAAGGCACGCACACGAACACGCCGTTGTCTCTCACCGTGGCCCAGCACGCTCTTCCCCCTCGTGCGTATGTCCGCACACTGCGACCTCCGCCTTGACTCTGAGGCCAGGCCTTCCGGCGCTCTGGTCGGTCTTTTGAAGTGGCGGGTTCTGCTAATCGGGCGTTTGTTTATGGACTGAATCACGACATCTGGGTCGCCGCCGCTGCCCCCTCCCCCTCCCCCCAGGACCTAGCCGGGGGCGGTGTTTGGTCGGCTTTGGTGGGCTCGGTCCACAATCACAGTCGCACGAATGCATACGTCATCGGGAACGGTCGTCATCCCGCGCATGTCGGAGAAGGGAAGGGGGGGGGGGGGCGGAGGGCGGTGGGAGATATCGGCTTCAGGTTAGCGCTATGTCAGAAACCCTTGATATCTACCCGTGCCCCCAGGCTCCCTAAGGCTGCGATTTGCTTACCGGTGACTGTCAGTACACCACCTTTTGCTTGCTTGACTGAGGGCTGTAAAACGCATCAGGCCTTATTCAAACCCATCAATCGAATACGGGATCACCGCAAATCTTGGAACATCGATCATTTAGACGCATTTCTGTCACAACAAATCACGACAGTCATGCAACCCTCGAACACAAAACAGATTTTGATACCCCCCTCCCCTCTAGTACAATCTTATCAACCGGCCTGAATGTTATCTACGTTGAAAAACCGCGGCCAGGACGCTGAAAAGCCGCGGACGCAATCAGGGCGTGTCTTGGAATGTATGAGTCCTGTTACATTAAACACAATGTTTGCAATCCGCGTGGCGATAAGAGGAGCTGATCCCCCAAACCTGGCAGCTAACGTCGCCCTGATCTTCCTCAAACACGTGCAGGGTGGGAACGAGCAAACAAAACACGGATGTGTATTTCTCAGCCGGGGCGAGTTTTTCTCACGTTCCCGGATTCGTTAAACTGACAGCACTGCTGTTCCCTCCGAACGAGACACATTTCACGCGAATAGTTTCTAAGTTTCGCGCGTCCATGAATGTATCATATACACATTGTATCCGACCGTACTCCATTTCCGTTCTGTTATACGATTTACTGATGCTCACTGCACCAAATGCTCGCATCAGAAGACAACATATGATTGTCATTCAACAGCCATGAGCGTGGAGTGAACAAATGACGCTGACAAGCGAACAAAGAACAAGGTGTAAGTAGCTCACTCAGAGGGCACCTCAGTGCCTCACCGTGCCGGTATGTGTACGCCGCCGAGGCTCATTACGTCATGGGCGACAGCGTCACACATCACTGAACTTATCAACGCCTGAAAACTGCGTCCCGCGCAGCTGCAGCCCGCGCCCCAACCAGGAAGTCGCATGCCGCGCTGTGCACATCTGTGATGACTACGCAGCGCGCATGGTCCGAATCACGCACGGGCGAACCGTCTTCCGTCAGGACTTGAGCCTGGACCGGAGCACCTCTCACCGTGCGCGGCGGCATGGTCGACCTCCTCACATGGTGACGGCTGGGGATGAGCCCCCACTCCGGGCGGCCGCCCCTGGGAGGAGGTGCCGAGATTACGCGGACAGCCGCCGGCTGGTTTGAAGCTGCGGTTGTCTCCTCCCGATCGCGTCTCCCGAGTGTCTGCAGTTGTCTCCTTCCGATCATGTCTCCCGAGTGTCTGCGGTTGTCTTCCTCCGATCATGTCTCCCGAGTGTCTGCAGTTGTCTCCTTCCGATCATGTCTCCCGAGTGTCGCAGTTGTCTCCTCCCGATCGTGTCTCCCGAGTGTCTGCAGTTGTCTCCTTCCGATCATGTCTCCCGAGTGTCTGCAGTTGTCTCCTCCCGATCGTGTCTCCCGAGTGTCTGCAGTTGTCTCCTTCCGATCATGTCTCCCGAGTGTCTGCAGTTGTCTCCTCCCGATCGTGTCTCCCGAGTGTCTGCAGTTGTCTCCTTCCGATCACTGATGGACACGGGCGCTTTCAACTTAGCCAACCGCGGGACTGGTTGGGGATAGGCCGAAGGATGCACCTTAACTAAGTGGCGTTAGTACGTAGAGCGCTTATGTGATGTATGATTAAACAAGTTCGCAGTTCGTTCTTCAAACTGTGAATAATTCGGGTAACGACCATGGTCTTCCTTTTTTACTCATCTTCCTATGTCTGCAGAATAAAACCGGCTGACGCCAAAGTATGCCACCACTTGGTTCCAAAAGGCAATGAATACATCACCGGGGGACCTAATAATTTTTGATGACCTTGATCTTGAATGACCTTGCAACTGAGGGCTGAACGTAAGACGATAGTGCCAAAACACGCCGAAAGTCCGGGTTTCGCCGTCAGGGCCTGGCATGAGCGGCTTTTGCCTAAGACGGCTCTCGTGCTTTCACCACTTTACAGACGTTAGTGGTCTTGTCATTGGTGGTGCTGCTGTTGGAACGCTTGAAATAATTCCTCGCTTTATCTTGGGCCTTGAAACCAACCTCACTCAATGTCGATGTTCGCTTGCAATGCCATTTCCCTCTGTATCAAACCACTTTTGTTTGGGGGTAGGTTAAACACGCATACTCATGTCGTTTCTTGTACAAGACTGTAATAGACCAGCTGTTCTGCGGAGGACTCACAGTGAGTGTTAACTGAGGGAGTGTCCGCCTCCGCCGCTTCTGCTGTTAGCCGCGGGTCTGATCCCGGCCTCGTCTCTGTCCTGGTCGATCTCCGTTGATAGCTCCGTGTCTGGTCCTGGCTCTATCTCGGCCATGGCCCCAGCTTCTGGCCCTCATCTGGTCCCGCTCCTGCCCGTCTTCCGCCCAGACTCTAGTCCCGAATCTGGTGTTCGCTAATGACCCTAAATGGGAACTATTCTGCTTCTGATAAGGAGCTTGTGCCGGCACCTGCTGAATTACGCTTCCACAGCCTGAAGAACTGAAGAACTGAAGATGTGCAACCTCATACAATCAAGACTTATGTTGCGCAATCACGACAGATAGACATGGTGAATTATGCATACCATTAGACACGCCATCTATCTTGAACTAACGTGGAATATTACAGTAATTACAAGACCCCAAACACCGGGCATTGAAAGCAAAGGGGAATACCTCCGCCGTCGAGGCCTGCTCTAGAAGACAATAGCCGAGATCAATGGCCAGAATCTTGACAACCCTTGACTATTCTGCGAATCGCACCACCAATCCGAACCGTGCATCACGCTGGTATCGGCGGCGGCATGTGCAACTGCCTGGTTGGTCTTCATATAAGGAGTTCACATTCCGCAGCTCAGATTGGCGATCGCACATCAATTGTGCGGAACTTCCCGACAACGCAGCGCCATGGGAGGCCCCGAGAGAAGCGACGAGATGCGGGCTGTCTGGAACAAGTCGGCAGGGATGTTACTGCCGTCAGGTTAGAATATGTTGGACGCGCCTCCCCAGAAAGGGACGTCAGCACTAGCTGATGATTGGGGCATGGAAGAAGATTATACACGTGCATCTATGTATGCATATATATATATATATATATATATATATATATATATATATATATATAGTGTGTGTGTGTGTGTGTGTGTGTGTGTGTGTGTGTGTGTGTGTGTGTGTGTGTGTGTGTGTGTGTGTGTGTGTGTGTGTGTGTGTGTGTGTGTGTGTGTGTGTGTGTGTGTGTGTGTGTGTGTGTGTGTGTGTGTGTGTGTGTGTGTGTGTGTGTGTGTGTGTGTGTGTGTGTGTGTGTGTGTGTGTGTGTGTGTGTGTGTGTGTGTGTGTGTGTGTGTGTGTGTGTGTGTGTGTGTGTGTGTGTGTGCGTGTGTGTGTGTCTCCAGATTATTTTCGAGCAACACCACCGTACTGAATGTGAAATATCAGGAGCACTCTTTTGGTGGAACGTGTCCTCACTTATCCAAGCCAATAACCCACGTGGTTGTGTCTGTTGCGCGGACACCGGCGAAAGTTCTGAGCGAAGAACATCGATATTTCTGTAGGTATTTCATTCCATACAGCGTCACGGGTGTAGCATTAAATTTCGCCGATGTTCGACGGACTTGTTCCCTTTGTCTTCCTTCCCGCTCTCGGCAGTGGACCGCAAGCACGGCATCATGCTTAACCATGTATAGCCTCTGTCGAGTCGTCCCTGAATTCGGGTCCATGGTTTGGGTTCATGATTTGGATCGGATTCCGCATACACTTGGCCTCGCCGGCCAAATGTATGCAGATGAAGATGACCTTACCCAAAACAACGCTGCACCATCATAGGTCTCTGCACACCCCAAAGCTGACTTTTGGGTGCAAAAACAAACGATTTTGACTGGAACTGGGGCATCTGGAAATACTGGGCCCTAGTGGTTCCCTGTGCGGCGACCGATGCCGAAATGACGTCGTGGGTGGGCGGGCGACCCCCCCCCCCCCCCCGCTGGCCGGATCACGGAGACGCAGTACCGCGAGAGAGGGCCAGGATGTGCCACTGCGAGAACGACCCAGAGTTGTCAGTGAATAATGCCAGCAGTATCTTTTTGCTCTTTGAGCCCTAGTTGAATGCGGATGGACGATAAGTCACGAGGGACAGAGGGGAGTGTCGGCGGTAGATGCCATTTGGCAGTGAAGCGGGCACGTACTTTTGGTGGCGGGATGAAGCCAAATGATACGCATGGGCCGCATCACGCTCTGGCTCGGCTGGTACCCCTCCTCACGGCAATCAAGCTTCAGGTGAGCGCTTTCGCCTTGGTTCATGCAACAGCAACACCGAAAGTGCTACGTTTGTGCGCGGGGTCACAACATATTGATGTCAGCATTTGATACGCAGTATCTACACCCCATGCTGAATTAACAAAGCGCTGCGAGTTCCTATTCAACTAAAAAGGTGGACAGCTCCAACCAGATGATGAAACCTTGTGCCGCACACTGGGAGGGTGAGAAAAGCCAGCTGCAAATGATATAACGACTGTTTTATTAACATTAAGTTATTTCGCTAGGACATCTTACATCGCCATTTGAATAGTTTCTCAATTTAGCATTTACACTAGTATCAGCAGCCTGAAAAAACACGGTTCGCGACTCTGCATGAGAATAAAGCACATGCAAACGCGCTTTCTCTCCGAGCTTCAAAAGGGACACGCAAGCAAATCCATGCCAGTACATGGGTTTCACCATGGGTAGGGGAAAGCAGGGCGAGGCCTATCAGTTATTTCTTTGGGCTCGCTTCTGCTGTAACTTAAGAGGATAGCACTAAAATTCCCATGTCTGCAGACAGCTATAGCCTTTAACTTCATGTGTAGGGGTTAAATTTTGAAGAGGACGTCTTCGTTTTTTTTCTTTGGTAAATGACTTCTGAATGACTTCCTCTGAAACGAGACATCTTGCCCCACCTTAGGGTAATGTAACAGGTTTTGGAGGAGGAAATTATGCTCATGTGAACTTACCGCTGCAGGCTGCCGAGGCAGTAACCCTCACCCACATGGTGTAAACTACCTGCCTGGTTTAAAACAAGCGGCTTGTGGCACATTCACGTCGGCAAATGTTTACGAACCCGCTGTGGCATAACGAGCGCTTAGATTGGAAAGTAACAACATCTCTAAAGCAGCGCTGAGAGTGCGCGGAAGAATAGTCGTGGCTCGAAGACAGAGTAATAGCCTTATTCCTCGGAGAAAAACCAGGAGAATGGAGAAATAGATTGGTTGATATTTCGGAAGCATGCCTTGATCGAAACAATAGCAGAAGTTTTGCTAAAGCCATGTTGCCGAAACGTCAACCAATCTATTTCTCCATCCTCCCGTTTTTTTCTTCTCAGAGGAATAAGGCTATCACTACTGTCTTATCTATGTGAATAATGCTCCTCACGAATGCACAGAACAACTTCTTACCAGTGTTCGTTTTGCAACTACTGTCACCCCGGTTTCGGTTCCTCAGGTAGAAATCATCGGACTACATAGCTAATGTAACTGTCGACTCGTGTTCTGGATGGCAAAAGTCATGGCGACCATGTCAGCCAACCATTGACGGTAACTCAGTCAATAACATACTGTCGGCACGTTGCATCACCGATACAACATGTCCCATGCACAGCTGGTACATGTACCGCCCGACATCTTTGAAGACAAGTTCGTGCCACCCCGAAATCCCTGGGGAGCAGACGCCAAATGTTTTGCAGTATACACGACAGCTGCACTTCCCTACCACGCGGTATAACATTCAGATTGGTTTAATCATGCCGTAAGCCCTTAAAAGTGCACTTACACCGATCGCTTTAGTTTTCAATGATATACGAAAAAATATCGCGCTCATGCCAAGGCGCGTGCACCTATGCTATCGGAGGTACGCTGACTGACAGGTACAGGGAGCTGCTGTACGACAGCTGAGTGACTCAATTGCAATTGCCGTCAATTGCACATATTTTGAATGAATCACCCTGATACTGCGTGACCATGACACAACTCGCCCCACTCTCTCCTATTTGGCTATGGACCCCAAGTACATTCTGTACTTGAAGGCCATCACGTGATGGTCAGCTGGGCCATCGCGCGATGTTACTGTACAACAACTGGTTACGCAAGGACAAAGATCCAGTCAGTTCATGTTTCAAAATCGCAGCTTTTGCTACGCCATCTGTTCTTGAATCGCTCTGGCGTCGGCGTTCCATCTGGAAGTGACTTCAGGTGATGCTTGCGATGAAAAGTGATTCCAGCTAGCCTGCAGCCCTCAAGACATGACAGCCCATCCGAATAACCATCCCTTATTTTGAATCCTGACATGTCCTTAGTCCAAGATCAGGGTGGGCTGCCGAGGCAGTAACCCTCACCCACATCGTGTAGACTACCTGCATGGTTTAAAACGAGCGGCTTGTGGCACATTCACGTCGGCAAATGTTTACGAACCCGTTCTGGCATAACGAGCGCTCAGATTGGAAAGTAACAACATTTCTAAAGCAGCGCTGAGAGTGCGCGGAAGAATAGTCGTGGCTCGCGTATACGGCATGGTGCTAAAAACGCTAAAAGAAAGCGGGAATCAAAGTCTGATTATCAGAAAATGTCTTCCGGTCATGACATGCTATTATATCGGCGCATCCTGTCAGATGAAACATGAGCTTTTCTCGGAATATACCATGGTTGGCAAACGGCTTGCCTCAATGTATCCATCAAGTTATGATAACGACTGCCAGATGTTCGAGATTGTTCAACATTATTTGGCCAAGGAAAGCATGCGCCTCACACACATGCACATGCTCATTACAGAAGTAATGGGGAAATGAACTCAACCGTCGGGAACCTATTCCACGAACTATCTTTCGGAAAACCTCTTTTAGACAAGAACACTCAAGATTCCGAACTGAGATGACCCAAATGCCGAGCATATGTTACACCGATGCTGTTCAGAATCATCTTTCTTGCTTATCAAGGACAGTCGCGATTCAAGTAAATGCGATAAAGGTTTGAAACAGAGATATTCACTGGGTCAAATGCTGTGATACCGTCCCAACATTCGCAGATTCCAAATCAGCGTGCAGGGCGCTGTAAAACGGCAAAGCCGATTTACGTCGTAAACAGTTACTCTGGGTTGCTTCCAAATAAACAGTGCTCTTCTTCTGAACATTTTGCTTATGCGCATTATGTCAAGCAGAACGACGCGTGACTTCGTCGTAATTTCGTTTACGCCGCGAGCTACAACACTATGTGTGGAGGAAACAAGTGGTGTGGAGCGTGGGCTCCATCTGAACTGCATTGGCTCCAAGATAGACGCTGCCTGCACACGGCCATCAAACATTAGTGGGCATCACCAATGGTGTAGCAAATATGATGTGGGCATAGACAATGGAACGATGGTGACAAGGTCCCAGCCATGGCTGAACAGACTGCACGCGCCTCATCAACGTTGCGCAAGTCAACTGGACACCAGTCTGGCAGTCTGGCAGTTATTTCAATGCCAGAGAAATTGCCGCCAACCCCTTTTGGCCGTGGGTGGGAAAGGACGCATCGATATCATTGGAACATTCATATTCATCTGACGTATAGAATACCCGCATTGAAAAGAAACGGGGCAATAGCTAGGCACCGGTTCACAAACGCCCGTGAAGTTTGATTGCACCTGGTTGAGCGAAAACGACCATTTTAAGAGCGGACGGCCCAATCCAAATGTTCCGATCCGGTAATGACAGCTATCATGCCAGAGCGACACGGGGCGTCGTCATGGCGGACCTCGTCAGGCCGTTTGGTTGCTGGTGTACTCGGGCAGAGGCGAAGGATCGGACGTGACTTCGACCTCGCAAAATCAAGAGGTCGCAACGCATGCAATTCTGTTTGGTATATGGCGTAGGGCTTTCACTACGATATTGTCCCCATAACACATTTCCCTTACATCACTTAATCTCCTTTTTGGTTCGGAATTCTGTCGTTGACTAAAGCTATGACACCAGTAAGACGGCGCGAGACGAGCGATACGATAACATGTCAGTGCACCATCACACCCACACACACAGACATACACACGCGTACTTGCCTGAAGCAGATGTCCTCGGGTTGGCGCTGCCCGTTCAGCTCCGCTCCTCGCGTATAGGCTGTCCAGCAGCGATACACAACATCCTACCGCGGCCTCTCCGCCCCGCTCAGATTCAATTCAACCCCCAGTGTTCCAAGCACGCGCCTCACCACGGCCGGCTGTCACGCCCTCGCCTTCGACTCCAGCCGCGCCCCACACAGCAGGCTGGACAGTTTGCCGCGGCCCACGCAGCAGGCTGGACAGTTTGCCGCGCCCCACACAGCAGGTTGGACAGTTTGCCGCGCCGTCCCCCTCGCCCGACGCCGCTCGCCTTCGACTCCCGCCACGCCCACACAGCAGGCTGGTCAGTTTGCCGCGCCGTCCCCCTCGCCCGACGCCGCTCGCCTTCGACTCCCGCCACGCCCACACAGCAGGCTGGTCAGTTTGCCGCGCCCCACACAGCAGGCTGGTCAGTTTGCCGCGCCCCACACAGCAGGCTGGTCAGTTTGCCGCGCCGTCCCCCTCGCCCGACGCCGCTCGCCTTCGACTCCCGCCACGCCCACACAGCAGGCTGGTCAGCTTGCCGCGCCGTCCCCCTCGCCCGACGCCGCCTACCAGCCTCCGCCGCCGCCGACCCCGCACTGGAATGGGTCCACCGCAGCCGCCGTCTGCCGTCCAGGGAGCCGGCGTCCGGTGCGCGTCCGTCCCCGCTCGTCACGCCGCCACGCCGTCACGCCGGGTCACGCGGCGTGAGCGCGGCGTGGCTCCATTGGCGGCGCGGCCGGCCGCGCCGTGATTGAAGGGTTGTTTGTTCGCTCGGAAGTGCCGGGTTTCATCGGCTGTGACGGTGGCCGGCTTGGCCCCCGAACCGTGCCAGCGCGGGCGCGGGGGGACTGGAGGAGGGAGGGAACCCGACCACCGAGCGGCAACGGCGTCGAGTCACGTGACACCGGGCGTAATGAAACTCGGGATTGTCGGACTGGAGCTGATGGTCTGGATATGAGACCACAGAAGGACAGCGTGACGGTTTTATTTCTGTAAGCGCATGATCATGTGTGCCGTTATCTTGCAATCTCGTTTTAACGTGACATCGTTGCCAGATCATCTTTAATCACATTTTATGTTTCAAGGTACGTCAAGCTTCGGCATTTTTGTCTTCGTCCAGGATAGGACAGGTACAAATGCTATCATACATGGATTGCATGTCATTCCATCCTGTTTTGTAACTTTCCCTTTCGCATCGCCTGTCATTATCGTGCCGTTCGCGTGATATGCGCTACTGCCACTCCCCAACATTTACATTGCCATTTTACAAAAGCATAAAGCGATCCCTCACAGAGCGGCGTTTCCGTGCTGGCAGTGCTCGCCTTCTGACGTTCCGCTGACGTTATGTGCTTATGGACTGGGAGAGCAGGACCATGGTCACGCCACGGCGCCGTCAACAGGAAAGCATCGAAGAGCCACCATAAAAAGGGTGATAATAGGAGCCAATGCAATTCTAAAACACAGGAAGAGAACGAGGATAGTCGCTGCTTGCCACAGAGCAGGCAGAATAGCAAATAACATGGCATGAGGCCGGCGATAATGAAAGAAGACCGTGAGGTCGTGACGCCACGGTATCCTTTTTAAGGCAGTTTGGTCTGCTGCCGTCACACCAGCGCCGCGCATTCGCCCCGCCATTCGCTTAATCGCTTACATTCATGCACCTCCACCTGCTAATCACACCAAAAAATTAGAGACTGGACCGTGTGGTCTGCTCGTTGTCTCCTCATTCTAAACATATGATGATAGCGAATAGTGACAGGTCACCACCACGGTGCGGTGCTGATGCAGAGCTACTTCCCAGCTTGAACACTAAAAACTTACATCCAAACCAGTCAGTTGTTCATAAATACGCTTTAATAACGCCGATTACCACTACATCCGACGGAGTCTCTTTCTGGAAGCGTCTATCTATTGACATCCCGAGTGTGAGTACCGTCGTATCGGGCATTGTGAAGTTCATGTCCACAGACCGGATCCATTTCAGGGCCGCATGAAATGTAGCGTAAGCCGCGGCAGATAGTTCGTGGGAACTGAGCACGTGGCTATCGCAGTCAACAAAAACCCAGATTTGCTTGATATTTGGTGCTGACTTCAGTGCGTTAGCTAACATTCGTAGATTTGACATTGCGTCGAGCACGCCCCGCGACAAACCCACTCGTCCAAGGTAAGTGTTAGTACCGGGCAAACACTCGGTTCGTTACCACAGTCAGAGACAATCAACAGATTATACCTTTCCTCAAAAAGCCTCAATTCGATATTCCCAGAAGAGGCAAGAATTCGGATGGTCAGACGTTTTCTCACCTCCTACGGGTAGGGAAATTCGCAAATATTGTTACTTTTGTATCATTCGATTCAACTGGTCTCGCTGGTACGCCATGGCCTAAAGCGTCGTCTTTGAAAGTGCTATTTGGATACAGCTATGTTTTTAAGCACCACCATCCCCATGCGGAAGCCGCGATTCGCAAAATTATCAAAACGCAAGTAGGGAACGCTCAGCAAAATGAGATTCCGTCCGACATTGAACCCCGCGCTTCTTGCCGTCAGTGCTCCTCAGCTGATCGCCTTTGTTTGCCAGTAAACAACTGGCCGAGAGAGTCATGTTGATAGGAGGCGGCCGTCACATGACATTGCGTAGCTAGTTCAGATTATCTGGAAAAATTGCCATTTGTCAGGAGTTGCACGACAGGGATGTCATGAGTCCATCGTAACAAGCTATACCTGGCAAGGATTCCGACACCGCGGTCCCGCAGTCTGTCTGATATCCTGCAAAACTTTCAGCTAAAGTTTTAAGGAAATGAATCAGAGCTGCCGCAGCTTCTGGCTATTTAACTAGAAGCGATTTCGTTGCGTCTCGGTCTTCCGCAGCACTACTTTTAAAGTTGCCGCAGTGAGGACAGGACAGCACGTCGTTCCTTCAGCCTTATAATATCTGCACCTGAAATGGCCGGGGTCCGACACTCAGACGCCGGTCGTGTTCTGACCGTGGTGTGTGCCTGCAGGAGTGTGGTTTGCTTTAACGACCTATTTGTTGCTGGTATTTATTTTAAAATGCGACTTCATCTTTACTCGTGTTTACACGCCCATGAACGAACACGGAAAGGCCAGTTCCATGGGGAGTGTTCACAATGTCTCCGTTGCTATATCTTTATTAGCCAACCGATGCGTTACATGATACTAGTTTCAAAGCCATTGAAGTTAAACTTGACCCGAAAAGTATTTTCTCAACTGAACCGAAATAAGAAACCATTATCTGCATGCGATTGTATCGATCAATTTAATTCAAATTCAGTTGTTACACCTCTCTACCGTCTACCAACAGACAATAACGAAAAATACATCGTCCAATCGAAAAACTCGAGATTTAAATCGCAATAATTGCAAACTGTTTCAGATGAAGCTATTAGCACCGCTCCTTCTGGCCTCGGTATACATGGTGAGTGGACTGAGTATTCGCCATTATTTTGGGCACTCGAACAACAAGTTAAGTCTTTAGTTGGACTCGCAGGGAAATAAATGTTGTGAATGTTTTCATTTATATTTAACATTTATGGCACCGTTTCGTTATTTAGTCTCGTTCTTTGTGTGACATTTTAATACGCCTTGTATATTGTGTCTGCATGCATGCTACTTTGGTACGCGAGACGGGACGAACCGTTTTGGCATCCGTCACATTGCTACAGCTTCTGGATTCACGTCGCATCAACAGCTTGCCCTCCATGTCACGTGGTGATTTGACAACGCTTTGTTACAGACGGCTGGCGTCGTGGGGCATGGTCGCCTCATGGATCCGCCATGTCGCGCCTCCATGTGGCGCCTCGGTTACGACACCCCCGCGGACTACAACGACAATCAGCTGTTCTGCGGAGGAAAATATGTGCGTTGCAACATAGCACAGTTGGCGGAAATAACCTGCCGTCTTGACATAGGAAGCTACAATAATTTATCTCACCGCGTTCCCTGCTGCACGCCGCCTTCTTGATGTGAGATGCACGCGCAGGTCGTCGCATATCGATTTTTAGCTCGTGGTTCGCGGCTTGCCCATCCTTCAAAAGGGCGATGTCTCTCTTGATACTGCAGAACATTTCAGTTCGGGTATTTTTTTGCATGACGTCAATATGTCATTTATGGCAGGGAACAGTTGGTTGGTATGTTTTTATGAAAAGCCTTACTGACGCCATGAGGAGGAAACTTCGTCTGTCTGAAAAGCTGCTTTCATGGAGGACGCCATTTGTAACTAACACCTGTCATTTTTCCCCACTCAGCACCAGCAAACAGAAGAAGGCGGCAAGTGCGGCATCTGCGGAGACCCGTACGACGAACCCCAGCCACGCACTCACGAGATCGGCGGACGCTACTACAAGGGCTACCTGGTCCGGAACTACACCGTCGGCTCGGTACGATCGTACGACAAGGGCTGAACTGGTGGACAGAGCCGCGACTGCCAAAGCAGGCCCTCTCCATCGCTTAGTTTTTACGACACTACTCTCCATTCTGTTTCTCTGTCAACCTTTCACTCTGTGTTTCTGTCCCTTTCTCCGCCCTTGTCTTCTGTCTTTCTGTTTTTTCCATTATGTCTTTCCTCATTGCATTCTTCCTCCCTTCCTCCCTCCCTCCCTCCCTCCACCTCCCAAACCCCTCTCCCCTCTCTCTCTCTCTCCCTCTCTTTCTCTCATTTTCTCTTACTTGATATGCCGCTATATGTGCAATTCATCGAATAGGTGAGCATCATGCATGCCCACTAACACGACATGCTCACAGCATGTGCACTGCACATGACTGAACATTTGCTGAGAAAAACTTGTAAGCCTGAGGTAATGCGGTTGTCACTTACGCATTCGCGGCACCGTGCTGGAACAAACGATTTGCAACTTAGTGCCCTCGTGCTAACCGGATATCCACGGGCTGCTACTGTCTGTGAACATTCGCCATTTGGCGTCTTTTTCAGGAGATTGACGTGACCGTCCAGATCACCGCCAACCACCTGGGATATTTCCAGTTTAAGATGTGCCCCATCACTGGCAACACGGAAGCCACGCAAGAGTGCCTCAATAAGTACGTCTCCAGAACGACACGCATTGGGGTCAAGCAAGCTTACGCAACGATAGCATACCCTATTAATAACAAACTAAGCAGCGCGCAGAGAGCGACAAGTGAGCACATGTTGGCGACTGGCCAATGCCACTGTCCAGCGTTTCGCATTAATCTTCATCATCGCCAAGCGTCGCCACTTCGCTCTCCCTGCACATAACCCGGTGACCCTCCTGCTCGGCAGGCACGTGCTGAAGCTGGCCGGCTCGGACTCCACCGACTACTACATCCCCGCCGAGACGGGCTCGTACACAGCGAGGATGCAGCTACCTTCGGACCTCGAGTGTGAGCACTGCGTGCTCCAGGTGAGAGGGTGCACTGTGCAATCCAGTTGAGAGAGTGCACTGCGTCCTCCAGGAGAAAGAGCTCGCCGCGTTCCCCAAATGAAACAGCATGATGTGTCTTCGAAATAAGACGACGTACCGCGCTGTTGATTTCTTCCGTCACTATGTAAACATTTTGCATGCATCGTGCCTTTGAGCACCTTCGCACTGCTGCTCATAGCTGGGGTGTCTGACATGCCGTGTGGGTGTCATCCTCCAGTGGCGGTACCACGGCGGTAACGACTGGGGCATGTGTCCGGACGGCACCGGCAAGGTGGGCTGCGGCCCGCAGGAGGAGTTCTACGGCTGCGCAGACGTCTCGGTCCGCCAGCCGGCCGCCGCGAGGTCAGTGTGGGGTCACGTGAAGGGTCACATGTGGGTCACATGCGGGGTCAAGGCCACTTGATGACGCGTGGTGTCGGGAATGTACGACACTGCTGATTCTATTATTTCACTGGTTATCAGAAGGAGACAGCGTCATCAGCAAAATGGATCGCGCACAAGATCGCTGTACACATGTAGAAAGTTGCGAGACACTACAGATTCATTTGACATCTATCCTTTTGCCAGGGGTGTTCACTTTACGCCGGAGTACTCCTACCAAGCTTGCATTACCACCATATTGTCTAACAGCATTGGACATGATAGCAATATGTCATAACACTATGTCCTTAGGCTCTTTGTAAGATATCTGAGAGACCAGATTAGCGTTTTGGTGCATTACGACGGGATGCAACAGCATGTTTCAGGATGTGTTGAAGGCTCCAAACTAGTTCTGGTGTGATAATATTTTACGTTCTAGGCAAACTGCAATGTTGTTGTCATTTGTGCCATTCAGTTACTTCCACCGGATGACCCAAGCGCCAGATAACGTTTACGTCACATTTCATCCTTCTTTCCAGGCCCGTCCTGGCCAAGGTACCGGGGAACAGACCTTAGATGAGGTCACGTGACGTCCCGGGTCATGGACCGGCACGCGCCTCATCCAGCGGCGTCTGTTTGGCCCGCCCGGGCCCACCCCGCCTGAGCTGTTCGCCCCAGCTGTGTGCGACAGCTCTGCTCGGCTCGCGGCGGAAGCGGGGCCGGCCGCGCGCCGGCCTTGATTCAATAGTCCTTATCATTCAGACCCAATGACCAACCCGAGATGCCGCGCCTGAAGTAAGCTAGATGTGGCACGTTGTGAAATCGTGTGTGCCTTGTGAAATAATGCTGAGTTATCGTGTTTTGTTTGCGTGTTTCGAAGGAGACATCAATATAAACGTGGCTGTTCAGTAAGCTGCAAACTTTGTGTTTTGTGTTTGAAATGCCACGCGTACACAGCAACAAAGAATGACAATCTCTTGATAGCCAAGTACAGCAACAAAGAAAGCTACCTTATTCTGTGGATTTTAGACCATTGCAGCGGCCTGAATTGGATCAGATAATCGGACCGGCGAGTGAGAGGGATAACGGATACAACGGGAATTGTATTCGTTATCCCTTCCAGTGGCTGTCAAACCGCATGAAGATCGAAGCATAATACATTCGCTGTGCTGAAACAGTCCATTCTGAAATTCTGCACCTAATCAGGCGTAGACGGCACTGGGACGACATCGTTATCAATGCAATTGGTGTTTGACTGTGTTGTTTGCAGCCAGTTACGCACACCGCGACACCTTCTGCATTATCTAACTGGCGGGATTTCCTCGTCAATCCCTCTGATCGTCTGCTGGATGCGGTCGCGCAGTTGCAGATCATTCTGTGCCACCCACCCCCGCCCCTCAGGCACTTGTTGCTTCACTTGACCCCAGAAGTCTTGTATCGGTCGCAGCTACGACCGATAGGCCTTGGTGTCGGTGACTTTTTATAGACACCTAATCTCTATTTCTGATAGATATCTTCGGCGTTTTTCTTGTGGCTGAAAAACCTGTTTCAGAATTTTGCTGACATATGGCTGAATTATTCTGAATTATTCTTGACTCATTCTGCGAGTCAGCCACACTGTGGCGCGCTCACCTGGCATTGCGAGAATCGTAGCAGATCCTTCCATTTCTTTCGTCAATTCTGACTAACGAATTCCCTGGAGCCACGCTCTCCATGTGCCCTCTCTCATTTAAGTTCTTCAGAATGTTGTACACTGTGGAACCGGGCGTATCCATAGCTTTGAAATGGCATGACATACTGGACTTGGGCATGGCAAGTAGTTTTGATTAAACTCCGCCACCAACTCTCGAGCAGCCCGCTTGGATACCGCCGCCCTGGCGACCACTGTTTCTTGACCTGTCGCGCTGTTGACTAAATTCAATACCTGGAAAACTGACTTGGTCCTTACGGGTACCAAGCAGTATCACCCACCTCTCGTGCTCCGGATATTTGGAGGGTCATCATCTACTGTGCTTTTGTTGGAGATTGACTGGGAGTGAGAGGGAAGGGGGGGGGGGCGCTGCACACGCATGAACCGCTCACGACCCCCTTGGACTTCCTTTGGTCGTCGTCGCAGAGAGAGCGCTCGATCTCGCATCAAACACCCGGAGGCCCACGCATGGGGCAACTAGACTGCGGGCCGCGCCAGCAATCGCGAATCAACTGATAGCCGTCGGGAACTAGCACCTGGTTATCTCAGAGCCGGAACTCTGCAACTACGCGTGCCAAAGCGTCAGTAGACTGCAGGCGCTCGAGGCTTTCCATCTGTTCGGACCGCTGCCGCCGTGGCCGCACTCATCGCTGCTAAAGCAAACCGAGGTTGGTTGGCGACGTCTCGGCTTTCGATCTACCTGAGATTGACAATGAAACACAGGCTTTGTCGGCAGAACGGCTTAGATAATATATTACGTTATACTTAAACAGCCATCACTTAACCCAGGAGATAAGTTTCAGTTATAATGCTTAATATATTTTCCGGTGGAACGCCGCAAATAACTCAGCACGCCCTATGATTGGTGGCTGATGGAAGCTCCCAGTGTTGAGCCAACAAACCCACTTACCTATGTTTCAGATGAAGCTTGTGGCGTCTTTTTTGCTGCTATCCATTTATCTGGTGAGTGGAGGACTTAAATCGGCTTTGGTAGTTGACGGATATTTGGATTTCTTACTTGGATGTTTTGGATGTTTTCTTGATGGGTATTTAGATGATATTTGGATAATATTTTTTACGCGTCAACTGCGTGTCGGTTATAGTAGTTAAATACTGAAACTTCATAAAAGTTTTTTTGCTTACGAGTGCGAAACGGACGAAACTTCGACGCTCAGTGTATGGAGGTGTTCGACGGAAGTATGACGACGTATGAAGTATGTGGTATGTGGTATGTGGAAGTATGACGACGGAAGTGTTCCCGTGGTTCCGACACCAAGCGCAGTCGTTTTGCTTGCTCGCTCGATACCGGTTTACTTTGAGCACCATGTTTTTACACCGCGTGCGCCAACACGTCATCCGACACGCTGTCGCACCCCGCTTCAGGCCGATATCTCAGGCCGAGGCCTCCTGGTCCACCCCCGTATCGTCTCCCCAACACAGCGTCACACGCGGACGCACGCCTGCATGCCCATAACAAGCAGACCGGCGTGCACGCCAAGCACGCGCACGCATGTCCACACCATCATATACGCGCACATCTACATGTGCACATGTGTATACGCACACACACGCATGCACAGCAGAATGTACATTCCTTAAGTCAGTGCGAACACGATCACTTCCGAAGCGCATTTGGACACTGACTCGCTTCGCACACCGATCTCTGGTGATCTAACGCCGACCATGACGTCTGCATCGACAACGACTCGCGTCCCCCGACAGCGGTCGCGTTTTCCATCCGTCAGAACGTCGTCCGACATGTTGCCGCACCCCGCTTCAGGCGGGCGTCTGGGGCCACGGTCGCCTGGTCGATCCGCCGTGTCGAGCCACCATGTGGCGACAGGGCTACGATACGCCGGCGGACTACAACGACAACCAGCTGTTCTGCGGCGGAAAGGACGTTAGTAGCAGCCGGCCGCTGGCGTGTCGTATTGGCGCGTCGGATGTGGGGCCCAGTTGACAAGGTGACGTTGTCACAGGGTGTCACAGGGACATGGTGACGCTGTATGGATCTTGTGATGGTCGAGGAATGGCTCATGAGATGGTGAGATGACGAAGTAATTAGTGTCTGCGGCACTGTTTAGACTCACATCCCGCACTGCCGCTGGCAACTACAGAAGCTTTTAAGCTAGTACAACGTTATAAGGGCTTTGAATTAATAGCACTTTAAGGGGGTTTAAATTGTACAACATTCTTATATATGCCACACAACCCCAAGGAGTTGGTCTTCATTAACAATCTTCTACGGCAATATAGCACTACATACGTTTAAATGTTCGAAAATGCCTTTAGAGCGAAATATGCTTTTCCAAACACCCTTCGAAGTTCAGCGCGTGTTCGGAAAAACACCATCATATGGATGAAGCCAATTTTACCGATGCCCTGTTGCAAGACCTTAGAGCGCCTCCTGTCCGTCGTGTCGTGGCGATGGTTGCTGAGGTGCGGAGGCCGCTGTTGTGACGTTTCCATCGGATGACAGCACCAGCAGGCGGACGAAGGCGGCAAGTGCGGCATCTGTGGAGACCCGTACGATGAGCCCGAGCCGCGCACCCACGAGATCGGCGGACCCTACTACAAGGGCTACCTGGTCCGGAACTACACCGTCGGCTCGGTGCGTGCCTCGACCCCGGGTGTGGTGTCAGCAGCGCTCGTTTCGGTTCACCAGCTGTGTCCGCTGGAAGAGTTGGAGCTGACCGTCTCTTGTGGCTAGAGGGCATACTTACCTGCTACTTGATGCAGAGGCGTACGCAAATATTGGTTACCGGGACACTCGTCCTCTCCCTTACTAAATTTGTGCCATGTATTGTTATGTACGTAACAAATTGCTAGCTGAAAACTCTTGTTCGACCGCAAAAATATGAAAATCTAGGATGTACGACGCTATTTTACGACAAGCACGATATTACTCACGTCCGCCACACGCTACACTTGGTGTTCAGTGTTTTTATATTTTCTCCCTGCCCATTATGAAATCCTACGTACACCCGAGACTGTACACATGTTCAATGTTCTGTACATTCGGCGTCGTGGATTTCAAGTTTCCGCACGTCCAAGATAACATCATACAAGCTTAACACCACAAATGCGAAGCAATCGTTGGAAAACGGACTGAAGTGGATGCAAACATTAACTCGGTCAATGATACGGTCCCTGCTGCAGGCCTTTATCCAAATCTAATGATCAGAGCGCGTACTGAGAATATTACACTGCAACGCAGGCATATTTATCTGGCTTACGTACAGAGCATACTTGTAAACTCTGGCTCACATCCATCTGTGCTGCAATGAATTTGTGCTGAAAAGTCCTAAAATGCAATAGGAATATTGGAGTGAATCAGAGGGGGGAAGATCGGTTCTGTCAAGCTATTGGACTCGAAAAGTCCTTCCTAAAACCACCAGCAGGGCAATAGAATGAGCACGATGAGGAAGTTGGTTGAAAGAGAAAATTACGTAGTGGCGCCACGTTATCATTGCATTATCGTTCAGCAAATCGCACTTTATGCCTGTCACGATTTGTTATTATTCGCAGGAGATCGAAGTGACTGTCCAGATTACTGCCAACCACCTGGGCTTCTTCCAGTTCAAGATGTGCCCGGTGACTGGATTCCAGACAGAGGCCACACAGGAATGCTTAGACAAGTGTGTCAATGGTGGCCTTGCTGTATGGATTGCAGTCAATGACTGAGCGTGAGACGCTATGGTCGGTTAATCTGCATAAAGGGATCGCCTTTATATGTCCTATGCGTGTCTCATTGCACATATTGGGGGAAGGGAACCCAACAGTCTGCGGGTTCCGGTAGTCTAGTGGTAAAGCTGCTCGTCTGGGAAACCAGAGCGGGGTCGATTTCCCGCGTTGCCCGTCCTTCCTCCCAGGACAAGAGGCAGGTAACGCCACATAACCTCGGTAGCTAAGTACGTCGCGGAGCCCCGAGGACGAGAACAATGCCCCCATCTCAGCCATGCAGTGTCAAGACCGGTGGCGCTTTTCCCACTGCTCTGCAGGCAGTTCGCTTAGGAGAACTGTTGCGTCACTTTCCCCATGCTGAAATTTTCCTGACGACCGCCCGATACTACCAGCCACCTCCTGAGACTGGCCGGGTCGGACTCGACCGAGTACCACATCACGGATGAGGTGCGCCCCTTCACGGTGAAGCTGCAGCTGCCCGCGGGCCTCGAGTGTGAACACTGCGTCTTCCAGGTGAGACAGCACATTTCCTTCTCCATGTAAGCCAGCACTGGGTGTCCTCCAGATGGTACACCACGTCTTCCAGGTGAGGGAGCACACTTCGTCCTACATGTGAGAAAGTACACGGCGTCTGCGGGTGAGAAGGCACGCTAGGTTCCAGGTGAGAGGGTACACTGCGACAGAAGTGTTGCCATGAGTGCACTGTAAATCAGATTTGCATAGCAAAATAAATGACGCACCAATCAGCAGGCAACGGCGATAAATTATTAACCTCGATAACGCTACTGTAGCCCTTTGATATGGCATCAAAGAACACTTCCGCCATCAGCTTTGCTTCGGGCAGTAGTGTCCGCCCCGGTCATCTCATCGCACTACAGTGACGCCATCTGCGGTCAACAATATACCGCTGTTGCCCGCTGTTGCTCACTGATGCCGCCCGCCGATGGACCGCTGTTGCCCGCTGATGGACCACTGTTGCCCGCTGATGGACCACTGCTGCCCGCCCATGAACCGCTGTTGCCCGCTTTCCTGTGGACCACCGCTTCCCGCTGATCAACCGCTGTTGCCCGCTGATGGACCACTGTTGCCCGCTGATGGACCACTGCTGCCCGCCCATGAACCGCTGTTGCCCGCTTTCCTGTGGGCCACCGCTTCCCGCTGATCAACCGCTGCTGCCCGCTGACGAACCACTGTTGCCCGCCGATGAACCGCTGTTGCTGGCTGTTGCCCGTTGATGCTGCCCGCTGATCATTGTATAATGTGCCACAATCTCGGTCCAGTGCCCAATGTGGCATAGCGACTAGCACTAGACAAAGCGGTGGTGACGGCAGTTGCTGACGTCGGTGTGTCCCCAGTGGCGGTACCACGGCGGTAATGACTGGGGTGAGTGTCCGGACGGCACCGGCAAAATGGGCTGCGGCGCGCAGGAGGAGTTCTACGGCTGCGCAGACGTTTCCGTGCGCAAGTCAGCTGACAGCAAGTGAGGCAGCGGTCGCGACCACACGGATTAATCCCCGAAAAGTACATGGCCACTGCGTGAACCGTGCCTTTTAGTTTCCAAAGAGGCCCAAAGCGGTAAAGATCGACTTGCTTTGACTATAACCACCGACATGGATCCATCATGTGTCCATAATCGTGGTATGGCGGTACGTATGCTCGGCCGCCGAAGTCCCACCAGCCACCGACGAAGTCCTCACAGCGTCTCCGTCTCCCGCAGGCCCATCGCCCCCAAGCCTCTGACGAAGCTGCAGTAGACGTGACTCGCACAGCCTCCGTCCGGCCGGTGTACGGACGGTCCACGGCGCCGGGCGCGGACGGCACTCCCTGCATCGACAGCGACCTGCCGTGGCCGCTGTGTGTAGCCTCTCGCGTGTCTTACGGGTATGCGACCGTGCGCGTCCATGCGACCACTCGTTTTCTGTGTTTTTCAAACGCGTGTGGCCTTCATTCCTAGTGTTTTTCGCTGGAATGCTTTAAAGGCAGATGGAAGTCGCACCGCAGGAAGCAACCGTTCAAAATGCACACGGAGAAGAGCGACTGCAAGACTTGAAACGGCACGGCGATGAAATTAAATACAATATTGTTTTTAAAAGAACTCCGGTGAAATTGGGCATGTCACGACTTACTTGAAATCGATACCAAGTGAACCAAAACATTAGACCGATCTATATGTAAAACGCGTTCGTGGCGAGATGGAAAATAAACAAATAGCACAGATGTCTGGACCTAAGCCGTCTTACAATGGCAAAGAGAGAATGCGAAAAGGACAAGAGAGGAAGTACGTCCTCAGGGCACGAAGGTGACTTGTTATGAACTGACCACTGTTGATGACATCATCAGACCACACATATGGTGTCATCAGACCGGCGCTACCAGTCAAAATGGCGTCTTGAGATGATACGGTTGGCTGACGGCGCAACATGTTCGACAAAACACGTTTAACTTCCTGATCCCGCAACATAACGAATATGACAAACCTCTTATCTGCTTCCGCATGTACTGCATGCTGTTTAATCTCTTGTGATTATACAACTTAAAAATTTACATCAAAACCCACAAGCAATGGTGAAGCAACTTCATTTATGGCTCCAACGGAAGTGTGTAGCATATGTGTCTAACATATGTGTCTAACATAGGTGTGTAGCATATGTGTGTAGCATATGTGTCAACATATTTGAATATAATTTCTTAGTAGGTGACGTGACCCTAAATGCTTTCCCGCTCATACAACTGATTAGAATGGACTTGCAGTTATTTTAGGAGGGATCTAAAGGAGCTTCGCGTGTTTTATGGTTTGCTGGGCTGAGCTCTCCTCTTCGCATAATCAATGTTTTCATAGGGCAATAGGGCTTTGAACATGACGATTCAAAGGTAAGCCAGTTTTCCCCCTTTGCCCCAACATTTAGTTGAAAAATGTCGGTGTTCTGTGAAAACAACGAACGTGAGCACGAAAATAAGCCAGCTCAAGTTCCGCAGGAACGCGACAGACGCAGTCCAAATCGATGAAGTGAATGATACGCCTCCACTTGTGTATCAGTCTTAAACCTAAATGATACCTTTAAAATGGCTCATCATTTCATGCCAGAATGACAGAAATTTATGAAACTGAAAAATGGTTTAGTGAACACCTCTCCTGATTTCTTTTGTCTTTCCTTCTTTCTCTCTCCCTCTTTCTCCCATCCTTCCTCTATCCATGCCCTCCAGGTAGACATAAATACTGCAACATTGGACGAATCGAATGTTGAATATTTATAACACTGGACATCTGCGACGCCCTCGGCACATTCCCAGACGCACACTCATACATCAGCGCACATTTCTCAGTCCACATTCATCCAACAGTAAACATTCCTTAGTGCACATTCCTCCATTTCACATCAATGCACATCCCTCCAATTCACTGCCTCCAAACCGCATTGGAACAAGGTCACCCCCTTGCTGCCGTACCTCTGCCCGCCCTGCACACCCCCAGACATGGTCTAAACTTCAGATAAGATGGCCAACTGCACTTCAGGAGGCACCTGGAGCAGCGCTCACGCAAGGGAACCAGCCAGGTGTCTATCTTGCAACCGCCGGCGGCCCTGCTAACTCGGCGACAGCGTCGGACGTCATATAAGCTGGCCCTGCTAACCTGATGAGCAGTTGTAGAGCTAGGTCAGGCCGTGCTGTTCGTGTCCATCCCTGCTGACACAGTGTAGAGGTGAGACCGCTGGCGTCGAGTGAACCTACCGTCCTGTTCTGCGAGCGGCACACACATTCTATGAGGAATGTTACTGGGGCTGAGCCTCACCTGGGAGTTAGAGCGGGTCAGTGATGTCCCGCGGGACATCCCACCCGGGACATCTTATGGTGTGCGGCACAAGTGACCTCTGTTGGTGTCTCACACAAGCAGTGTCTCGTGTGTAGAATAAGAATGACGTCGGCCATGTAAGTTCCCCCAGTCACGTTATGTCGTGTTATGTCTCGCATTTTCAAGGACAGGATAGGATGTTGCGCTTCCTACGCTAGTTTGTGTATTTTGCAGTGCCATGAATGGACACCATTGTTTATTAGCTACGTTCCGTTTTGTTACAACGGTCTCGTGATACATCTGAAGCCCAAACAGAATCGGTGGTAGCAGTTCGCCACCTTTAATCCATTTGATAAATGGACAATATACAGAAAGGCCATGACTACAAATTTAGAGACATGAAGACGGAACGTAGGTCACCAAGACATCTGCGGCCATCACATTTTCACTGGTGATGCGAATGCTGTCTGTGTGATTCGATCTCTGATAAATCTATAGTGTTCTTCGCTGGTAAGCAAGCATTACATCTGAGGGAGCTCTGCAAACGAAAGATGATAGCCTGTTTTCATTGTGTTCAGATCCTGTTTGAATTTTGCTTTGGCGCACGTTAAAATTTATTTTATAAAAAACGGCAAGGAACGTGTCTTATGTGTGCAATGACTATACCCGACCGAAAGAGATTTCACTGAGACGCTCAGCATCACGTGGGGAACAGTGTTCCCACGGCTTGGCCCAAAGCGATCAGAAATTCCCTTGCGGCATCTATTTCTCCCCGAGTCTGAGTCCCTGATACTTGGCCCTGAGGTGACCTAAGCCCAATGGTTTCAGATGGGGCCGACTGGAATATGGATCTGCTTGGCTGCCGGCCTGGTAAGCTACGCAACATAATAATTGCCAACGGCTGAGATTGTTATGAATAAAAGGTGCCAAAAGCTTAGGTTACAAAGGGTGGTTAAGATATCCGCCGTTTCAAATCTGTCTTCTGTCAAATGTCATAGTGGCTGAGGTAAGCTGCATCTTTTGGTCGAGCTCAAATCCCAGGGGCCATAAAATGGATACTCAATCTCAACGCTTAAACCTGCTACGACAATAAAAACGCTGTCATCTCTACACCTCCCGTCCCCCCCCCCCCCTCCCGTTCGCCCGGTTCTGTGTTAAGCGTGACGTCTGCTGCCAGCTGGCCGGGGTCAGAGGCCACGGCCGGCTGAAGGACCCGCCGTGCCGCGCCTCCATGTGGCGCTACGGCTGGGACACGCCGGAGGACTACACCGACAACGAGCTGTTCTGCGGCGGGCGGGACGTGAGTAAGAGTGAGGGCGCCGCCAGCTCAGAGATCCGCGCACTTCTGAGAGTCGCATATAAAGCGAGCCTTGTGGTTGTTTGTAGCTGCATTTTACATTACAACTAAAATGCGTCCCTTTCATGAATTTGACGCTCAAGGCAGCACATTTTTGTACTTATAGTGCAACGCGTTTAAACGGCTAACATGGAAGGTACAAGGTGATTCTCTGACGGCACTGCACCTTGTCCATGGCACTGATCGAAAACCAACCCACGCTCTGCGAGGCCACTTGAGACGTGGCCCTCACTTCAAGACGGAAAATGAAAATGAGGCGATAATTGACCCAAAATAAGCCCAATACCCCTCGTCGTCTGGTGTACTCTCCGTGCGAGGTCACTGTAGCACCGATTCTAATTGGCTGAGTGGATGGCTGTCTCACTGCCAATTGGCTGGCTGGGTATCCGATTATGCCTGAAGTTTCAGCACGCGATTAGGCGTAATGTGTTCGCTGCGACCCGCTCAGCTCGCAGCCAGACACTAAGCCGGGTGACAGCCAGCCATGCCAGTGAGCCCAGTGGGAAGGGTTTGGCCATGTCGGCGTCGTGCGGTATCAGATGTGCAGCCGGTATCCGTGCATCCGTCACCTGACAGCGCCAAGCCCTCAGCACGGCGACACTTGCCTCGCTGACCATTAGCTACATCTCTGTAGGAGCCCCTAAGCTCCTTCTCCATGCCTCGCACAGCACGAGATCGAGCAGGGCGGCAAGTGTGGCATCTGCGGAGACCCGTACGACGACCCGGTGCCGCGTAAACATGAGATCGGCGGACCCTTCTACAAGGGCTACCTGGTGGCCAACTACACCGCCGGCTCCGTAAGCATGTCGGCCGGGACAACCAGATTATGGCAGCCCTTCTCCCGAAACCTAGCGTTATTTCGTAAGCTTGTGTCTGAAGTCTCTGGTTCTAACGCTCAGGCTTCTTCAAAGGCCACGCACAATATCACGAACTACGCATAACGGTAAGGCGCAAGAAAGTGCGAACATTCTGGTGACAATTAGCTTTCAGAAAAAAGAGATTTATTGAAACAACGCATCAACCAAGCACCAAATGCACCATAACGCTTGGAGCTTAAATGATATGTGTGCAAACTACGTGAATCTCATTTTCACTTGACATGCACGAGGTAATGAAGCAATCTTTCTACCCTAGTCAGAACCGGTGGCATTTTTAAAGGATATGAGCACCTAATTTTTTACTGACCCCAGGTGGTGACCGTCACCGTGAACATCACTGCCAACCACAAGGGCTTCTTCCAGTTCAAGATGTGCTCCGTCCCTGGCTTCCAAACAGAGGCTACTCAGGAATGCCTTGACAGGTCAGTAATGTTCTGCACCCGCGGGCAATGAAATTACCTCAAAATGTGTATGTGGAGGTTGGGGCGGGGGGGGGGGGAGAGGTAAGGGGACATTTGTGGTTCCTTCTTTCCAGTTAATGCCCATGGAACAGTGTTAAAATTTCCGAAAATTGGGGCTCAGCCCCTCCTGGCTCCCTTCGCTTCCGCGCCACCCACCACCACCTATGTGGCCTAATGTCCGGCAACGAAAACGGCGAATGGAACTAGCAACAAGGCACGGCGTTGAACGGGTACTTCCTTACAATATGCATCGGCCAGAGGGATTGCACTTTACGAAGGGGTCTTGCCTTTTGAAGGGGGCTTTTGAAGAGTCACTGAGTCTTGATGGAAAGTCGGTTTTTGTAATCGTCATGGCGGGAACGTGGCCCTTTGGTCACATTTTAATACGTCAGACGTGTCGTGATATGCACATCACATCATCGTGCACATCATCATGCACATCATCATGCACACCGTGCACACGTCTACAGGTGATGAACAAACATCTTCGCGTCTTCAAGAAGTGTACTGCTATCTGCAACGCAAACCTGAATGCCTTGACAAGCCACAGTGGCTATCGGGATGACAGCGTGCTAAGCCGCCGCGCCTCCGCCAGGACTATTCTGGAGATAGCAGGCACCGGCTCCACCGACTATTACATCACTAGAGAGGTCAAGGCTTTCTACGTGGACGTACAGATCCCCAGCGACCTGGAGTGTGAACATTGCGTATTTCAGGTGAGCGCCGTCGGTACATCGGGGGCGAGAGCATCAATGACGCCATCAAGCGGGAGCATCAATAACGCCACGAGGTGTGAGGCAAACGCAGCAGCGAGGCAACGCAGCCAGGTGTCCGCCTTTGATCCTGCCTTATTTACCGTATATATCACGAAAACACCGGCTTCGGAAACTGTCCCACCTCTCCCATTTCGGTTCTGGTACTTACTGAAGGTGAAGTTTCCGACAAGACGTCGGTCAGCAGCCGCAGCCCAAGCTCAGTGGGTGGGCGGCTCCTCCGCGCTGCGGTGAAGCTCCTCTTGGCAGACCTGCCGGAGCAGGCTGCTCCCCGGCCCGGTGTGTTCCAGAACCGACGACGCCACCGCCGCCGGTCCTGTGCGTGCGCAGTCTAACGCGTTAGCAGCTGGGTCTATGGTGCATCGGTGACACATGTAACCCCTGTGTGCCACAGTGGCGGTACCACTGCGGCAACACGTGGGGTCACTGCCCCAACGGCACCTCCGGAGACGGCTGCGGACCTCAGGAGGAGTTCTACGGATGCGCCGACGTCTCCGTTCGCAAGCCGGCCATTAGGTTCGTGACCCTGCCGGTAGCATAGCGCTGACGAACGGCGAGAGGCGCGGTCAGCACCGGAATAACAAATGTAATTGTTGGTATTTTAAAAAAATTGATCCGAGCGCTTTAAATGGATGGATTTCCGGGATCAGAGCTCACGCTAAGCAGTGCTTGTTGTGTGAGCCCTGACCTCTACCATCCGATCGCGCAATTCCATGTCAACGGCAAAATTTGGTAGCGAAAGCTTAACGTGCCGCGATGCTCGGCACGGTCCGTCCTGCCCTCTGACGTCAACTGACCTTTAGCGCAACCGCTGCCACCGGCCGCAAGCCATGCCTGTCAATGGAAAATGGCGAGTTCCCTAAAGCGACTCGAACCCACCCCGCCACGGGTGGGTGGATCGGAAGGCAGGCGCTCTAACCAACTGAGCCGCCGGGACGGACAACTTTTTGGCACAAATGCTCCCTCCTCTCTCTCTCTCTCTCTCTCTCTCTCTCTCTCTTTCTCTCTCTCCCCCTCTCTCTCTCTCTCTCTCTCTCTCTCTCTCTCTCTCTCTCTCTCTCTCTCTCTCTCTGTCTGCCTGTCTGTCTTCTCAACTCTCAACTCTCTCTTCTTCTCTTTATCTCTCTCCCTCTCTCTCTGCCTCTTTTGTCTCCCTCTTTCTGTCTATCTCTGGGTAGGCATATTTCTCTTTCGGCGCGGACCACCCGTGTTTTTCCGATGCCCGTCCAATGCCAGCTGTGCATGGACGAGCCTGTAGTGCAGAGTTCCGCAACGCAGCGGAGTCTTGCGGCACAGCATTGAAGCGACAGCTTTAGTCAATTAGTCTTTTGCGCACTGGTTCCTTTGGCTGGCAGTGTTAGACGGCTGCAGGAACTTGGCGTTGTGAACGTAACAATTTCGAAATTTGTTGGTTTCTGGTTGTACTGTTCGAAACAATCTGTTAAGAAAGGAGGCCTACAGTTTGGAACAGGAAAGAGGGGTGGGGGGGGGGGGGGGGGGCAACTACAACTGAATACTTTTCTACACCCATGAGACAAATTGACATTATTAGGAACATAAGGCAAAAAATGATGAAGATTATTGGACGAAACAGGTTATAACAGTGTTTTGGGGTGACTGTACATTGCATGTTCCTATAAATCACGTAAGTTGTTCATTGCATTAACGAGGAGCATTACTCACATAGATAAGGCAGTAGCATTAACCTATATAGATAAAACCAGGAGAATGGAGGTATAGTTGGGTTGGTATTTCGGCTACGTGCCTTTATTGGAACAATAGCAGAAGTGAATTCACTTCTGCTATCGTTTCGATAAAGGCATGTTGGCGAAATATCAACCAAACTATATCTCCATTCTCCTGGTTTTCTCCGAGGAATGAGGCTAATACTACCGTCTTATCTGTGTTCGTACAAATCCTGATATTTCTATGTTGCGCTTTTGTTTTGTTGTAGCAGTGCTGTACCATCTATCGCTTGACTGCTTGAATCCGTTGAGAGGACCGCGGCCGCCGCCTTGGTCTCACATCGCCGCGACAACAGAGGCTCAGAAGCTGGAGGGTGGCACGTGATTACCGTGAAGTGATCTGTGTGTGTGTGTGTGAGGTGAGCTCTTCCATGAGGTGGGGCGGCTCACCCACATTCGCCATCCCTGGACTGACACCTGCAGAGGTCGCAAGGGGATGAACCAGAATTTGACGACAATGACCTTGAGCTGACGTCTCCGCGTTCGTCACGGACCCACTCGAGGCGCATCCGACTAAAGTGCAAGAAGACGTACCGCGCGCCTGGTTCTAAAGCCATCTCGCAATGCACTGACGACATGCATGCATGCATTGGCCAGTAATGTCAGGCGTCATTGGTCCTTTCTCAGCTGACTGGCCGTGCTCTCCCCTCAGGGTGGACCCCGTCGTCCTGCCGGGAGACAAGGAGAGAGCGGAAGAGGAGAAGAGCCGTTCGTGATGAGCGCGGCGTGGTGGGGAGGCGACGACGACACGCTTGGCCGGTAGTTGGTCTGCCGATAGCCGATTTCTCTGCGCTGGCCCTTTTCATCAGTCACCGCCCTGGCGTTACGTTACCCCTTCAGCACCAAGTGACGCGTTTGACCTCGTGCGGAGAAGAGCATGCCGGACTTCAGATGCATCGGCTCGGGAAACAGGGCACGATCCTCGGCCGGGCCTGGCTTGGAAGGTTGTTGGCAATCGTCGACTTGCTCGCTTTGGCGCCCGCGAATACACGGTTTAGGTTCAATCCACGCAAATGTGACACGCGTGATCGCCTGTACTTCACACCTGACTTATCTGGCCTGGCGTAGAGATAATATGCGGACGGGCAAGTCCACACAGATTTTAAGTGATAACAATTATAGCGCAGCAAACATTTTTTTCGGTGATAAGGTGTCGTTCATCATATACATACCCAAACAGCCAATGGCTTGCCAGCCCACCACTCAGTAGTGCCGTTTCCAAACAGCGTGTAGAGAAAATGCGAATGACAATTTTATTTTCCTGACACAGTGAATGACACGTTATGTAACAATGACGATGAATCTTCCCATTTCCCCGGCCAGGCAATTGCGGCATCCCGGATCCACGCCGTAGCCTGACCACCAGTAGTAGTACGAGTCAGAAACAAACTCTCCTCCCCTGCACTGACGCGCCGACCGCAGGTCCCGGGAAGCCTCGCCCACTAGTGCCGTACGAGTCAGAAACACTCTCCTCCGCTGCGCTGACGCGCCGACCGCAGGTCCCGGGAAGCCTCACCCACAAGTGCCGTACGAGTCAGAAATAAACTCTCCTCCACTGCGCTGACGCGCCGACCGCAGGTCCCGGGAAGCCTCGCCCACTGGTGCCGTACGAGTCAGAAACAAACTCTCCTCCACTGCGCTGACGCGCCGACCGCAGGTTCGGGAACACGACACGGGAGGCCGACAGACGGCACCGGCCCCGACCGTCAGTGCGCTTCATGGGCGGCGCCCATGAGCCTCAGTGCGCCCGCACGGGCTCGCCAACAACGCCAGTCTCCAGCCAATGCCGGGCAGGACTCCGCCCCACCGCGAGTCCGGTAGCACCGTGAGCGGACTGACGCGGATGACGATGCCGAAGATGACGTCTCTTACTCTGGCCGCCGCCGCCGCCACCGCCACCCAGCTCAGAGCCCCAGCGTCTTGCGGGCATCCTGCACGCTGCGCACGAGCGCGGCGATCTGGTCGCCCTGCGCGACGAGCTCGGCGCGGATGCGCTCGCGCGGCGCGGCCGCCAGCGCTGCCAGCTGCCGATCCTGGCGCTGCTTGTTCGCCCGCTCCACGCTCGCCTGCCGCCCGCAGAGACGGCGACGCGTCAGGAGGGAGTCAACATCAGGCGCCCCTCAGCGGACGGCGGTGCTGGAGACGTACGGCTGTGTAGAAGCAGGAAGGGAACAAGAGAGGAACGAGAGGAAACTGCCCACCATTATGTGCCTGAGACGTCGACATACGAAGAAAATTGGAGGATGGGATAAGATAACTGGAGGACAGATCACACACTTAGGGCCATTGGTCAACGGGCCGCGTTCAGTCAAGGGCACACCAATGCTGCTGCTGCCCTTGGATACCTTTCCAGTCAATTCGCAGCATCAGACTCATCGCGGCAAGTTATGTCCACAAATGCTATACCGGACCTACAGTTTCTGACCTAGTTTTGATTAGCCCATTTCACTGCGATCTTTTTCCAGTTCAAGGATGCTAGATTTCTCTGACTATGCACATGTCGCCAATAACGGAAAAGTTTTCCCGGACAAATTTCGGTGCGAAGAATACCAGACACTGTCCCAGAATATAGGCAGCGATCACGGATTTCACTGGCTGCGTAATTGCTGCTAATACGGAACAATTTTCCGAGACACATTTCCGTGCAAGGAATGTGGGCCATCGCCCCGGAAAATGCGCAACGATCCCGGACAACCATCAACAATTACCGCGGCCCCAGCGGGTGAACAATCATTTTTGACTCAAGAGGCATATTGGCAATGTTCGTCGTCTAGCCATGCTTTTGGTGCGGTGCTTAAGCCCAAGTATCATGAAAGTGGCGCCACTCGCGAAAAATAGTACAAAAGGCAACACATTCACACTCGTTTGATATTTTACAAGTGTGGCTCAAGGCTTCGATCGGTCGCTGTTCTTTTCGTTACCAAGAGCATGGTCAATACTTGTGACGCCACACAATTCATTATTCTTAATAGCACAAAGCTGATACTGTAGCACTGTTTTGTTTCTGTACGTAACTGCTGTCCAAAAAAGGCGAGAACTGTTATCTCAGGTGCGTGCGATGATGTCAAGAACAGTAGCTTATTTTTCGTCAGATAGAGGCGACCATACAAACCCAGTGAAGACTTTGGCGCAGAATGCCGCACCACCACGAGCACACGGGTTGCTGTGGCCCAACAGTGAGAGGTCACTGCACCCCGCCGCCGGCAGCGTGACGAGGTCGGCGGCGCGGCGCCGGCAAAAACAGCGGTCGTGCGCCACAGCGCTCACACACAGCGACACAATGCGTTACCCCGGGCAAAAACAGCACGGCGGCGGGGGAGCTGGCGAGTGGCAATGCAACGGGAATTCAAAGATTTCATGAAAGCCGGCAAAGAGGAACGAGAGGCAAAAAAAACAAAAAACAAAACCGCACCGCGCACTCAAGCGGAGTGTGCGGGACAAGTACACAACAATCTGCTTATTTTGCCTAATTTGCCGTCGCAAAGAACAGCAATCAAGATTGAGACTATCCGGCGTCTGCGGCTCATGCGCAAGAATGGTATCAACGCAGCCGACCAAGGTACCAGGTGCATCTAGCCGCATGCGCCACAGCACACCACGCAGCTAATGTGTGTGTCACTTACAATAGCCGACCATTCAACAGGGCGTTGCCACATCTCCCAGGCTGGAACTCACCCACGACTTATCCAGATGTGTACTGGCCGAAGCCGCACGTCAACCAGCGGTTCCCACGCATGCGCACTGCACCGCAAGCACCACGAGAGCGAGGACCCCGCGGCAGAGCCACCCTCCACCCACAACCGCGGCCGGCCGGCCGTGCGCGGCTGCCCGCGGCGGCGCGCACCTGTCTCCTCTGGTAGTCGATCTTGTCGCGCACGATGTCCAGTCGCCTCCTGAGGTCGGCGGGGGACCCCAGCTCCTTCAGCTGTCGCGCGGCGTCCCGCTCGGCGTCCGAGAGCACCGGCACGTCACGCTGGCAGCTCTGGTACACCGCCTCCGTCCTGCCGGCCGGGTGGCGGTCGGTCACCGCGGCGGCAGGAGGGGGGGGGGGGGGGGGGGCGGGGGGGGGGTGGCAGCTCTGGTACACCGCCTCCGTCCTGCCCGGGTGGCGGTCGGTCACCGCGGCGGCGGGAGGGGGGAGGGTGGGGGGTTGGGGTGGGGGCAGCGGAGGGGTGGCAGCTCTGGTACACCGCCTCCGTCCTGCCGGCCGGGCGGCGCTCGGTCACCGCGGCGGCAGGGAGGGGGGGGGGGGGAGGGGGGCAGCGGAGGGATGATGGTGGAGTGTGCTGCGCAGAGTGGGCAATGATCGCCTGAAGCGGGTGTCGCCAAACGGTTTTTAACCGTTAAATCCGGTTGGCAGAAGCCGCTGGTAAAATACAACCGGCAGAAACCGCCAAAAGTCAGTGCAATAAGTCATATTGTAAGCCATTGGAATTAACTGGAACAGCAACAGCAATACTGGATGTTAAACACCGTTGGTCAACACCATGGCTGCACTTAAGATGTACTAAGCAGGACAGGCAGACATAAATTACACGCTCATGGAGGATTCCTTATACGTGTGTTAGGTGATAACATACATCGAATCCCCACCAAGACAAACACATCCAAACAGACCTGCAATCAATCAACTGCAGCGTCATGGTAGGCCAAGCCAGACAAATTCACTTTCCGTGCAAGCTAATGTACCATTTCATTTGATCAGGTCTGCCAATGTCAAATGCCAGAACTACGTTGCGCGTTCTTCTTAATACCGGTTCAAAAGACGTCTTCCGCATTAGATGCGAACTGTGCAAATGCACTTGGGTTAGAGCTTGAATAACAAAACTAAAGCTGAATGCTTATCGACCGACCCACTCCTAATCTGCCTAGTCATCAAATTTTGAGACATTTCTAAATAAAAAAACGTCGCATACAGCAATGCGTCACAGCAAGGCCGAAAGTGTCAGCAAATTGCACATGTTTTAGAGGAAACAGCAGCAATGTGGCGCGCATGCGATGATCGATGACCGAAAGAAACAGGCTCAAATGGTGATTCAAGTACTAATTATAGGAAATATACCACGTAATTTGATAATTGTTTTGTTGTATCTACGCATTGCTTCCGGGTTTTTCGAAGGAAGTAAGAACATTGGGATCACAACATGACAGCACAGTTAATCCATAGATGAATACAACAGCTTTCTAAGTTTCTGTTAATTTGCAGATTGGTACCGTTCGTCCAGCACTCAGTTTTTGACCCGTAACTGGGGCCGAATAAACGTGGCTAGCGCCGTCTTCAAAAACCACTTTCGCACGGCACGAGTACCTTCAAACGACCAGGCACATACCAGGCCGATGAAACAATGCCGAGGACAGGTCAGCGACCACGACAGACAAAACATGCCCGCCACACCCGGTGTACCAGCATGGTCGTGCCCAGGGCCCCCGCTCTTCACCGCCGTCGCCGCGACGCGGCCACACCCGGGGCCACTGCCTCACCTGCGCACCAGCTGGTGGTGGTTCTCCTGCAGGCGCTGGTACTTCGCGGCCGTGTCGGCCGCCCGGCCCTCCAGCTCATCGCGCAGCAGGCGCAGCCGCGCCACGTCCTCGCGCTGCTGCGCCAGCAGCCCGCGTAGCGCCGCTACGCGCTGCTGCACGGCGTAGCGCGCCAGCTCCTGGCGCTGGATGTACTCGCGGCGCAACCGGGTGGCGGCACGGCGCAGCAGCTCCAGCAGCTCCGGCGGCGGCGCGGCGCCGGCCGCCGAGCGCAGCAGCGGCACACTGGCGTCCCGCTCAAGCAGCCGGCGCACGTGCGCGTCGAACGGCTCGCCGGCGTCCTGACGGCGGCGGCCGCGGCTGACAGGTCACGAACGGGCCGTGGCTGCGCGCCACTTTCTTGTTCGAAAGTGATGCTTCTTATGCTACAGCATAGTGATTGCGACACTGAAAGCCGCGAAACTTCACGGAAACGTGCCGCTGAGACGCAAGGAAGTGCAATAACAAGTACACGCCTAAAATGGTTAATTGCTGGTGCTCTGCCGTTGCAATGCTGCGAACGTCACACAATGCATGCGTTACATTATGCGTATTGAGCGATGACATGCCTTCGTCCCACACACATTACGTAACGCGGCTTCAACGACCCCAACCAGGAGAAATTGCACGCCGGAGACATACCCACCCCCTCCCGTCCCGCTGCCCACGATGGTGTCTGTGATTACAGCCACCGCGTAGACGACGCCACATCTGCCCACAATCCAGGGGCGCGCCGCCACCCTGCGCCGTATCGAGCATTCCCACCGCCGGCCGCGGGGGGGGGGGGGGGCACGCGACGTGGGGGACGCACCTGGGGCGGTCTCACCGCGTCCTCGTCGGGCGCGGCGGCCTCCGGCAGCGGCGGCTTGAACCTGGTCGTCAGTGACAGCAGCAGCACCTGGCAGGCGTTTGCGGAACCAGGCGCGGCGTGAGAGTGAGACGCCCGCAGCGCTGGGGGCGCGTGCGATAACGCGCCGGGGGAGGGGGGGGGGGCGGCTGCTGCGTGAGACGGACACGACTGCGTCCAGTGCACCGACGGTCAGAAGCGTGGGACCACTGCGATCTCGCCGATTTATGTATGGAGTCGTAACCCACGCATAATCGATGTACATCTCCCTTTTTCTACTCCATGTGAACCAATTAGAAGTCTTTGTTTGCAGCATCTACTAGTAAACGAAGTATCAGTGAAATATGTGATACTGAAAAAAACGGGTCCAACCTCCCACTCAAACGTGCACCTACAATCGGTCCACATGAACACTTCGATCCACGCGTTAAACTATGATGGATCTCCTCGCTTTCACATGCCAATATTACCCCTCCACCACCACCACAAAGACAACAACAATGATTCCTGGATTTAAAACATCACCACTATGGTAACCCGTCTACCACTTACTCTCTTAACCTCCCCACCACACTTCCGTTCCACCCACAAATCCCCTCACCCCTCTGACATCACCACCAACCATCCAAAACTGTACCGCCGTCACTACACCTCTGACCCCTGTGACACCCCACATTGCCTCTGACCCCCCGACCTCACTGACACTCCTGACCTCGTGGGTGGCCAGCAGGACGACCATGAGCAGCGGGTGCGGGATGACGGCCAGCCCCAGCACCGGACAGCTGGGCGACGAGGCCACCGTGCGCGTGCACACCAGGTGGCTCACCACGCACTCGTGCTCGCCCAGCGGCTCCTCACTGACATCTGTCGGTAGGGGTGGCAGTCAGTAGTTCGACAGAGTTCCGCTCAAGTTGGAGCATGAAGATGGACTTGGCTTGAGCCACGCCGGCCAAGAGCGTTCCCAGTACCCACACGCATGGGAAAGCGAGGTGGATGGGGTATGACAGCAAGGTACTTCACCAACACAGCATCTGTTCAGCCGTTACATCCTACAGTATTAGATACTTCATGCATCAAACACTATAATTTGAACAGAAAAAGTGCTTGCAGATTCCCATGTGAAGTCAGCTTACGGCCTTGGCAAACACCGCAAGCGAACAGCATGCTGGCAAGCGGTGTCCGTGGAATAGACACCACCTGGCCTCGCCACCAGTGTTTGGAGAGCAGACACCACCTGGCCTCATTAGCAGTGTCTGAAGGAACAAACACCACCTGGCCTCACTGGCGGTGCCTGAAGGAACAGACACCACCTGATCTCACCGGCAGTGTCTGGACAGCAGACACCACCTGGCCTCACCGGCAGTGTCTGGACAGCAGACACCACCTGGCCTCACTAACGGGGTCTAGGGAGCAGACAAAATCTGACCGCATGGCCTGCGCTGCACACTCGGTGCTAGAGCCACCTACCGGGCTGGGCGGCGAACTTCTCAAGGGCCGCGATCAGAGGCAGGACCACGGCGTGGACGCCGGCCGCATGGCTACAGAAGTACCTGTCGGCCACAGAGCGTGTCCGTCACCCCACAGCGGCGGCCGGCAGGGGGAATGGACCAGGTCCGGTACAAGGCGGACCAGTGACACGGCGAAGGCGGGCTACGAATAAGTGGCGTGGGGAGGGGTGGCATAAAGTACACCGACATTTTCAAGCGATGTAGGAAATCATTACGCGCAATTGTAAACAATGCCCTGCCACGTCATAAGCACACAATTGTATTATTTCCTTGTCCCATCCAAAACAACTTTTTTGACCCTTTCATAGACCTCCCCATAAATATACATCACATAAATATCTAGTGGAAAAGTCTATCGCCCTTTACCAAGGTAAAGACCCCCTGTACAAGGAGGCAAGACACTTTATTGGTAAACACATATCGCAGGTGCACTAATAACGGGTGTATCTGAGAGGGGGGGGGGGGCACCTACAGCTGACTCACAATTCCCACCCGCCATCAAAGGTCAGGTCACAGCACCCACCTGCAGTCGGAGGCAGGACCACAGCACCCACCTGCAGTCGGAGGCCGGACCACAACACCCACCTGCAGTCGGAGGCCGGGCAACAGCACCCACCTGCAGTCGGAAGCCGGGTCGGGATGTAGCCGGACGGGGGAGGTGACCGGGTCGTCGTCCTCCGCCGGTGCCATCACCAGGTCCAGCTCGACGCTCTCGTACACGTACAGCGAGACGCCAGCCGACTCAAGCGCGAAGCAGGCGCTGTACTGCGACGATCCAGCGTCGGAGCCAATCTGCCGGGAGAGCGACGGTCGGGGAGACGTGACGCACATAGTGCTGGGGCCGTGGATGGCGCCAGCCGCGGCCGAGACGGCCCAGAGGAAGATAGCAACGGTCGGGGAGACGTGACGCACATAGTGCTGGGGCCGTGGATGACGTCAGCCGCGGCCGAGACGGCCCAGAGGAAGATAGCAACGGTCGGGGAGACGTGACGCATAGTGCTGGGGCCGTGGATGACGTCAGCCGCGGCCGAGACGGCCCAGAGGAAGATAGCAACGGTCGGGGAGACGTGACACATAGTGTTGGGGCCGTGGATGGCGTCAGCCGCGGCCGGGACGGCCCAGAGGAAGATAGCAACGGTCGGGGAGACGTGACGCATAGTGCTGGGGCCGTGGATGGCGTCAGCTGCGGCCGAGACGGCCCAGAGGAAGATAGCAACGGTCGGGGAGACGTGACGCATAGTGTTGGGGCCGTGGATGGCGTCAGCCGCGGCCGAGACGGCCCAGAGGAAGATAGCAACGGTCGGGGAGACGTGACGCATAGTGCTGGGGCCGTGGATGGCGTCAGCCGCGGCCGAGACGGCCCAGAGGAAGATAGCAACAGTCGGGGAGACGTGACACAAACCGCGCTGGGGGCAAGGATGCCATCAGCCGCGGCCGAGACGGCCCGGAGGAAGACGGCGACGGCAAAGCGCCGCGCTCCACAGCGGCTGCGGAGCTGTTCGCCGCATGGTTATTCTGTACGAGGACACCCAGGTACGGTGCGACACAGGGGAAATGATACTGGCACAATGCCAAATCGACGACGAGTGGGCACCTCCTCATCCATTACGCGAAACAGGTAGATTCAAACAACCACAACCACTTGCCAGCTCCCCACGTTCCGCAGAGGCGTCAACCCCCACGATTGCCCACGCGTTTATCCTCACAACACACCGGCACACAAGCCTTACACCAAACACCAGCCGACACCAACATCCCCTTCCCAACAACCGCTCAGCGCGGCGCACCCCCCCCCCCCCCCCCTCGCGCAGCACGACGTCCGTGCCGGCGGCCGCCACGCCTGCTCACCCCGTCGTCGACGCCGTCGTCGGGCCGGTCAAGCACGACGCAGTGGTAGAGCCGGGTGGGCGTGGCCACCACCAGCACGGCCGGTGTGCCGCCCACGCACAGCAGGTCGCACGCCTCCGTGCCGTAGTTGTCGTCGGCCGCCGGGTGCATCGCCACGGGACCGTGCATCGGAAGCCGCTCCCTGGCCGCAGGCAGCCGAGGCGTGAGGGACCGGCGGAGGCCGGTTCGAATCCGGCGAAGGATTGTTTTATAAATGGTCAGGCCGCGGGCGGCGGCGAAACGGACACAATACTCAAGTTATATGCAGTGCAGCATCCGCTCTTTTATCTATCCCGCTTTAAAGCATGTATTTAAAATTGATTGCGTGCACCATGACAACTCTCTGGCTGTGGGAGATAGCAACGGTCGGGGAGCACGGCCTTACCCGGGCGCCATGAGGTTGATGTGCGTCAGATAGATGTCACCGTTGCCTCGGAGGACGAACACTGCTATGGGTTCTCGTTCCTCTGGGGCCTGTGACAGAGCACCATAAAGTTATGAAACGGAGGCATTTCGCCTCCGTTCCAGAGCTAAAACGAAACTATCACATCCTTGTAAATAACCAGTTCACAGCATCTGCACCCGCACGCTTGTGACTCCCGTCAAAAGCACCTTCGGGAACGACTGGTTCGTCGGGGCCGCAAGAGATGGCGCTCACCTGACCATCTGGCGGCGGCAGCCGGGGACTGAAGGCGAACGAGACGGCCACCTCTCCAAGCGAGCGGACGAACGTGAAGCCCGCACTGTTACTCAGCATGGCCGAGTGGGTGGCGCCCAGGGCCATCACGTGACTGGGTGTCTGCAGGTCCGTCGCCACGTCATATACCCTGCGGAGGAGACGGTGTCAGGTGGGAGAGGGGAGAAGCCCAGTGCCATCACGTGACTGGGTGTTTGCAGGCCCGCCGCCACGCCACACACCCAGGGGGGGGGGAGAGACGGGCCGGGTGGAGTGGAGCCCCACATGACATCCGGAGGTCCTCGACTCGGGCCTAGTCAGCCGCATTCTGCCTATCCCATATCACCACTGCATCATCGGACGAAATCGACGCGGGTGCATGGTGACACAATCCAGACAAATTCAGAACAGTCGTGGACCCTGGCGGCAACGGGTGACATCAAGGATACCGAGCTGGAACCCGCCCCACGCGCCAGTCTCACAACGTGGGGTTCCCAGCGCACGGGCTGCTGGCCTGTTTTGGCACCCTCTCACCTGACTGATCTGAACTGCCCCTCAGAATGAACGGATCTCGCCGAAGAGTTCCTTTAACGACGACCCATCACCGATCCGCCCAGCTTTGGCAACGCTTCCACCCTCGGTCGCTACGTCAATTCTGGAAGCGAGTCTCCAACACGGAGTCACTGTACGCCATCCCTCCGTGGTACCTGCTTATCACCGGACTGAAAGCCGACCACGACCCTAAGAGCGCGCAACACACAACACCGCCGCGCCACCGGCGTGACCTCCGACCCGCCGCTGACCTGAGGTAGTTGTCACAGCAGAGCACCACCAGGTGGCTGTCGGTCGGCGACTCCGGGTGCCAGCGCACCTTGGTCACGCGCACGTGCTTGCTGCAGTGGAAGAAGCGCCCGGCCACTTGGCGGGACCTGTGAGTGAGGACCGAGGTGAGTAGATCCGGTTAGATCCGGTTAGAGGTCACCCGGCGTCGCGGCTCGCAGACCACGGCGAGCAGACGGCGCGCCGGTGGTGAACACACAGGCATCGTGCGTGGCGTCATGTTGGGAGTGTAGAGACATCAGTGTGTTTACTTGGTGCGTTTAAACGGTGGATGCCAGGTGTGCTCCGTTTCGGTGCTCATCCTAAACACACTGCTTCGGTGCCGACGGTGTCAAAGACGGCAAATCCGCCCGCTTCATGAAGACGGTCACAGACCGCACACAGTACACGGCACACCCAAGTATACAAGCTGAGTACGCGCTACGACTGATTTGACCTGACTTCACTTTTTCTTGCATGACTACACGCAGAACAACCACCACTTGGATGTGCCTTAAATAAGATAACTATAACTGTCATAACGGTAACTTAAGGGACGAGTCAAGTTGAAGAGCACACACTTCGAGAAGAAAACCATGAAATAAAAAATGACGTCTGCTTAAAATCACAGAAGAAAATAACGCTAACCTGGAGTGCTCTAACCCAGCATGACACTCTGCTCCATATAGGGAGCCCAAGTCACACCATTACCGGGGACGTCGGCGTCACGTGAGCACTTTTAGTACTGTAAAACTGCAATAGTAAGTATCGGCCAGCGACGCATGCTTGCCGATGTAAACGTTGGACGTTTTTCCGGACCACTTCCACGGCCGTGACGGCTTGCGAAACATTTCTTCAACGTAAGGTTAGCTTACATTAGCATCCTATATTTGCAGTGGCAAATGTAGGCTGAAATCACACAGCTTACTGAACGCTGGTTATTAAAGAAGATGCCGATTACGTACATCATAGGCCGGCGGTGTGCCTCTACTCGGAGCTGCATTGTGGTCTCAGCCGGCTGGGACTTACTAGACAGTGCAGCATTCCCTCCATCTAGCACAGCTCTAGCCGACAACCAGTGCACCTCCGTCTGGATTTCACGGACATCGAATAACAAAATGACAACGAACGACCATATCTCTGGGAATATTCTTTATTTGAAGATAATGGAGCAAATATCAGATATGGCGAAACAAAGTCACCTTTAACTATTGGGATACTTTTAAAGTGAAAGGCTGCTCTAGATAACACAATTTCTCTATCTAGTAAATACGCTCCTCAATGCCTCACTGTTTGATTACGTCATCGTACCTTGCACAACATGGATTGAGAGCCAACTGACGGCCTAAACATCTGGAAACCATGCTCACGAACACCAGGTATGAACGACTCAACAATGCATTTTTTCTTGGCCTTAATCGCCGCACGGCCAATTAATTGGCAGGACTTGAATGACATTATTATGTCATGGATGCCTGAATGACCATGAAATCACCTCCCCAAGTCTACTGATTTCGGTGGTGTTATCCGTCTCGAGGTCTCGCGGCATGCGCCTTCGCAGAGCATCTCCGGGTGGTCACGCCCGAGAGACATGCCATGACAGGAATTCTTGCCCGGGTTGCCGCGTGGGAGACCGATGGCCCGCTGCCCGGCCATCGCATCCCCGTTCAGCCATGCCCCAAATAAAAGATCACCAGCCATACAGGAAAAAAGAACTGTGTTAACGACACACGACGCGTGAGAACCAGGCGAAGTTTCCGTGAAAGACCTACAAAGTCTCAACGCTTGGCTCCGAACAACGCCCTTCATCCTTGGGGAAGTTACGTCATTATCATTAGGGCCACCAGCCTTAGCTGAAATATTGGACTCTTCGCATTTGCATCTGTTTCCTCCTCCTCCACATCGCATCCAGCTTAATCCCCATAGACAAAGGAAACATCCCATCCCGCGATAAATTACACCATTATCGATTACACATTACGGGCAGGATTAAACAGATACATTAGAATATGCAAATCCAGGAGGGAATAGCTTCGGCGGTTATGCTGAGTTTTTATGATTTTTCGAATGGTTAACACTGAGATGTTTTCATTAAATGGCACATAAATTCCGAGCGGGCTGAAGAAGGGCATTTGGCGATTATGCTCCGTGGATGATACATGGTGGAAAGGGTGCGCGAATAGTTCCTTTGCATACCATTTCATCAGCTTTGTCTTGGCGCGGCGGAGTTTCCAGAAGGACGCTACATTTGATACATTGACTGTAGCTGGGGGTGTGGCTGGTGGATGGCGCCCGCCACTGGGGCGGGCGTCGCACGGGGTCAGCCGTCTGTGAGAACGTCTCAGGGCTGACGAGCGGAGGTCGGCTCGCGAGCCCACTGGACGAGATCGGACGACGCTAGACGGGCCCGGACGAAAATGGAGGCGACCAATACAGGTCGGGCGCAATTGGACAACATGAGCGGGATGAGATTGAGACAGCCTCAGGCGATATTGAGAAATCGCACAAGCGGGCGACGGCGGCAGAGATCAGATGAAATGCTGGTCACGATGGGCAACACCGAACGAGGGACGGCAGCACCTTTTCTTTTTAAAGGATTTAATCCAAATCTCTTTGAATGGATAGACTTCTGGAACCAGAACTCTCGCTATGCAGTGCTTGCTATGTGAATCCTGATCCCTACCATTGTAGGCTAACGGCAGAATATGGTGGAGAAAGTTTAAAGTACAGAAATGCCCGGCACAGTCCCTTCCGCCCTCTGACGTTACCCGAGTTTTAGAGCGGCCGCTGCCACCAGCCGCAGGCCATGCCTGTCGAGGGCACGTAGCGAGCACCTAAGTGACTAGAACCCGCCCCGCCACGGGTGGATGGTTCACACAGCAGGCGCTCTAACCAACTGAGCTATCCGAATTGGCATCCACTGCACTAAACCAGACAGAAACGGACAAGACAGAGCCAGACTGGACAACGCTGGACAAGCTTGGACATCGTGGGGAACATGAACCACCCCCTGCTGGCATGGGAATCGCAAGCAGTGGCAAAGTTCAACGTTCGAAGGCGAGAGCGGGGTCTGCGCGCTGACGGGGGTCTCTACTGGATGCTGTCAAACTCCTGCTGACAGCATCCAGCGGTGCATGTCTCATCTACTCGTGAGCTCATCATCCAGGATTTCAGCTACCGCCTCGTAACCAGCGGCTGTTGGCTCTGTTTGCCGAAGGCTTTAATTACGAGGAAATGGGAGCGTGGATCGAGATAGTCGGGATCTGATAACCCTAAAACGGCAGCATTCCGGCTTCGATGTCGTAACTTATTGGAATTCTCCCGGCTTATCATCGGGCGTCCCGTACACCAATACCATCAGACGCTTCATTACAGCTCGTCGACCTTCCACCGCGGCTCAACGCACGCCGCCAGCCAGACGATCCACCGGCTCAGACCGACTATCTCTGCTGCCGCCCAGCACGCTCCATCTCAAGACAACGCCATTCACACCCCACAACCGGGTCGCTTGAGGAAAACACGTGACGTCACCTGCCCGACCCCGGTGCGGCAGCCGCAGGCGTGTTTTCGTCGCCAGTCAACACGACACAGCGGCGTATCCGGCGGCAGCCGTCGCCGCCAGCGCGTGCCCGACACGCGTCCCTCGCCCCAGGCCGCCTCCGCCAGCCACCGGCGTCGAAAACACCGGCCGCGCCGCCAATATTTTGCATATTTAACACCTCGCACATATCTCGAATAATATATCAATCTTAACGGGCTGATTTTAATACGAAGGGCGGAAATTGGCGCCGGATTTGCGCGCGGTTTATCGGGCCGCTGCCGTAATGAAAACCAATGACGAGGCGGCGATCAGCGGCGTGCAATTGCCGCGCCCAAAAAATATGAATATGAAGGCGGCATTATTGATAACCGTGCGGCAGACGGGGGAAATTGCCGCCGAGATTGAGCCTGGAGGTGCGAGCAGATGGAGGAGGCTGGGACAGGGCTGGCAGCACCGGCGGAGTGGGCTGGGGGGGGGGGGGGGGGTCGGTTCGAACGAGTTAAGGCTGATCGAGGCGGAGGGGCGAGATGGTTTCAGAAATATCCGTTCAGAGACTGTGTGAGATGTACGGTGGTCTGTGAGAGGTCGGAGATTCTCCATGAGACAAGTGGTCTTTGACCTCTGCGGGGTGGACGCTCAGGAACAAGATGGTGTCAGGTATGCGCAAGGCGACGCAGGATCTTAAAAAATCACCACGACACACGTCAGAAGCCCTTCTGTGGACCGCCAGTGACTATGCTGGTCATAAAAGAACCAATGAGTCAGTCAGGTCAGTGGGGGGGGGGGGGGGGGGGGGGGTGGGGAGGACGCTCTGTGTGATATCAAGCCTCATCTCCGCAAGGTGGAGACTGACCCGTGGGATGTTGTCGTTGCTGCCACCGGGGCTTTACGACGCAGTCAGCTGCTGAGGCTATGCAGCGACGCCTGCAACACGCCAGGACGAGCGGGCGCCGCGGGGGTCGAATCCCAAAACTTTTGCCTTCGCACACACGCAGCTTAACCACTGCCATAGCGGTGCCCTATCTCTGTGATGTGAGTGCCGCTCTGCGTTAGGTGAGGGATGACCTACGAGGGACAAGCCAATGTTCCAAGCGGGGCGGCCGCTCTTTTGGCGCGATTGGACGCCGACGCTGCGAGATTTAACCCGATCGCGCGCGCTGCCGGCGCGCGTCCCCACTCCCTCGGGCGCGCGCCGCCGGCGGCGGGGCCGCCAGGACACGTCAGCGCTCCGTCGCAGCTTCATCAAAGCCCGCGCTTGAATATGCATGAACCCGAGTTGGCGCTAATCAAATCTGTTTACTTTTGACTTTGCTCGCCTGGTAGCGCCGCCGAGAGACGATTCGCGCCGTAAAAAACGGCGCGAGCGCGGCCGCGGCGCGCGCCGGCGGGCTTTCCGACCCGACCGCGCCAGCCAGAGGGGAGACGGAGGTCCCAGCGGACTCGCACGGCGCCGGCAGACAGCGGACGTGCCAAAACAGCTCAGGCGGAGGGCAAGTCTGGTCCGGACACGCTGGCCATGCCGCCTTTGTCGAGTGACAGGACCCAAACGTCAGATATCCGGGACGGCGGTGCTACGATCGAATTCCCAGTGCACGCATCGTTGACACTCTGACGCAATCCGGTCCCCGACAGGGTGACTTCCCGACTGGACTAAAGCTAGGCACGAGAAGAAAACTAGCACGAGCTTCATAATGGTGACCGGAAATGCTGGTTGAACGCCCTCCACAGCAGTAGTGTCTACGTGAGCACAGCAACTAAAAACTTCTATGCCTGAAAAATTGGACGTGTTATAACGAATCATTCAAAAACATGGCAGAGCATACGAGGGGAAGAAAAGCGAGCCGGAAAAGAAGGCACACGTTGCAACGGATGCATCGTGACGTAAACGCCAAAACAGACAATACCAAGTCCCAAGCGATACGAGCGCCGCTTTCACCGGCAGCGTAGGTGACATCCGCGGCTGCAGATTCGTCGGTATAAGCCGCGCGCCTGGGGCATTCCCCACGAGTACAGATGGCAGCTCGGCGGGACTCCCCGCCGCAGTCCTCGGGCTAACGAGGCGCCGCCGGCGCCGCCGACCCACCTCTGGCGTCGCAGACCCGTAACAAATCGCCGCGCCGCCCGGAGCCGTCCCGCGGGTCGTACGCCCTCCGCGGAAGGGTAACATTTTTACAGACAAAAGACATAAACGAGCCGGAGGGGAGTGTTTGAATATTCACAAACGGGGATAAATAAGAAATAAATGGAATCAATGGGATAGAGCGATCGGGCCGGGCGCGGGGGACGCGCCGCACGCCGGCGAGGGGAGCGTAACGAGCGGCGGCACCGCCGCGCGTGCGCCATCACCGCCGCACAACCGCGTCATTGGTGCCGATGCGGCGTGCAGAGCCCGCCGGCGAATCACGCCATGCCGCGAGACGACACCACGGCGAGACGCCACGACCGTCGCTCGCAGCAGTGGTGATTGCTATGGGTCGGGACCACGACCGTCGCTCGCAGCAGTGGTGATTGCTATGGGTCGGGACCACGACCGTTGCCCGCAGCAGTGGCGATTGCTATGGACCGGGGCCACGACCGTCGCTCGCGGCAGTGGTGATTGCTATAGGTCGCGACGACTCTCAAGCGGCTTAACCATGCTTGCTATGGGTCTAAACAGTAGGTTCTAGGAAGGTGACTTGAGCGAAGAAGCTCATTTCTGGTGAAGTTCGACCCCGTATTTGGTCCTTTCCCACACGTGGCCGCAAGTGCAGAACGTGCTTGGCGAAGCTGTAATAAACGTGCCCTCGCGTTAACTTGATCGAGAACATGACATACCCAATATCCCTAGCCGCAGAGTACAGCATGGCAGGCGTAGGTGCAACAACACCAGCCTTCGTTGAAATGAGCCCAATGAGAGAGGCTGAGTCCGGCTGTTTCGCCACATCAACGCCTTCGGCATTCTCCACCCGTGAACATGTACCGACATGTCTTTGCAAAACTGGAAAAGCTAAATGAATGCTTAAACATCCACGAAACCCAACATTTTTAACGGTTATCTAATACTTAATCCCAATGTACATCACGCTGGTTTAGTGTGTGGATTAAGCGCACTGATAAAAGAAATAATAATTTAAAGGCCCGATGGAGCAAATCGCTCGCGCCGTCGTCGAATCGCTGCATGTCTGCTGATACTTTGCAGTGCACATGTAAGCTTGAAGTACGGGTCCCAAGCCTCACATCAGACATTCCAAGAAATTAATTTCAATGCAGGGAACAAGAACACTTTCATTTGCATCTAGCACCAATTACGGAGGAAGAGTTAATACAGTATCACCCCATGAATATGCATAGATCGAAAATAATGAGAGCGAAATTTACAACTGTCACACTTCAGCGGCATATGGCTCGAGTAAAACTGCCACAGCGCTGAGCATTCGGATGTTGGATGCCGCTAGAGCACAGATTAACAGCAGAAAAACGGCACAAAAAAATCAGGACGAATTCAAAACACGTCGAATACCGGGTTTGGTTTCCAAACTCACTCATTGCTACAGACCCAGACTTCCCATCCGAAGCCGTATGAATATTCATACACTTTTGAGGATAATTCAATAGCGCACCACTGCTGGAAGAAGAAATTAACGATTCATGATATGCAACGCTGAATAAACAAGACGTGTCAGAAAATGTAAAATAATTATGGCAGGCAAGACAAGAAGTGTGTTTCAGGTCCTTTCGCAGCATGAAGTGCTAAAATATTCGCCAGTGATTCTGAAACGCACAGAACCGTCGTCAAACCCCACCAGGCGTCACACAAATGTAGAAAACATCCCCGCCACCAAAACATTGTTCCACGTGTTTAACACAGATTCGAAGCGTCTGCCATACGCTGGCACGTCCCTGCCAAACTCCCACTCACCACACAGCGTGGTGAGCGCGCGTGGCACCCTGCCTCCGGGAGCGGGAGACGCCAAACCTAAGCCGGCAGCACGCTCCGCTGAGCGCTGGCCCGCGGAGCCGACCACCGCGCCGGAGGAGCCCGCTAAGATCGGCTGCGAGTATCACCAGATCCGACCAACTTTCGGCGCTTCATTATTCGGCGCGGCTTATCTCCTTATTTATTGTCCTGTATAATTGCGTTCGATCGCGCTCGCCCGTAATTAAGGGGTTACATCTCACGCTCCGTTTCGAGCGTCGCTCGACGGCGGCCAAAACACTTTTCGCCCACGCAGAACACGCGTATATTTCGGCACGTAAATTGGGCGAAATCGCTCAATGTCACCCACCATTTTTCGGCTTAACTGGCTATTTTAGTTTCGCTGCCGCGGCAGTATCAATCATTTGCCGTTCGTAAAGACCAATATGCCTCGCGGCGTCGCAGTAGGGGAGCTCTGCCGTCGGCGGGATGAGATAGAAGTCCGAATCCGGTTCCAGCATCAACACATCCGACCAGATGGTGGGCTGCTCTGTGCGAATGCTCGCATTTCGGTCGGTGTCTGGATACGGCCTTCGTCGAAGAACCCGTACTGAATTTAAACGGCCTTGATGCCGCTAGCACTACACCGGGCCGAGGAAGATACCGAGCGCTTGACATTGCAATGACTGGCGCTTCTCGGACCAGTGATGACGCGCGTCAGCCTTGGAGGGCCGAAGCCCCGCCATACATCTCCCCCGAGCAGCTCTGCAAATCACTGCCGGCGTCCAATGCCTGTCAGGCGAGTATCGCCATAAGTCACCGGCGACACCGGAGGGATATCACGTGAACAAGCACGGCCGGCCGTGGGCGCCGCCCACCGCGTCGCGGCGCCGACACCGCCACAAATCAGGGGCACGTCGCCCCCCAACCGCCGGACACCGTCCGGGCCCTCAACACCTGGCCACCCCGCCCCCTCCCACCTCGCCGGCAGCGGCCCTTATGACGGCGCGCATCCCCGCGTCACCGCGCGCTCATCCCACCCTCGACACCGACGCCGTCTATAATTCACGATTGCAATCCGGGTTCGTTATCTATCAGCATTAGCGAGTGCAATAACGCGGCGGTAGCGCATTACACGGCCGCGCCTAATGTTTTCACCGGCACACTCCCGCTCCCGTAATGGCCAAGTTGCTAATTTGCATTAGATGTGGCGCGCGGCCGCACCGGCAGGCTGTGCGTCGAATACCTCAACGGCCGCGGGAGGCTCGAACGCCCGGAAAAACAACGCCGCCTTTGAGTTGCGATGCCGGCCGGGGGAGGAGTCCCGGATAAACAGCCGGATGTGGCCGGGTGGAACAGCGCAAACGCACGCGCAACCGGCGCGAGCTGTGATGAAATTGTGTTCAGGACAGCCGTGGCTTGCCGGGAGCGTCATCATGACAGGGTGGACGGGGAGTTCAGTACGTTGAATCCATACAGCATCAGACATCAGTGGATAACACACCAGCACCGCAGCCCACATCACGGCGGCCAATCCCTGAGGCGCAATTGGCGTCTGATTACCAATTGGCTAATAAATGCCGTCGGGTGGACACACACTCCCGCGTAAAGCAAAACGACAGCGCCTGGGCTGGACGAATGCACCGATGGCCGCCGGCAGCCCACAGAGAAGAGCAGCTCCTGTTTACTGTCGAGACGGCGACCCCTCTTGGAGACGCTATCGGAGCCGGGGCCGACCCATTCTGTCAAATGCAACATGTAATGGCCCAGAAAACAGTTCATTACCGTACAATAGACTATTTACCCAGTAATTAGCCTGCAACGGCAGCCAATGGCCGCGTTTAATGGGATAAATACGTCTGGCGGAGAGGCTGGCGGGCCGGGCCGCCTCTCAATACCTCCCTGAATAGTCAGCTTGGGCAGCGATTAGACGGCCGAGGAAATTAAATTCGGCGGTAATCGCGTGCGCGCGGGAGCGCCGCCGGTCCATTGAGGCGCAGCGCGGCCGCTGCCGGGGCCGTTGTCTGTGCGACGGACCAGGCAATCATGGGCGGCGCCCCGCCGCGCTGCCGGGCGCGACCTGGGCCGAGGCGAGGCGGGGCGGGGTCCGGCCGGGCGGGTCCGCCGGCTCGAGACGGCCCGGCCACCGGCCGCGGCGCGGGTTCCGCGGCCAGTGCGGCGGGGAGAGCGCGGCTCGCAGCAGGCATTGCGGCTAGGGCGGCGGGCGTGTCGTTATGTGATGGCTTGGCCGCGCCTCGGGCTTGGGGGAGCGCATTGCCAGGGGAGATAAAAAGCTTTGCGATGAGTCAGAGGAGGAACCCTTAAAATCTTAAGCGCACAAGTAGGAGCGCGCACGCAAACTGAAAGCTAGAAAACGTCACGAGAGCAGCTAAGACAGCATACTCGTATGCATGCACTTGACATCGGATCAAGAACTCCACAAGCACACCTAACACGCGTCTTCTATACTACACAATACGGCACCGGGCAAACTGCATCACAGTGGCGGCCTGTCCACGGATCCCTCAGCCCTCAACACTTCCCGAGACTATCTTACGTACGTGCATGAGAGTCGATTCTTGCCGTCCTCGTACAGACCGTGCCGGCCCCAGCGGCTGGGCAGCTCGACCACCGTGACACCGCTGGCGCCGACCAGCGCCAGCCGCTGGCCGCACGGCGACACCAGCAGCTGGTTCACGGTCCCCACCGGCGGGCTGGTCAGCAGCAGCGTCTGAAGCACAGTGCAGACGTCAGCGGTGGACCAGCAGCTGGCCTGACTGGCAGACTGACGACGCGCAGCCGCGAAGCAGCGGACTGTTAGGGTGGTGTCATTCGTGGACCGGAGCCAGTCCAAATAACTTCGCATCGTTTGCAGACCTGGGGCCTTTCACCTACGACCACAGCCAGCAGACACGTTTGCCAGGCGGTGGCTGTCCGGCCGACCCAGGTCAGACCCCTCCTCGCTCACCATCGCCAGTGCCCTCCCCATGCAGGTCCCCCCTCCCACGAGCCGGAGTGGCGCAGTCTTCGCTCCGGCTCCGGGGGGACGGCGGCCGCGCTCCCCCGAGCGAAGCCCGGCGCGCCGCGGGGAGCGGCCGCGCCCGCGCTGCCACCCGCGGGGCTCACCGCTCCATTTCTGCGCCGCCGCACCAGCCAATATGCCCCGCTAATGATCGCCATAATAAACAGGCGACACGGGCCGGCCGAGCGGGCGGGGCGAGGCGCTGGCGGCGCCGCAGCGTCGCACGCGTCCGCTGTCCCGCGGGGAGACGGAGGCGAGCTGCGGCAGAGGCGGCAGCCTGACGAGGCCGAGCGGCGTCAGTGACTCGCGCGGAGAGGTACTCGGGGGCCTCTCGGCCACAATTGGTATCTTACTACCAAGTTTGATGACGCTGAATTCAAATCACGAATTCAGCGCGGAGTGAAAAAGCAGGGCAGGACTAATCAACCCTCAAGCATGCTGGTCAATCCAATGATCTGCTCAGGCGGGGGTCTTGATCCTCCATCTTCGAAAAGTTTTAAATCGAGGTGCGAAAGAGCACAGAAATAAGCGGGTGCTCTGCTGAGCTCTCCCTGTAAAGATCGTCAGTCAACAGTTTGACTCAGTTCGACATGGCCAGGCCAGTCCAAGGCTTCACAGCTTATCTTTGTCAAACAATTGGGCATCTGTTTGTTGGGTTACACGTCGACGCACGGAACCGACAAGCGCATTAGTGCAGTCACACGTTGGCAAAACTGGGACAATGAAAATTTTGGCCGGCGGAAACTAGATCCAAACGCTGACAGCTTGTACATCCTCTTGGCAGCGTCACAGGGACAACTCTCCCTGCCGCCTAGACGACACCGGGCTCAAAATCGTCATTTTTTGCAGGGAGGCCGGCAGCGACGCGCGGAACGACATCTAGCGGCGACGGGCAGAGTCCGGCCGCCGCCGTCCCCGGCCACCCGAGATATTATTTCTGATGACCAGTGGCTATTGGGGATCACAAATAGATGGCACACGAAAATGAAATAATGGGAGACAAATGGGCAGCTATGAAAAGTTGAGCAGCTTAGAGTCCGCTATAAGGGGTAACGGATAGCAGGGAACGGCCGGACGGGGAAATGACGCAGCCTGGGGCGAAATCCAAGGGCCGCACCCAATATCGGCCTAATATGGACATTTGTTACCTCGGGTTAATCGAGGGGCGGCCGGCGAGCGCGCGGCAGCAGCACACAATGCGGTAAAGAGTCGCCGCCGCGAGCCCAAGAGGGCACAACGCAGCCGGGTTCAGCAGGGTGGCACGGCACGGCGCAAGCGAGGCTGCGGGAGACGGCGAAACACATAAGGGGGGGGGGGGGAGGGGTGGGTATGTGTGCGCGCGTACGAATACGTATTGAACAACGTACATCATTGCGGGGAATGCTTTTTCAACGGCAAACGCCACCGAGGGAGAACGACGAGAAACGCCTGCCACGCTTCGACGCCTCTGCCAGAGGCAGCCATTCCCATTCAGAGGTAAAGCTCGGCAACGTGCCACTTTACCGCGGGCTTGCAACGACACGTTTTAAAACCGCCACACCAGCCACCGTCGTGTGATGGAAAAACGCGTGCATTTCAAGCCTGCAGCACCGCCCCTGGTGCATCACTTTTAGTAATACCAGATGACAAGTGGCCCGCCGGCCGGCCCGGAGTGAACCGTGCGGGAGCGCGTCGATATATTATCGACGCGTCGCGGAGACAGATAGAGGCCGGTTCAAATCCCAGCGGCGCCGTTCGTCACGCTGTATCGCATTAAGGAGACACGCGCGCGTCTGATCATGACAAATCCCGACCCATTGTCTTTTTATCATCCTGTCCAAACAAAACGCGAAGGTATATTACTTCGGGGGGATAGCGGGCTCTGATAAAGACCGTAATGCGGATTTATGGTCGAAAGCGAAGCAACGCTGCAGGGATACGCGGCAAGACAATAACCGGGGATGACTGCGTTGGGCCGCGTGAGGCTGGCGGAGGCGTGCTCTGATCGACACTTCTGGCGGAGAGAGAGGGAAACCATTTCAGAACAGAAAGCTTATACGGCAACATACACAGCCCTTTTGCCAGCAAGACTCCATGCATTCGCAATGGGACGGTTCTTCCAGACGATGACGAGTGGAGGACATTCGACGAGACACGCTGCATGTTTATGTAGCACAAATTGGCACATGATTTTAATTGTCAAGTCCACGGGCAGGAGTCCAAAAAAGTAAGGTTTGCCGTGAGTAAGTAAGGTCTGTGAGTTTAAAATCAGCTCTCACGCAGCCGAGATTCAATGGCATGGGTTTTACATGCGATGCCAGTCCTCAGCAACAATTTGAACATGCAAAGATAATTATCACCGTCTTCCTGTCTTAAAAAAGTGCATCTGTGATCGCCATGCTATCTTTCGGGCAGCATGCATGAAAATCTGACATCAAACCTTTGACAGTGCTGCACCTCTGCAAAGAAAATGGGTCTGCTAAAAATATTTTGCAATTTCATTTCTTTCAACAAGGGACAGTTGTGACGTCGGAAGGCGGGTTCCGCAACCCAACAGGTGCAGAACAATTTACATATTGCCACTTTTGAGCTTTGCGGTTCATCTGATGGCGCAAAGACGTCATGGCTTGATAACTACCACAATGGGTGCCAATATGCAATGCAGCACCATGAGTCGGGAGGCCCTATTTGGGGGGGGGGGGGGGGCAATGCTGTGTTAAGGAGGCCCCTTTGCTGGCTCAGCAGGCCCCTGTTCCAGGCTAGGAGGTACCCTCCATTTGCAGAGGCACATTGTTTTCCCTATGTCTGGAACAGGAGGCCCATGTCATACATCAGATGGCCACAGTTCCAAATCAGGATGCCCTGCCTGAGAATAATGCGTCCTTCAACTACATTTGTAGGCCCATTTATGAACCAACAACAATCTGATTGGGAGCTTGCTGTGGGCCAAGCCATGGACTTGACAATCTGATCTGATTGACTGCTCTTCTATGCATCTGAAGGCCCTGTTCTGGAACAGGAGGCCCTGTTTCAGGTTAGCAAGACCATTTTCTGGGTAACCAGAAGGCCCCTATTCTGGAATTTCTACTTTCAGCATTTATTTTCCTGAATATAATGCATGCAAAAATGTGATAAGAGGGCACATGACCTGTGTCCCTCCCCCTTGAATACAACACTGTGCAGGAGGACCCTGTGAGGAGGCCCCATTTTGTCCAAGAGGCCCCCAATGAAGGGTCCTGTTCAACTGAAAATCTGTGAGACCTCCCCTGTCCATGTATGCTGATCACGTAGAGTGTACTATATTCTTATAGAGTGTTGCCCACTGGAAGGCCTGCAGTTGTTACTATCAAATGTAAACATGAGTGATCAGCAATGCTTCAGAAAATCATAACACATCCATAAAAATCACGCATAATGTTCCAAATCAAAGCCCAATGCTAAAATATCATAAAGATCATAAAATGTTTGGATCACACTGTGATGCCTGAAACCATCAGCCTAATAAACAGAGCACACTTCAATGAGGTCTTAACAGTACACCTAAGATACCCAGTGTGCATTTTAATTGTAAAGCGCATAAATACAATCTCATGTGCAAGATGAACAGAGCATCAGCAGACATCACGCCTTAGTATCAAGAAAGCATGGTTGAGCGGCATCAATTTCCAAAATGGAGGAATATGATCAATAATACAAAAATGACTATCTGGTGTTCCACATGGAACAATGTGCCTGTTGCATGACTCATGCTCAAAATTCATCCCTGGATATGCAAAATGTAAGCATAAAAACATGCTTTCACAGTCTTATTTAGGCTCTCTGGCATCCTACACAGGCTCTTTGTTAGAGCAGCTTCTTAGCCTAATCTGTTGCCTTTTGACCTCAAAACCAGCATACACCTGACCTGCCAGCCAATTTGTCAAGCCCAAACTGGGCTGACCACCATCTCCCTCAATGCTGATCAGCTGATTTCCAGCAAGGAGAGCAGCAACTGGCAGTGAACCTCAACAGGTGTCCATGACCAAATATTGACAACCCAGGTACCCAAGTGGCTGAATATTTGAATACTGCATCACTCATCTTTGCTAAAAATGTCCTTTAACTATAACTAATGCAAGTTTTCTGCTTTGTAACCTAAAATCATGCTAAAACATGATAGTCTAACTTCATTATTTAAAGGTGGGAAATGTACTGCACATACTTAAAACATGGTCATTAACACTCATGGCCCAACTCTGCCTGACACTCAGGAAGAGGACTGTCACAGGACCACTTTGCCATCTTTTCTGACATGCACACATAGCGAGGAGGGACACCATACCTTAACTGAGTTAAAATGTCAGCATTCAGTCACATAACACATCTCTACTGGACTTTGCCTTAAAATTATGATACCAGACCTGCACATCATTTACCTGGTATTCAGTTCCATCATTACTAGAGTTCTCATACTTCAAGTTGATGGCGTGGACAGCTTGCTCTTTAAAATCCCAGAAAAACAAAAAATGTTCAAAAATATCCAACAAATCCGTGGTACCTGCGTCACCATCACCAGACTTAGCATCTTTTTGTAGCTTGCTGAATACTTCCGAACACTTAAGCCAATCCTTGGCCGTTGGGACGCGCTTCATTTTGGGCCAAAAATAACTGATATGTGCAGGGCTAAACAGGATAACGACGGGCTCACGTCCGAATCAATTTCAAACGTGCTGCACGCACCGCACGCCACTCGGCATCTATTTTTCCGGAGACTGTGTTTGAAACTTATGCGTCATTAAATGTCATATAAGAGTACAATTTTGTAGAGAAAATAATTTCAATACGGATAACCTGATTCCGCTGAGAAAACTACCTCGGTTGACGTATGCTCACATATTGCATGTTTTCAGATCAAAATAAATCAAAAATATTCAGCATCGTTCCTTTTTGTCCAGCAGAGTTGACTGACCATTCACACATTCACCGTTAGATAGCTCGAGCTAAGCTGCAATAAATATGGTCAGCACTATTATAACAGTCGGCTGATTTTGTTTACATCCGAGGTTGTTGACGTTGCACTTGCGTCGGTGTGATTTGTGTGTTGTGGTGATTTGTGCGCGATTAGTGGATATTGTGATAATTGTGCGGTGTGAGTGAAAGTGATAACATGGGAACTAAAGTGATGGACCTTGTACAAGAGTGGAAGAAGTTTGGATTATCTGGCCTACAGGTGGGTGCATGATGCCTATACACAGTTTGTTAGTGGATTGCTATTTTTGCCAACCCAAATATTTAAATTGTGGTGTTTTAGGATGCATGCAGTTTTATTTCAATGTCTGAAGTCACTGTTGCATAAAATAGGGCCAGTCTCTTGGCACAATGTCTGAAAAGGCCATGATCATGCAATGGAGTACCTGGATGCAGAACCCAGAAGTCTACATGAGTCCACTAACAATCTGTCATCTTTTCAGTGGCTTAGATAGTCAGTCATTAACTAAATTGTTAATGTAGAAATCATTTAGTACCTTACTATTATCTAATAAGAAACTTCAAGCATGACATAACTGTAATTTGTGTCAAAACTTCTGAAGCTCTGTTATGTTGTATAGTGAGACAAGGGCATATCAAAAGCCAATGAAATGGTAGACCCTCATAAAAGCCAATTCTGTTAGATGCTCTCCATGTGATTCTATAGGACCTCTGGTGTATGTATGAATTCATAGGCTGCAACAAGATCACACCATTTTGATTGGAATATGAGGCAAAGTAGCTAGGCTGCACAAAATCATGCTTATAGCCATGAATTTAGTGATGGAGAGTTGCAAAAAACAGCATGTTGAAATAAGTTTTTCTCACAGTCTTCTTTCCAGGCATGCAAATATCATGCAGTGGATGCATAGAGTTGTGTCAGGATTTTCTTTTTCCTTCATGTTGTGTGCATGCTCCCCTTGCTCTACCATCCAGTGCTATTGATAAAGTAAAACTAGCCATTTATGGCCATGTCAAAGGTATTAAAAATGGCAAAATCATGTAAGTTGATCATGGAAAATGCTCTATCTTTTCAGCACCTACATAATGCTTTGTAACTCACTCATTTGTTTTCAAGGCTCACCATTGTTGCATTGTTGCATCTGGAAAAATCTGAAAATGTATGTTAGTGGACCATTTTCACCACAGTGGTTACCAAAGCACAACAACGATAAACAGCAGTACCCAAGGAGGCCTGGACAGTTGTTACTCTAGCCCTTAAGTTTGCAGAGAGCTTCATCACCAAACACACCATCACCTAATGTGTTAGCAGCACACGTGCCTTCTTTGAACACTGGGAGTGAGATGCTCAGACTGTGTAAAATCCTGGGTCCAGGGTATGGTGCTGTAACATCCACACTTATTTCCAATGTTTCAACAGGCTGAAAGTTCTAAATGCTATCACTGATGATAGAAACATTTCAGGGCAAGATCACATGCACCTGTTGCTCAAAGTGGCAGCACTGTTACAGGATGGGTAAATTTGGTAAATCACTTTGTTTGCCACAGTTTCTTACTGTTTTGTGTTTCCCTCCCCTCCCTGGATGTTTTGACCACCATAGGTGACCTGATTTTTGTGGGATCCTGGACTGTTTCTGGTCACATGATTTTCCATAGGTCTCTGGCAGTCGAGAGAAGCACAGTGGATGAATGGAACCCATGTGTGGACATGTGTGTACAGGGCACTGGGCTTTCTATGGCCACCACTTCCCATATTTCCACCTGTTGGCCAACTCCTGTCTCTCTCAATTATTGGCTGTCTTTATGCATTTGCCATCACATACCAGCCCACGTCAGTGCCACCCACACTCCTGAGCCCATAGAGGAGAAGGTCCCCACAAGACATACTGTTCATAATGTCATCATAGTCGCTAGCAAGCATGCTCATGCCCATGCTCTCTCCTGTGCAATTTCTTCTTGGATAAACTGATGAACCCACTATTTCATTCCTGGCACACATGACATGCATGACATGCTGACATTCCTGTACATGGTTGTTTTTTGCGGCCACATTGACCCAATGTCGGGGATCTCATCGCATGTGTGTCTGGACTTCACCCGTACTGTGCGTTATTAAGGGCATTCTCCGCCAAGATAGCCGCGTTTGCGCCTTATAACACGGCTTGTGCCTTAGACGAGTGGCACACCTTACTAAGCTTGTCAGAGCTTTCCTCGGGCTAGGTTTTTGGCCCCTGCTTACTATTCGTGCAGGGGCCACTCGGCCTGAAAGGAGACAGGGAACTAGCAGGAACCAGGAGAAGCCGGAGGAGAAGGACCAGGTCTGCGGCCCTCCTGTGCACTTTGCGCGGAGGATTTCCCCTTAACACACGCCCAGGTGGCCGGCAGGATACCCTTCGCTCGGGTAGGGATGGGCGGGGGGAGGGGAGGGGTCAATTTGACCGCCCGCTGAGATCTCGGAGAACTATGAGAGCTAGAGACACCAAAGTCACGAGGTATGTTGGCATGTACGTGAACTCACTTAGGTCAAAGTTTGAGGTTCATAGGTCACGTGTGCATAAACATGACTAACAATGACATGACCACTGACCGTGACTGACCATGACCTTCGGGTCAAATAATGTCAAACAAGGTCAAATTCCAGGCTGGTCTCCAAAATGCCCCCGGAACCTAGATAACTGTTTCTAAGCAAAAGGTCACGTGCTCATTTAAGATCATTGACCTTGTTTGAACTTTTGAAGGTCATGGTGACCAAAATCATACAAGACCGCTCTGAGTTTTGCATTCGAATAATCGACAAAGTTTACGCTAGGCAGTATGTTCCTAAAAACCAAATGTTGACCTGGGGCATTTTAGGTCAATGACCTATTCTGACCTCTAAGAAGTCTATGAAAGATGTAAAATGCGGTTTCTACTGTCAATTAGGTCGACATGAACGCCAGAAACTATCCCATACAGCAGGCCCTAGAGTAATCAAACAGGTTGGTTTTGACCTTGGTCTGACCTGCATACCTGACCTTTGGTCAATGCAATTTGCTCATTCAATTGTTCTGTTGTCTAAGAAAGCATTTCAGAGGTGTATGGCTTCGTCTGACACTCCGTTGTTGCATCAGATTGAACGACTCCCTGGAAATTGACTTTAATGAAACCATGGCCTGACTTTGACCCGCCATAGGTCATGAACCTTACAAGGTACTTCTAATTTTTTCACCAAACTATCCGCTTTTCAGTTGTCTACAGCTATGCAAAATTTGACGCCACTACGCCGCGCCGTTCGGAAACCATTCTGGAAAAAAAACCTTTGGGGGGTCAGTTTGACCCCCACCCGAGCGTGTGTTAATGCCCGGTAAATTGGCTCCTGGCGTCCAAAGTGAGTTGCTAGTTTCTCGTTTCTCACCTGGTTACCAAGAATGATCCTGACGGTCCGCAGCAGAGGTCACTGCTGGCTTTCAAGGAGGCGCCAATGTAATATACCCTTTCTGGACGGCAGGGAGGTCGCTGCAGAGGGAGACCATGGGTCTGCAAAAGCCTTTAGGCTGTACATGGCCCCGGCCTCATTCCACGACGCTGCCCTGAGAATGAAAACAAATCCCTTTGATACTCGCCAATGCACTGTTGATGGCATGGTGGGCCTATAAATCACAGTGTTCTGGCGGCGTTCTTGTGCTGAAACTAGCCGTTGTTTAGTATCCCCTGGAGGAAATGGTTAAACAAACGATCATTCGGACATGTTACAGAAATGTTGGACATTTCAAGGCTCTTTTTATGTCCACCAAATACGTCACTGAAATACACGGCCTGATATAAGCTCACCAAATCTGACCCCGGCGCCGAGCTCCACGACAGCGGTGCTACAACAAAAAACTCAGACCGATAGGACTGCTGCAAAACAACTCCTACAGACAGGAGTGCTACATTGCTTCTTCTGTTAATACAAAAACACGACATAAGTGTTACGTGACAAAACGTATGCTACAAAATTTATACGCATTGTTACCACTACTGCAGAACTTATAAAGTATTTACTTCTACTGCAAAAATTTATACGCGACATTAGTGTTACACGACAAACCCTATACTTTAAAGGCTTATGTTCTACATTAGCTCTACTGCAACAGTGGTGGCTGTAATGTAACGATGCGTGCCCCGATAAGTCACGTCCAGAGCCAGAGCCATGGTTTTTTCTCTGTACGTCCGTCACGTCCTATTGCAGAGATAACTGGGATGTATTTTTTGCCCAGTTGTAAGGCTGCCGAAGAGATGGAACCAGTGGTTGAGCTTTGATGACATACTGGTGTCCTGCCTTAGTTTCGAAAGGTCTTTGGAGCATCACATGTAAGCAGTCACGCATGCAGGCCTTTGTGAGAGGTTCATGTTTTTCACTGAGATCCCAGTTTACCATGCCGCGGGCGCACCAAATCTGTTTCACGGCGGGAAAAAATCATCGCGTGTTCTCGATCTGCTTATGTTTACATGTTCACCCCGAAGGTAACGGTGTCAATTTATTCACGCGTATATCAATTAGATGCTATGTTTTTTAAATGGAGAGGGGGAGGGGGCTTAAGTGTCCCAGAGACCCATTATGTGAAAACGCCCCTGCATGTAAGTAAAATATCGGGTTTTAACGATCGCGTGATCGTTTTGACATGTCATGATTCCCATGGTATGACCCTTGCTGTTACTTTCGATACTTTATTGAGAATCACACCATGTTTGGTTGTTCACTATTTGATATCTCACGTAAGCGTAGGAGCGACCTCCAAGTTCTTATTATCGGTACCTGCAGCGGTTCGTTGCTACCGAGAACGCGAAGCTGAAAGGCTTAAGCTCGGAATTGCGGCTCTGGGGTTACCAAAACAACAGTGAAAGATATAGCTTGCTGAGTCTGATATGCAGCATGCTGCCCTGACCTTGCTTCGGGCGACCTTGCTGATAAAGGTCCGGTTATGGGCAAAGGGCTATCTCCCTGTAACGCAATTGTGGTTGCGCCACTGTTTTAGACCCTAGCTAGTGTGCCAAGCATTTCACGCAAGATGATTTTGCAACGCATATTTGTTAGGCGTTCAAGGTGTTGCAGACAAATTGTCATTGATTAAAATACTTGTGGGTATCAATGCTTTGAGATACAAGTCAGGTTCTGTCGCAAGCGTGGTTTAAGGCACGAGTCCCTGATAAGATGACCCGATATGAACTTACCTTGGGCTACGCATACGTGCGCTGTGAACGTTGGCCTCAGATGGTCAT